ACCACAGTTTTCATGCAGCTCATACCATATTATTTTGTTGTATTATTTCCGCCACACCTGATATGCCGGTCCCTGAAAATATTGTCTGACATAAACCGGTCCGTGGGGCAAAAAAGGTTGGGGACCCCTGATCTAAGTCATCCATCGATTTGTTTTATTTTATTCGGGGTTGCAGCCAACTCGGCTCTCGACTCAACGGTATTCCTAGAGCACTTCAAAACAACCATCACGGTATGCAAAATGCTGCACATGGAGCAAAAATAATTCATACAACAAAATATGAATTCATAACAAAGACGGTGGAAAGCACAAAAACAGTGAAACTAGGAAGCAAGTCTCATGCCAAGTCAAAAGGCAAAGAATAAAAATGAGTTTGAAGACGACTTTTAAAGATGGGCTTGCCGAACGTTCAGTGGGCGGTCATTCCAAAGAGAGCGACCAGCAACGGAAAAGGCTCCTGTGTCCTCTGAGCCTCCGCTTAGTTCTCGGTACCTCTAATAGTGTCTGGTCTGCAGACCAGAGGCACCGGGCAGGTGCGGAGTGGCGGAGGAGCTCAGAGAGGTAAATTGGAGCGAGGCCATTTCAAGATTTGAAAACAAATAATAGGATCTTAAAAAGAACTATAAAATGTAGAGGGAGCCAGTGAAGGGAGTTATGTGCTCCCTCTTACGAGTACCAGTCAAGAGGTGACCAGCAGCATTTTGGACCAACTGGAGATGCTTAATGGAGGATTGGCTGACTCCAAAGTAAAGTGCATTACAGCAATCTAGCCGAGATAAGACGAAGGCATGAATTACTGTTTGAAAGTGATCTTGAAAAAGGAGAGGCTTTACCTTAGCCAGCTGTCGTAAGATGAAAGAAGCTGGAATTAACAGCAACACCAATTTGCAGATCCAATTTAAAATCACTGTCCAGTTTAAGACCCCAGTTTGAAACTGTTGGCTTAAGATAAAGAGCCAGGGGGCCCCAAGTCGGCAGGGTGGGAAGTACAAGGTCCATTGGGACCAAACACCATCACTTCCATCTTCTTTTCATTGAGAATCAGTGCCAACCAGGTCTTGATTTCCTCTACAGGATAAAAGTGGCCTCATTGAGAAAGCGTCTTTTCTGCTCAGCGGGACATCGATCTGACAGGCATTGAAAGGCAGACAACGCCCTGCACTGGATGCCAGTCGATCACCAAACAAAAAGATCAAGTTTATAGACGACATTCACATAGAATTGGGATCACCAACATATCTTTTTTAAACTGTCTTGTCTTTTCTCTCTCTGCTCACCATGCATACCACCACCCGCACGCTGCAGTTTTATTAACCGCTTCTTTCCCAAGGTTTTATTGCCGTCTGCTGCCTGTGGACATGGGAGGAAATAAATCTCCCGAATCCAATTCCCACTGGCGTCTGTCTAGCGCTGTTTCCAGGCAAAATAGGCAGTCGGCGTAAGTGGGAAACACCAGAGAGGTCGTCAGGATGTGACTGAGCTGCGGGAGAGAAGACCCTTTCCACAGCATCATCGTTGCCTGAATAAGGTAACTTTTCAAGGTAGAAAGGCACAATTACTGGAGGATATTTATATGGACAGTAATGTGTTTTTTACCGCCTTTTTTCCCCCTCCATCTTGCTACGATGACAATTTTTTTTTCCCCCGTCTAGATTAAATGCAACACGTCAGCCAACACGCTGGGCCTAAAACAGCAGGAGGCTGCGGTGAAATCAACTCGGGTCAGCAGTCACAAAACTAAAGAGAAGAAATCTGAGGAGATAACTTGAAAAAGAAAAGTCAAGTCAAACGCAATCACAACTCGTAGGAGCAAGGACAAGAGAAAATTGCATTTTAGTGGGTACTCCGGATTTATTTGGTATTATTAAAATTATTATCAAGCATTCTTTTCTCTTGGTTATTTTAGACTTGGTGTGGTGGATGTTTTGTGGGGGGGGGGGGGTTACCTGGGTTGTTTGAACTGAGATTGACGTGCAACGCGAGCGCGGCAATGTCACGTGACTCACATCGTCCTGATTTCGACATTAATATCGAACGTTAATATCCCCATTTCGATCTCAACCCGTCCTAAATAGGAACTGACCACAAAATACTTGGATGCAAGCGTTGTATCCAAAATCTTAGCAAACACTGGGATGAGATATTATTCATCCATTTATTAAATTTAGCCTTGTTGTCATCAATGGAACGGATTTACTATTCAGTCAACAGAGAAAAAGAATCTGAATGTTTTGATGTAAAAGCATGGTAAAAAAAAAAAAGAATTACACTCATATCAGCGTATTTAAGTTGAGCCGAAGTTGAATTTAGGCACATACTTCTAGCTCCAATAGACTGCGACGCTGTTTGCGGGATTCAAACAAGTGGTGACATTTGTCTCGGCTTCCCAGGCCCACTGAGAGGCCATTAGACATCCTACCTGGCTTACCTGTGCTTGTTTCTATAGGAACAGACATGAGGGTGTTTTCCTTCTCACCTTTGAGCCTGGGTAAACAAGCGGGTTGCTCCCTCAGCGGCCAGCTCTCGTCCATTCCAGTTTTGTCACCGCGGGCTCTGGAGCCTGCCGAAGATAAGCCGCGCTCGGCTGTTGACACAGAGATATTTGACTTTCAGATAGACAGAGCAGCTTGTTAGGGTGGATATCTGGGGCCCGGCCGGCGGTGACCGAGTTACTATGTTCTTGAACACGGCCTCTCCCGGGAGATCATTCAGCATCCCAATTAACATCAACCTGCAGGGTGCTCGCAGGCGGCACGCACGGTAGGAGGACCATTGACCTGGCCGGGCAGACTCTTTTTGGAGATCATTAGAAACGCTGCTCAAGTTTCACTCGGCTTCTCATTACGATTCTGAGCGGGAAGTTTGGTTGGAGCATAAATTCTGGATTCAGCAGCGCAGTTTTTTTTTTTTTTTTTTGATGCAGCGCCACTTTGCAAAAAAAAAAAACTAGGCTTTCAAAAACTCGAGGGGGTGGGTGATGACATATGCAATATTTTGATTGCTTGATTCAAGCAAAATGATCTGGTCGTTATGGAATGTGTTTTGTAGAATGTTGAGGGGGAAATGTATTTTTAATAAATGTAAATGTAACAAAATGTCTGGGGCTGCGCAAGTTAAAGGGCAAATACTGTTGCTTATGACTCGTTGAAAAAGATGTGAGAGATTAAAACCTTCAATCTTGACCAGGCGCATATTATGGCCGGTGGGTTGCAGCCTTCGACAAGCGTGGCTCCATTTATATTTTAAGGGCTACGATGACACGTAATCACGGTCACCCCATTACGGAAAAATGTCTTTTCATAGCTTGACTCGTAAGAGCTTTTGCTGCTTTGATTTTTGTCACTCATCCGTCATCCTAAGTGCCACATTAAGTATTTATAATACTGTCCCTTCAAAGTGAGTCTTGTGAATGAAACATTTCATTTTGATCTGTTCCCACAGCTCTACAACGTATAAAACGCATTTGTAGAAAGGTAAACAGATAAGATTATTTACGTTACGCTTCGCGCCCGACAAAATGGCGCTCTCATAAATAGTCATATACATGAAAAAACAAAGTGCACGTTGGTCTCGTGGTACCACAGAGAGCATTTACAAACGGTAGCATGGTAAAATATATATTTTTAATAACTTCTCCCTTGACATAATTTGCTCTTTGAAACCAAATATATCAGAAGTTGCCCAGAGCTACGGAGTGAATGGTGAGCAAACACGCTGAATGAAGGCAACTGCAACTGGCTGGCTAGTCTTTCTAAATGTCCTCTCGTTTTGATTTTATTGGGCTAACTAAACTTTTTTTTTTCCAATTGTCGTTTTAGTTATTTTGCTAGTTTTCATTAACTACAGTACTTTGGCTCGCAACATACAAATTAAGCCTTCTGTTCTCACACATACACAAGTGAAACACACACATTATTGAAATGCTCTCACACATGGATTTTTTTTGTCTCACACACATACTACTGAAACACACACATTTCTGAAACACCCATCTACAATTAAAAAACTCAACACAGGGCTAACAACACTAAATGCTCTCACACACAAGTAAAATGGTCTAACAAACGTGACTGAAATGTCCTCTCACACATCATTGAAAGAATGTCACGCTCTCACTCACTACTGAAATGCTCTCACTTGCTACTGAAACACACAAATTTAGCTCTCGCACCAAATGAAATGTCCCCTCACACACTACTAACATGTTTTCACACACAAGTGAAAACACGCAAACAAACACAATTGAAATACTCTCACGGGCAACACTTCCAACATTCTCCCGCACGCAAATCCCCAAGCAAGTGAATTCGCTTTGGCTGATTCTGAATTAAGGCCCTGACGGCCCCTCATAGTTTTGACCGCCTACGATACTGCATGTTTTCTTGCGTGTGGGCGCGAGACACAGGGAGCTCCTCCACAGGGTGACATCCCAAGAAAAAGACGGAGGCGGAAGTGTCGAAGGTGCCGGGGAGCAGCGAGTTCGGAGCCAGAAGTTGGTGGCGAGCATTGGGGAAGAGCGAGCCATCTTGCTGGGCTTCGGCATGATGGCCTTCTCTGTGCTCATGTTCTTCGTGGTTGGAATCACCACGGTCAAGCCGCATGTGAACGGGTACGCTTAAACTGCATCGGAGCTGGCATTCGTCATCAAACTTGTACTTGAGTAGCACTGTATGTATATAAATACTAACTTCTGTCATCGCAGAAGCAACTGGCATCATTGCCGTGTTCTCTGTGTCTCTTTGGGTGTGTTCCATGTTTCTGTGCGTGTGTCTTTGTGTCAATCTTTGTGTCAATCTTTGTGTGTCTGTGTGTGTGTTTTTGTTGTTGCTTATGTAAGTTGAGGGGTTCGTAGTTTTGGAATGGATGGCTCTACGTTAAGAATGGGCAAAAAGGAGAGATGGATTTGCTTTGAACGTAGCTTTCATTTTTCAACGTCTACACCCGCGAACGAACGAACAAAAGAGAACACACCTTCTTCCGGCTACTCCAACACTTCCTGCTTTCCTTCAGCCAATCAGACATTATCAACATAAACATGTTTAAGCAATTATTAAACTGAATATAATTTAGGTAATACTAACACAAAAGAATATAATACTCAAACATAAAATGACAATAATTAACAATTTAACAAAAGCTTACGTTTATCTGTGACTCCGCGCGTGCGCGTCCACGCGAGTCTTGACGTGGGCGCGCGAAAGCCCTCTCGTGGCCTTTCCCGGACTCACGCCGCCTCCTTGTGTTGCAGCAAGTGGGAGGAGGAGGACAGCTGTGTGCTGCTGCACACTGAAATCTTGGACGAGTGGGTGGACTGCAGAGGAGTGAGCAGCGTGCCGTGCCTGGCGGTCACCGTTAATCTCACACGCTCCAATCAAAAAGCCTTTCTGCACTTTGACGAGGAGTCAGTGATGCTTACACCGAAGGTAAGGCAGTCGTTTGGGACACTGCCATTTGGGTCTTTGAACTCGTACTGCATCTTCTATGATCAAAAAGAATAATATCAATACAACATGGCTTCTCAAACTTTTTTTCAAGGCCGCACCCAATAATCCTAGGATAAGTATTATTTTTTTTTCAAATCTTCAACCAAAATGGATACCCTACTGAAAAGAAAGCACTAATGCAAGATTCAATTGAAAGAAATTCAATATTCACCCAGACCCATCACCGCAGGGGGGCCGCGCCAGCCCGCAAAGATGCTTAATGGCCTGGTTGATTAAATCAGCCGATTTAAAAGAAGAAGAAGAAGAAGAAAAGACTAAAATACAAACTTAGAGCAACATATAAATCAAACGTCAATGTGTTGAAAGACAACAACTGGCGGCCGTGATGTTTCAGGACCGGCCAGGAAATACACTACCCATTCAGGAAAATTCCGATATTTTCCTGAAATTCCCAATGGCCACCCCACCCCTGGACAAGGATTAATGAATTAAATTCATTGTGCCGTGCAATGCATTCTGGGAACCAAAAAAGATTCAAAAAAAATTTTTAACAGTAAATGTACAGTTGACCCAAATCCTCGAGAGACAATTTCAGCCTTCACAGACAGCAAGATTTGCTTCCATTGACCAAACGTGTTTTCATACCATGCGCTCTGGACCGCGCCGTGCCACCGGAAGTACAAACAACGTAGGAGACGATCATCAGCGTTGCTAAGCAACGGAGGGGAATCCCACGCTGTACATTTTGTTCATAAGCAAGGTCGCGACGGCAGTTGGCTTCCCACCGTTCGCCGTAACGAAGGCCTTTTCACTATTTTGTGCGGGTAAATCGGGTCCTTATAATGAAGTTTACGTCACAACCGTGTTTGTTGTAAGCAAACTCGGCAAAAGGAAACTGAATGACGTGAAATTGGGACTTTGAAATGTGAACGTTATAGAAAACGTAAACGGGGTACCTTGGAACGAGCTTTGACTGTAGCGATATCTACAATGCTCCCACCGCTTCAAGTGCTATCAGAAATAAAAATCACGGCGAGCACAGAATGTTTTCGTAAGATTGCATGAAGCGCTTCCGAGTGTTAGTAAACAAATATGTTTCTCGGCAGTGTTTCTACATGCCCAAGTGTACAATGGAGCAAACAGAACTTGAAGGTGAAGCCCTGAAGGTGAAAACCAAGTTGGACTCTCAGCTGGGAAGCGCCTCCTCGTGCCTCACAGACCTGGCCAGGCACCCCGGGGATGTCATCTTGAGCAGAAAGTACACCCTGAGGAGGACCCTGTATGCACTTCTGTGGCCTAGCCTGATGCTGGCTGGCGGAGCCCTGCTGGTGGGCCTGGTCAAAGTGACACAGTGTCTTGCTCAACTGTCGGCCGAGATATGCAGCGTGACGGCGGGGGAGCGCATGACTTCCAGATACACTCGGGGAAAATTCTTGCAACTTCTCCAGAGGTCGGCTGTGTCCTCGCCGATGTGACTGCGATGTTGATGTTGATGTCAGAAAAGAAGCAACATGCCCAAAGTTGGCATGCAGTGACTAATTTAGCGAGTTCCAAGAAATGGAGTACAACTACACGGTCCTCGTGGGGTCGAAAATGCAAATTGAGATATGCAAAAAAATTCAAATTCTACAACTTATTTCCAATACATGGACGTGCCTCAAATTGCTAAAATGGGAAATTTGATTTTAGAAATTTTCAATTAAAATGGTTACGTGCCATTTGGTGTGACAATAATGTTTTTGGGGATATTTAATGATGGATATGATATCTTAAATGCATTTGTCCACATCAAGGAAATAAAAACGTTTTGATGGTTCACCATTTTTTTTTTCTGATTCAATGTCCCACATAAGCAACACATCAACACTTGAAACATACTATTCAGTATTGACAAGTCAGTCCAAATATGCGCTGCCTGCATCATGGGGCGGCCGACACGGAATTTGGAACGACCCATCACGATGATCTTTTCATCTGCAAGTTGTAACTGTGCTCAAATTTGATTTGAATTGCATCCCACTTCAAAAAGCTCGAAGTGGAATTTTGTGGCGTCGCTGCCATGCACGCAGACGGTTCATTCGTGAACACGTCTCATTGGCGTGACGTGTCATCTGCAGTGGTGGCAAATCCAGGTCAAGGAAGTAAAAACCCCGCCACAGTTTGTAGCCACAAGTGCTACTGCTCAACTGGCTGGTAAACGAGCTAACATTTGCTAACAATGCACATTGTCTACTCGATCATCATTTTTACCAGAAAATGTTTTATTTCTTTCATCAAAATCATCACAATAAAACATAAGTGCCATTGCACAAACATTTCATGTTTGTTCACAGTAAAATAATAAAGGTCATTATGTTTGTCGGGAGAAACGCTTTATTTAACAATGGATACAGTTTGTTATCGGACAAGTCACAGGAGAATGACTAAAAAGTATTTGGAGGCTTTATAGTTACAATATATATGTAAATATGTACACAGATGGATATATAACATGTGGAACTTTTTTTTTTTTTTTTAACATGCAGGGTATTTTTTCCCCTCCTCATTGTGCTCTTTATGAACGCCATCATCAACCCGTGCATTCATCCACTCAACTTTTGTCTTTCATTTCACAACTACAAGCTGTCTACTGGGTTAGATGATAGACATTTTTTTTCTTTTTGGTTAGCAATTTAATATACGACTTTGATTATATATATTTTTTCAAATACAAAAATATATTACCTCTGTAGTTATTCAAGGGAAAAAAACAAAAACATTTGCACATGTAGCAGTAGCAGTTCTGTTACCTTCATTGTGACTTAGTTGTACCTCACAAGTAACAAGGTCATTTCTATACATGAAATTCAAGTAAACAGCATCAGGTCAAAAAAAAAAATAAAAAAATACTCGCAGACCTCATACATAAAGCAATGTGACCAAAAAAAAAAAAAAGGGAGAAAACGTACAAAGCATAGGAGAATGTGAATTGTTTCTCCACAAAGTAAATGCGAATGGGGTCTCAGTTCGTATGGGTCCAGCCCAAGCATTTGACCAGGACTGGCTTCCTCTATTTATAAAAACAAAAAACAGGAAACTACTGTGTGTGAGTGCATGTGTATAAATGCATCGTTTGGTAAAGCTAGGTACCTCTTCTGTATAAGATGACAATCATAGGAAGGAGGACACTTGGAAAGTTAAAAAGGACAACAAGCGCCGGCAAGGAGACAAGAGCATAACTGACTGATGTTAAGTAAGGTTAAAAAGGCAGGAAAACAAGTTTTTGTCTCCTTACAGTGCGGCTTTGTGCATTATTTTCTTCCACGTGTGTAATGGGTTTATAAAGTTTGCACACTTTTCAGTTGGGGAGTTGCTTTCTTTTTTCGTGACATCAACTGTTTTTTTTTGTCATTTTTGCATAATACAGTACTTATTAGGATCACAATTTGCATAGTGTAACAGCATATTACAACAACAACTAAAAAGAACACCACTTTTTTCTCCCCTTTTTTGCTTTTTAAGCCAGGCCAATTTATACCAAGTGGCCAAAGAGGTGAGTTCAAATCTGCGCATTTTCCCTCCGACCCAATAATACTGATAAAATGACACGCGCAAAACACATACTGCAGAAATCAGTGCGATGAGTACATGACAATTGGACCAGATGAGAGGGGGGGGGCCTTCTTTTTTTTTTTTAAATAAACAATAAGACTGTCGAGTAGAGGGGTGAACACATGTCGCACTTTGGCTCAGAAATGGGACTATACTGCTGAACAAAAAAAAAAAAAAAAAACAACAACAACAACAGAGTACGGTGTAATGACTTCAAACATGGTGGACATATCCGTATGCTACAAGTTAGCAAATTAGCAAAGGCGGGTAAGTCCAGGTAATAAATGCTATTATTCAAATATCTCAGTCAGTCTCATACTTATGGAAAGCAGTTTGAGAATTTATTTGATCTTCTTGATTCCCAGTTTGATGGTCATGTACTAGTATACTTTTTGACCTCACTTGACAATTCAGCACACTAGTAGAACAAAATGTCTTTCTATTAGAGGGGGAGAAAACTCTACAACTAGTGCAATTTTTTTTTTAACCAACAATTTTACAAGGGACCCTACCGTGCTGGACTAGAAACAGTACAAAGCCCAACTTCCTCCTGGACCCTACTCGTAGTCTCAATATGTCCACTAGTAACATGCCGTTGTCCTACTAGTGTGCAGAATTGTTGTGGAAGGCGGTGTGTGTCAACTAGTGCAGAGTTTGCTTCATTGGCGTCATCTAGTTGTCCTACAAGTATACCAAAGTAGTCCTGCTAGAGTGCAGAAATATACTGTTGTGAAAGGAAACAGTGGGAAAAAAAAACATTACTACTGAGCCAGTTGTTCTTCTAGTTGGCTGAATTGTCATACTTGTGAGGACAAAGACCGTACCGAATCGAATAAATGCTCTCACGGCTTTTCCATTTGTACTCTGAATACCGTTACTTCCTTTTTTCAGGATTGTGATGAGTCATCTCAATCGGCTTCTCAGTGTCCTTTTCTTTCTTCCATATGAACAAATATCATCCCCTCTTTTTTAATGGTTCATAGTTTTAAATTAGGTAGTGGAAATTTTGTAGTATGACCCCTGTCAGCTGTCCAGGATTATTGTTATTATTACTATTATTATTTTTAAAAAAAAAAAAGCCTGCTGTGCTCAAGATGTACAACTTCATAGTGATGTTCCTCGTAATGCATTGGCAAAGTCTGTCCCCCCCCCCCAAAAAAAGTGTATCTCGTTAGCTCTTATGAAGACGGCCGAATGTGCCCGAGGTCCATGAGACTGTTTTCGTTCCTATGGAGGAAACTGATGAAATACAACTCCACCATGCCTTCAGAAGTTCATGTAGTGCAGCCACAAATAAATTCCTAAGGGTGTAAAAAACATTTAGTGTCCCTGATAAAGGCTCTTCTTAGCACCCCTGTTCATACTGCGCTGGCAGGTAATGGTTCAGAGTCACATGCTGGCAAACGAAACCAGGTCTTAGTGTGGCAATTCATGGCCGCTACTGCATTTTGCATTCTCAGTGCGCAGCTCGTTCTGGTCAATGTTTCTGTTCGCTCAACTATTTCGCTTGCCGCTTCAGTTCATGGCGTGCTGGCGGATGGTGTGGAAGATCCAGTCCATTTTCGTAGTCCAGCCGCCATGGTGAGCGTCGTTCATCTGCTTCATGAAATAGTCGAGGGCCTCCTGCTCAGTTTTGTCCAGGGCCAAGGTCTTCCGGATGTAAGCGATATCGTCAAATGACTGTAACTCGGGCATCCCTGAGCCCAGCATCATGGAAAACAGGTTGATGAAGAGGTTGGCGTGCTGCCGGATTGCCAGGTAGGCCTTGTAGCACATCTCCTGAAACCTGGTGGGCGCAAAGGAAAGCCAAAACCTCATCAGCCTTTGTGACCAACATTGTCACAAGAACCGAGGTTCGGTTTCTTCCCAGACCGAGGTTCGGTTTCTTCCCAAATTATCTTCTCCCATTGAAATGCCAATAATCTTCTCTGGAAGCTTAGCACATAACAGAATATGAAGAATTGAACACTTTTTGCTTCAATTCAACGCAGACTGCGCTGCTCATTTTGATGCGCGCACCTTGGCTACGGGGGGCATTATCTTCTTACGGCCATATTGCGAACTCTTCAGTAGACCGGGATAATAATTGTTCTTCGAAGAGGATAAAGAATGTATGACTGGGATCATTATATTATCCGGCCCAGTGTGCAAAAATATCCATCGCCTGGAGGGTTAAAGCACTGCCACAAAGATACTATTCGTGAGCTCATGTGTGGTGTTTCTCATTATGTGTTAGCAATAAGCTAGTGGAATGTAATGTGTGGTTGTTTTAAACAGGCATGTAATTGTCTTTGTTTTATGTGTCGTTTGACGGTAAACTGCAACTGGGAGTGGCACTAAACAGGAAGACATTGTTCACTAGCATTAGCACTAAGCAAGCAGACTTTAGGTATACAAAAATGATGGGCTTGGTTGAGCAATTTGGTGTTTAAATATACAAGCATATTTTGAGAAGTTAAAAAAAAACAAGTTTGTTTAAGTGTGTTTAATACGTGTGGGAGGGGTACAACTATTTTCAAAATATTTTTCATTTGGTATCCCCATATTGGAGATTTTCACCTATTGGAGTGGGATTGGAACGCATCTCCCACGATAAATGGAGATTCACTGCATTGAACAACGGTAAGTAAAAATCCGAATTGAAAGTGAGCACGGACTGTACCTTTCAAACTCTCTTGTTTTGGTGCACTCCTGCGTTCCTTTGCTTATGACGATCAAGAAGTCTTGCGTCAGAACAAAGGGCACACGCTCTCGCTTGTATCCAAACTTCTTCTTTTTGTGGTCAAGGAAATGGCCAAAATCGATGTGGAACAGCTGCAGCGCATCAATAAATGAAGGACACTCGTGAGAAGTATGAGCGGAAGATTAGAATGATGTCATGTTGAATTTTACCTGTCCATCATCTTTAACCATGATGTTGCTATTGTGTCTATCCCCTATCCCCAGGATAAATGTGGCGACACAATAGCCTGCGCATGATCGTGTGAACAAATCTACGGCTTGGTCATACCTAAAATAATAATCAATAATCAATGTCAATCATGACAAAGGGCATCAGAATTAGGTTTAATGTCCGAATGTGTGGCTTGTCATTATTCTGACTAAAGCACTGCCCGGGTATTGCGCTGCGCCACTCACATCTCGCCCTTGTTTTTATCCTTGAGCCACTGGTGCAGAGTGTGGCTGTTGAACTGCAGCGCCCCCTTTAGGCCTCCTTTGCACTGGATCTGCATGATGGTGTGAGAATTCCTCACCACCTCGATCAACCCAACGCAATCACCAATGGACAGACAACCGTAAGGGAGCATCCTTGAAAGACAGAAAAAGAGAGAAGGAAAAAAAGTGGGGGCCCGAGATCAAAGATTTAGGTTAGTGAAATTGCACGTTAATTCAAAGGATTCTCTGTGGTTCCCAAGAACTGCGTAAGCCAGTGTGGAAGGGGCGATCTAAAATGGCTTCTTTTTCCATCTTTTTCTTGGCTAGCTTCAGGCGCCGGTTCTCAAACTGGGGTTCGCGAGCTGCGGCTTGCCCAAGAACTAGAAATAATGATTGTTTTATTATTTTTAAAATGTGCTTATCTACACATTGGGGCAACGTGCCAGCAAAACAAACATGCTACATCAATGATCCCACCTCAGCTTAGCTTTGGGCCACTCGATATGATATTGTGATGTATTATCACATTATTTTGACAGCCCTGCATGAATATGGTTTATCTTTAGCAAAAAAAAAAAAAAAAGTTGTAACGTTAGTACAGTAATAAAGTCATAAATTCCTTTTTTATTAGAGCAAAAGGTGTATTTTCCAGGGTGTAATAAAGCCTAGTTTTCAAATTATAGTTACCGTATTTTCACACCTATAAGGCGCCATTAAAAGTCTAAAATTTTCTCCAAAGTGGACAGCACGCCTTATAATGCGGAGCGTCTTGTGTATGCGCTGAGTACCAAAACCTGACAGAGAGCCGACGCGCGTTTATATAGAGAAAAGGCGTAAGTGAATGAGGACAGGCATGCGGCGAAGAAGTCGGCCAATCAGTGAAGGGTGGGCGTGTATATATAATAGAGAGAGAGAGAGAGAGAGAGAGAGAGAGAGAAAAAGAAAAGGCTGACGTGAGTGAGGACAGGCATGCGGGGAAGAAGTCCGCCAATGAGTGAAGGGTGGACGTGTAAGTGGATGCTAAAGGCACGCCCCTAGCAGGTACCAGCACCTGTATAAAGTGTGGATATGTGCGTTATTGCAAAACAACTTCGGTTTTGGTTTCTAAGAACCCCCGAAATTACTTCTACAAAGAGACACGCCTACAAAGCTTCAAGCCATCGGTTATGCGGAGAAACATGGGAATCGAGCAGCCGCGAGAGAATTTCAAGTCAACGAATCCATGGCTCGCAAATGGAGGAAGCAGGAGAACGAGCTTCGCCAAGTCAAAAAGACGAAGCTGAGTTTCCGTGGACAGAAGGCGAGGTGGCCCGAGTTGGAAGACCAACTGGAGCGGTGGATTGTTGATCAAAGAGCAGCCGGCAGAAGCGTCTCCACAGTCACCATTCGACTGTGTACTCACGTTTGTTCGACTGTGTACGTTGATCAAAAAACGTGAGTACATTGTAAGATGGCTAAATAAAATGCAACTGAACTCAGTTTTGCTTCCGTTGCCTTTTTAAAAACGTGTTTTTAGCGTGTATCCGGTGTAAAATACCAAAATAGCACCCGTTAGTGAGACTGCGCCCAACAATACGGTGCGCCGAATGGTTGTGAAAATACGGTATATATTTTTTTAAATATACATGTTAAAATTTCTTCCATCAATTAACTTTAACTTTAATATCACAACATCAATGAAATGTCTGTCTTAGAAAAAAATATTACTTTTTATCCCAATACGGTATGTTTTTTTTTTTTCCCCCCTCTATCATCATAACTTACCAAGGGAGCGGGAAGATAGCGTGTGAATCGCCTGGTCGCCCATTTTGGCTACAGCGCTGAAGTAGGCCTCACTACAAACACCTAATGCTGTAAAAACACACAGAAAACATATGAAACAGTTACACCATGTTGGAAACTCTGAGATTGTTACGACAAAATTAAAATGTATAATACGTGTGCTGGTGTGTTAACCACTACTCCACCATTGCACAATCTATACTCAATTTTCATCCCTTTTGCTCTTCTCTGTTCACACCTACCCTGGAAAGCTTTGACATAGCTGTTACCCAACGCGACGAGCTTCTGAAGGCCGGGGTTGAAATGTTCCATCAGGTTCTACAGTTAACAAAAACCCACATGACCGTCTGTAAGTTCTGCTCTTAATTCGCACAACCAAAATGTGTTGAATTTTCATTTTTTCCCAAAAACGGTTTTTTTTTTTTTTTTTAAAAAGCCCCCCCCCCCCCCCACCATGGAAAATATTTACATCACAGGATGCACGAGTAAAACATGAAATAACGTGAAGGTATGTGCAACACGTATCCAAGCTCGAGCTTCTTGTTTTTGAAACATCATGTGATGAGTTTGGCTTACGCTTTTGGAATCGCCGTGTCGTATCAGCACTGTGAACACTTGTCACCTGGGACTCACTGTCCACGCCCCGTTTCTTTGTTTCTTTTTTACAGCAAACGTAGCCTTTGCGCCGACATCACCGAGCAACTAATTAGCACATACATCCACCTGCATTGGCTGTCCCTCTTCAACAAGGTCGGTGTGGAAGAGGCGGGCGACTAAGAAGAGGCTCTAGCGCTACACCTCTGATGTGCCAATTTACTGGGAAGCCAATGTCAAAGCAGCTTTAGTGTGTGATGACCCAAGGTGGCTGGAACCCTTTGAGGTTATTCAGCATTAAAGGCGTCGATCAGAGAACATAAAAGTTATCCGCCGCCTATTAATGAGCACCTGCATCCTTGCTGTCACGGTGGAAGTGAGGCACCTACCTGAGATCAAGGCCTTGGTTCTGCCAGATGTTCTCCATTATCCTAATGATCTGCAGCGTCAGCATATCCTGCCTCAGATCTACAGAGGCACAGTAAGATGGGAAAGTAGATGGGAATAACATTAGTAACTCAACGACGTGTTGGGACATTATGGAGGAGGGCTGTCAACGTTCCTTTGGTCACACAATTGCACTGTGCGATTTGGATAACGCCATGACCAGATTCCAAGTACAGAGACTGCATCTTGAGTTCCAGAGCAAACGTGGATGATGTCAAAAACTTACCATCTCCATTTTTGAAGATGATTTCATTGTTCTGAAAAAGGAGCTCTGACATCATATCTGGGTTTTCCCAATTAAGCCACAGCGGTCGCTTGGCAGATGACATCATCCGACATTCTTCCAGACTGGAACAGAAACCAGCACACAATTAGTGAGAAGCAGAAAAAGAATGGTATGACTCGGGAAGAGATGGCGGACAAAATAGTTTTTTTTTTTTTAAAGGCAGCTGTGTCCTTAGGAGACACATCATTCAGAACTACAGGTAAAAGCATAAAATGTATTTTCAAAAATAAAATACAGTATTGCTAAGCGCTCTGAGAACGCATGTGACTAATATGAACCAATCTCAGCCGTCTCACAGGGCTCTTGACTAGCCATCAGCCAGCAACAGCTAGTAAGGGGCCCTTGTGGGGGATTTCAAACAAGCTGTTGTTGCAGCATCAAAGGCAGAGACGTTGTTTTGTCTACTGGGCCCAATGTCAGCCTGGGGGGGCCCCAGGCATTTCCTCAGCCTCACTACCAGAAGTCTGAGAACATGCAGGGTGCTTGTGGAATATTGTACGCGTTAAAATAAAACAAAAGTCGTGGGGGGGATAAAATCACAGGAAACACTCGAAGCTTAGGCTACCCCACCGTTTCATTATGTTATTTCATAACTTTGCTGCTGTGAATTGGGAATTTCTCCATTGTGAGACTAATAAAGGATTTCTTATCTTATCTTATCTGAGATAGTGTTTTGTTACCAGCAGCGATTCCGAAGCCAACCAGAACTGCTGAAGTCTCATTATTTAAAATACAGACACTACTTTTTAATCAATATTACACATTTTCTATATTTACATTAAAGATGCTAGGAAAAAAAACATTGAAAACAATAGGCATATACCACACATTAGCGAAATATAGCAGGGATTTCCGCGATAAAAAAGTAGTTGCATTTCAACCAAAAATATCTGCCATACAGCGGGACGGCAGTATGTGAGACCTGATTTTGCGCGGATCACGATATTAAACACACACACGCACAGACGCACAATAGCAGTAGTCGGGTGAGTTACATAAAGAATGTGAAGTACCGGAGGTTTCCCAGCTGATGTGCTGGGTTGAGCGGGGAGGTGAAGCTCTGCAGTGCATCCATGTAGTCTGGCCTCCTCATTTGCTCCACCAGAAACTTCATTTGAACCTGTGAGGAGAGAATCAGGTAGATCAATAACCCGCCAGGTGTGGGCAGCTGGAACGAATCAAGCCAGAGAAGTAAACAGAAGCGCTGCCCATCTGCTGGTTTGCTTCAGCAAAAAGACTAACCCTTCACAATGACGTAACACTGCTGTACTCCGGGCTGAGTGGGAGAATAAACACCCAGTGGGCATGGAAGTCGTCCACGCGTACAACGCTTGGCAATGCAAGTAAGAATGATGAAAGGATTCTGAAATCTACATCATCTATTCGAATAAATACATAAATAAATAAATATGTACAATATAATATGGATTGTGTGGAAGGTCAGATACCACATCGCCTGGATAACACAAGTGACTCGTCAACATGCATGGCTTTCCCAACATTCATCTGTTCATGTTCAGCCTTTACAAATCGAAACGCAAAGGAAATGGCGATTTTGATGAGCCGTCGCCCGGCTGTTTTTTTTTCGTCGCGCGCGGGAATCACCCGTCGCCGTGAATCAATATTGCAACTTGGTATTCTTTGTGAAATGCACTTTTCTTTTTCTTCTTGGGGGGGGAAAAAGACTCATGTTGAATGCTCACTGGGCCCTGTGCCCATTGCAAAGAAATTTTCCAAATCTGTTTATTTTACTCATTTTGCTAGCTTATGGATTGAATATTCGCGCTACCCAACTGAGACAACAACCAAATTGGCCCATGCATCGGTATCCTGGTAGTTGGGGACCACTGACATATATGACCTATTTATACATCATAATTGGGACGGAAGGTACCTTAATATCATCCATCCATCCATTATCTGAACCGCCAATTAAAATAAATAAAAGACTGGTTATTTTTACCGCAGCCTTTGTGAAACGTTTCTCTATAATCTTTTTTTTAACAATAGAACAGGACGAGCCAGTACAAGAAAACAGCAACCATCCCCAAATGTATCCGAAGCTCCAAAGCACACTAATGACCTCCGTGGCCCCGAGGCCAGATGTTGCCGAGATTAAACTCCGTGATTTGGCCAAGCAGCTGTCAGCAGTCGGATTACCTTCTGCGCCTCATCCTTTTTCTCCTGTTTGAGGAGGTCAGTGAGATTGATGAGTTTCTCCATGGCCTCCACCTGCCGGCTCAGGTGCTTCAGGTACATGCCGCAGGCCCGGCAGTACGACTCCAGCAGGAGTCCAAACCTCTGGCTAACTGTCTTATTGTGCATTTCTGATCTGAAGACACAGGGGAGAAGAAACATTGTTAATGTGTTTTTGCCTCTTATTTTTAGATTTCTACAGTATTTCCAGCGGAGACATATTTGAAAAAATTTGTCTGAATTGGACTGGATCCTGAGGAAACTCCCAATTAATTTTCACAAAACTTACCCACCATTAGCTGTCAAAATGCTAGACTATAGCTGGTAATTTATTGAGATGTCAGGTGAAAAATATTTAACCTTTGTGATTGTTTTGCTTATTCTATATTTGTTTTCTTTTTGTTGTGGTTTTTACATTCAATTAAAAAATTTAAATTGCAGTCACTGACAGCTGCACTTTCCACCCTCCACCACCTTCTCGAGTCACACACCACAGCCTGCTCGGCACTGCGCTGCTCTGGTGGTGTTTAAAAAAAAAAAAAAAAATTGCAGTCTATATTGTTCTTAATATTTTTGCGGAAAATCAATTCTGAATAAACCCATCAAGACCAAAGTCCTTGGTTTTTATAAATATGAAAATAAACTTACTTCAAATGCCAGAAGAAAAAATGTCCTATCCTCTGATTGGTTAAAGCCTTTTTCAACAGGAAACGGCCGAGTGGATTATCGAGGTACTGCTCATACTTTAGAACCTGTTGACACAGAGAGAATTTAGAGGCGTACAACAAAATCATTAATACTGCAGTACGCCAAGCATCTGAAAGATATCAAACAAGAGTTTCATTAAAAAAAGATTCAGCGAGGTTGGGACTTCAGCGACATGAAAACGACGAAAAACCTCAGTAATGAAAACCGTGGTATCTTTGTGTACGCCGTTTTTTTTTTTTTGTTGTTGTTGTTTTTTAAATACAGCTCTTGTATCGATCTTTTTATATTGAGCAGGTGTGCCTCCTGAAGCGTCCAGTCAAGTGTACATGGCCCAGCATGAACACAGAATACAGCAAAAATATAACTCACCTGAACCAATTGAATGAGGTACTGTGACAGTTTGTCATCAGTTAAATATTTCTCAAGGCACTTGACAGCAAAATCTCGGATCATGGGATCGGGAAAGTTGCAATCCAGCAACTCCATGGCTTGTTCCGGCTTGATCGCAGGCCAATCCTTCAGAAGGCAATACATCTGGCGGCAAAGAGGTACAATTACGCTGAGCAGTTCTAAACACGGGAAAACAAATCGACACTGGATAAAAGAGGGAATCCGCTGTCGTTATCAATGTCAAAATCTGCTGAGTTCTGTCTGTAACTCAAGTAAGCCCGGTAGACATTTGTTGGCCCAAACAATGTCCTGAAATGAATACACGTCAGCAATGGGGAGGAGGGAGGGCAACGGATCTTACTTGTGCAACCTCATCTCTGGAGTTCCATTTCACAGCAAGGAGAATCTTGGGAAGGATGTCGGGCATGTTGACACAATAATGTCTGTGAGAGTTTCAGGAAAGCGCATCAGCTATATTTGAGAATACTACAGAGAAACTCAAGAAAACGATTTGCCATGCGCTGTCAAATTAATTTGTAACAATTCGGTCACATCGTGGACTTGCACACATTACCTATGCCTCCATAAAAAGTCTTTCTCCTGCTCAGTGATCTCAGACAACGGGTCCCGGTTACAAACTTGGCGAAGCTGCTCATTGTCGATGTCTGTGAAGGAGTTGTCTCGGGCCACTCTGTTACTCTATTGCACCACACCACACATTGAAATAAACTCGACCGTGTTCACAGCACATGATGTACAAACTACAGTGGAACCTCGGTTTGTCTTCAAACTATTCCAAATTTCGCACATCCGATCAAGTTTCCGCACAGCTGAAAATGGTCCGTACCAAACTCATCTGCCTACCTGTGTGAATCTGTCACTCATTCCCTGGAATCTCGTGCCACACAAAGCATCCCAAGCAAGTTCAAAACTTGACGGAGTTTTGGCTCGAGTGAGCATCACCGCACCCGCATTTTGTTTTCTTAGCTACGAAGCGCAACTGTTCAATAAGCCACCAGGGTGCCCAAGACAGTTCCAAGTGTCGTGCCTTCGATAAAGAAGACCGGACACACCATGGAACTTCAACGTATAAAAATGGCAGATTGCTCTTCTAAACAATTACCTCTCCTCCATTTTAGTCTGAATATCTGCAAGGATTCGTCGCCGAAACTGAGGCTCCACTGTATTTTATTTTTGGGGGTCAGCACAGATGGAAAAGTTCACTGTCATGATGAATATGGTGCAAACCTAAGAAGTGTGCTCTCTTACCAAACCTGTGGGGCAGTAATTAAAGCCAAGCTCTCGAGATATATTCCAGTTGGCGTGATCCTCAATGATGGTCATATCAGGGAACTTTACTGGAGAACTAAAATGGTCAAACTCCAACTCCAGACAAGGGGTTTCCTACAAGATTTAATATTTTAGTCTATATTTTTGTATGAAAGAATGCCACTCACATCGAGAAAAACATGGTGCTTAAAGAGAGGTGGTCAAAATTCAATCATGAAATTACCACCATCTCTATTACAGGTGGAGATGTCGGTTCACATAATACACAACTAGACTCTGCAGAAAATTTGGCTAACCTTGTTGGGGTTTGAGCCCGAGACACCGATGGGGTTGAGCAGATCTTCCAGGCCGTGTGGGACGGGCCAGAGGTTGAGCGCCATCTTTCCTGCTACGAGTGTGTGGGTGTAGTCAAACAGGTTGATGTTGCCCCAAGCCAGAGGACAGTGCTCCTGCAGGAAAATACCGGTAAGTTGATGCGCAGAAAAACAATTACAATAGCAACAAAGCCGCAGCTAACTTGTTTGGTTCCCATGATGCTGTTTGTCCACGTGAGTAGAGTATATCGAGTCAGAGCTGAGTCAAGGCAAAACAAGGCAGGGCAGCTTTTCAGACAGGAGGTGACACAATGTGCTTTATGTGATGAAAAGTACAACATTTAAAAACAAGGAAGTAAAGATACTTAAAAACAGATGTCAGAAATAAAAGACAGCTGACTCAATTTTTGACATGTACAGTGCAAAAAAAAAAAGATTTTAAACATCAATTTTAAAATGCTTTAAAAAGGAGCTCAAACATAAGCGTGGGGAAAAAAAGATTGTTTTTTTTATCCTGGTCTTAAAAACATTCACACTTGGGGCTGACGTCACGACTGATTGCGGCTTCTTCAATTTCTGCGCTCGCTGCAGCGTTCTGATCAAGTTGCAACCGTTTCATGCTGTTTCGAGGGAGTCGAGTCGGAAGCACATTACAAATAGTTAAGTCGACTAAAATGAACACAAATGAATATAGAATACAAATACAGTAATGAACTATGAGTAATTTACAGCCACCCCCCAAATGTTTACAATTGCCTATATTAATAATTCAGCCTTTTCAAACTCACCTTGTGGGACCCTTAATTGCCCACTTTTTTAAAATTGATTGTGACTGAGCTTTTCCCTAAACTGTCATCTAGCGCTGACCTATCTGAAGCTCGCTTGTACATCAAATTTTAGCTCACAAAAAAAAACGATTCAACCAAAAAGGAGGGACAAGTGTGTGATTGCTTTTTACGCGGAAAACTCCTCAATGAGTGCTCTCAAGTAGACAAGGTATCAACATATTACAAACTTTGATGGCAATGATGTCATCCAGCTCCACAACCACCAAACATTGCTCCAAATTTATCGAAAATGGTCGTCTCAGTGAGCTGACTTCCTTTTTAAGTGCAACTGCAGCTCACCTCTTTTGCTCCCTTCCTGCCTTTAACAGAACAGATGGAGAGGCATAGGCGGGCAGCCCGCGGGATGTCTGGAATGTACATGTCGTAGTTCAGCCACTCATTCCACCTAGGATAGAAAAGAATGACATGTTAAAAAAAAAAACCACACACACACAGATAAGTGTGCGTCACCGGATTTTGTTGTGACTTACCGGGGATTTGAACAGGGCACGCGCTGGGTGTTGACATTGTCGCACAGCTGCTCTCCACCGTGGTATATCCCAGTCCTGACGTAGATCTAAATCAGGCGCAAACAATACACCACGTACAACTGATTCATCTCCATCTCGACTGATCACGATGTGAGGGAATAGCGTAACAATAACCAAAGTAAGAGTTGATAACTTAAGAGGCGAATAATCATCAAAGATGATGTAACCACACGCTTGCTGCAGTTGTACCTTGTCTATGTCTCTGATATTGACATTGACATAAGTGGCACAGAGCACCCGAATCCTGAGTGCGCCGTTGATAGTCCAGAGAGACTTTGTGGATGTTTCCCCATTCATGTAAGGAGTTGCTGTGGATATTCGTCTGGCGTATGACGGCATGGTGAAATTGTCCATGGGCAGTTGGGAATACAGACTGTCTTTTGCCATCAGCATCAAGTTGGGCATTCGCCCCAACATGATGCAGCTGCGCACGTACTGAGGACAGAGAAAAACACCATTTCTAAAAATGACGGAAATAAATATTCACAACACATTTTGGTCCTTTCCGTTTCAACCGAATTGGATACGATGCGTTTTGCGCTCGGTGGCTAAGCATCAGATGTAGTTAGTGTCACGTGAAATGAGATTACCTTGTACTGACTCAGAGGGTATTTCTCCAGTAAGTACTCATCGCAACCGCAGACTTTGAGGATGTACTTCCCTTGATACTCCTGCACACACATCTTTAACTGCTCCTGGGAGAGCAGCATGCTGCGCGTCTTCTTGCGAATGGCCTCGGCGATAACCTGCTCCGGCACGCAGTCATGGTTGATCTTCAAAGTGTACTTCTGCTTATCATTGCTGGGTGACACAATAACCCAGATTACCACAATTATTTGACCTGAGGAAAAAGAAATACAAAGTATTGGTTACAATATTTCAGTTTTAAAAAGAAAAAAAAGGGCATCAATAGCTTTTGACTCACCTTTATCTAGTTTGTTATAGATGTGCCTGGGCAATTCTGCTGAGGATTCCACGTTCGGGGGATAGACATACAAAGCTCTACTGTGGGGTCCATTACAATCTCGAAGGTCCACTGCCTCTTTGCAAACATTTAAAATGTTCCTTCTGAAGTCCTGCACTTCCGGATCTTTAACCAAATCAAACTCACATATGGGCATCCCAATAGCGAAACCTAAAAGGGAAGAACAAACACATCCAACAGCGTCATTAATGCAGATAAAGCACATCATTTCTGCTTCCTCCAGTTTTCATGTTTGTAATTCGCATTGCTTCTAAAGTGCTCTAAAGTTCGTTTAGATTGATTTTTTTCCCAAAAATGACTTTTAAGCAAGCCCTGTTAACTTTGACAGATTCCGTAGAGCTCACAATGCAAGTTGTGGCCAACAGTACTTTTATTTTGTTCATTCTACGGTAATTTGTGAACGATACCTATTTCTCGATTGAGAATCTTTTCTTCTCTGTTGCCGACAGGCTCGATGACTTTGAGAAAGGCCTGGAAGAGTCTAAGGTCGCATAGCCTCCTGGTTTCATCGTAAAACTCCTCTCGTTCTGCCTCTTGGGTGACACTGACAAAGATGTAGGAGCTCTCCTCCTGCAGTAGATGGTAGAGAGGATATTTCCGGGCTTCTTTGAAAAGCTCGTGCTTCACTGTGATTAGCGTGGCCTCACGGAGGCACTCCAACGTGAGGATCATGCCATTCGGCAGGAGGCAGTCCACTTTGATGCTGGGTGGCATCAAGTGCATCCCCCATAGTTCTCCCGAGGATGGCCGGGGTGGCATGGTTCTTCCGGTTAATCCACCTGGTTTTTGTTGTTGTTTTTTTTTTTAGAGGATAGATGTGAACCAGCTAAACGGGTAGAAGGAAAACAAGAGTTACAAATGTACAACATGCCCAAGAACAATAATGCCAGGCTAAAAGTTCAATTTTTGATTTCAAAACTGATGGACTTACTTTCCCTTAGAAACAAATAAGCCAAAGCTACGTTACTCGAGCATTTGTATTTCCCCGAAGATTTTCTTTGTTAACATTCTGTACACATGCTTAATACAGTACAGTAAGGCAAGGGAGGTTTACAGATGGAGCTGATAACAAGGAAAGGGAATACTTAATTCTGTGTGATTGATGCGATGACAAGCATTTCATTAGTATAGTTGTGTGTGTATCGACCACTGACTGGCTGTCAGAAGTGGTCAGTCTTGATCGCGTACTTTGCGTGGGAACAGAACCGCAGCGTTTAACATTAACATTGATCAGACGGCCACTACGCCACAGATAGGCCATTATCCACCTTCAGACGCTGGACCAGTACACATTTCTAAATTATGGCTGCCGTTGGGACGTAATACTTTTTGTACTGAAAAAATCCGGCAGAAAAGGGGATGTTGTTATGACGCAAGGGAAAAAAAAAAAAAACACGTTCAACTGGATAAAGGGCACTGATTGGGGTTAGCCTGATGTCACTAGCTATCGCCAGCCCGGTCGATTCTTGCTGAATTAATATACTTGTACCAACGGCAGCAGGATCATGGAATAGAACCACAAAAAAAGCAGCAATGCAAAGTGATGCTTCATCGCCAGGTTATTATGTCCAATCTTACACGAACAACAACAGTGTTCCAATGAGAAGTTGATGCATTATAGAAGTTTTAGGACATTGTGCACCAACAAGAAGACACGTAACGGCAACACTTGTTGGAATACAGTGTATTTAAGACCTGCCTTGTAAAAGCATCGTTGATGGTGAGCAATATTGGGGGGGTTCTGTGCCAGTCCATCCAAAATATGTCCTCACATGAGAACGGCCAGTCAAGACACGTAACGGCAACCAACACTTGTTGGAATACAGTGTATTTAAGACCAGCCTTGTAAAAGCATCGTTGATGGTGAGTATCGGTAATATTTAAAATCATTGGAGGGGTTCTGTGCCAGTCCATCCAAAATATATCCTCACATGAGAACTGCCAGTGGCACAAAAACATTTTATGGAATATTCGATTTCAAATATATGTGTGTGTGTATATATTCCTGAAGTTAGTACACAGTCTGGCACAAAAACATTTTATGGAATATTATATTTCAAATATATGTGTGTGTATATATTCCTGAAGTTAGTACACAGTCATGCCATGACTACATGTATGAACTGTTGTTTGTGTTTAGCAAGCATTCCAATGACAACACCCTTTGGAAAACAAGATAAAGACTATGAAAGTTTGTGATAGTTTCAAACTTGGATTCAACTGTCAATATTGTCTTTGTATTAAAACGAGCAATTGGTGCATTTTCACCTGTTTTAAATAGTCATAACTTTCTTTTTGTTTGTTTCAGGAAAACGGGTATTTAGAACAGTGGAATTGTTTTTAAAAGATCTCTCTTGACAAACCAACTCAATTAATCTTTTACATTTTACACACATACCTACCAACATTAATTAGGAAAATAATGTCACAAGTAGTAAAAGAATGTGACATCTCACAAATGCCACACGAAAGCGTTCCAATTACGGTACAAATATCATAGTGTTGCACAGAAAACTCTAATCTGGCATTTGCCCCAAAATAAGATTTACTGTGCGAAGATGTTGTTTTCACACATAAACTTGCCAGTCATCCCTCCAAACTTTGTGCTGCTACTCACTGGGCTAATGCTAGCTGATGGATCATTTTCACGAATTGTCTAAGCAGATCAACTGTCACAAGCAATATGGAAAACCTCGATACGCATACACAAGCTCAGTGTAGATCTACGCGATATACATTTGTTATCGGGTGCTTGTTCATCGGGAGGAGTAAAGGAGAAGAAAACATCATGCTACCTACCTGTGTCACAGAGCTAGTCCGAACCGGTTGGCCGCGACGCTAGCCATCCAGCACAATCATTAGTAGCGGCGGCTAACTGCGCAAATCCCATCCGAGCCTGCTTCGGAGGTCCAAACATTAGTCCTTCCGAAACATTAGTCCTTCCAAAGCATGGCCGTGGGAGCGAAATACGCTTCTTATTGTCCAGCGGTGGTGCGGAAAATGATAGACAACTTCATGATGTTTCCCGTTGGGCTGCCCCCAAAGTAAACGGCACGGTGTGGTAACATGCTAGCTGGCCCGAGCTAACTACAAGCGGGCTCTTCGTGACGGACCGCCCAGGGAAGCGGCTTGTTGACGGCGGATTTTACTGGAAACATCTTCTGTTTATCTTCCTGTTAAAGGGAATGAGGTCAACCTGGAGGAATTTCATTGATTAGACCAGTGGTTCTGATCAGGTGTGTCCCCGGTACACTGACCTTTCTAATGGAAAAGCCGCCGCCTAGTTTTATACAAGTTAATAACAAAAAACAAAACAAAAAAAAAAAGAAAACATATGGTTCACGGGAGGTATGTGTGAAATCTTTCAGAGTGACGAAACCAGCATTACAAAAAAGATATTTTTAAGACGATTCTAGTGAAAAGTATCATTTTATTGAGACAAATACAAAAGTAGTGACTGGTGAAAATCTTAATCTAAATCCTATTTTCAAAAAGTTGGTGTTAGAAAGCTTTATAAAACAGAGAACAGGCAACAAATAATAACGATGGCCTGATTAATTTATAGTTAGTAATTATAGAAAGCTCTAGGGCCTAGCTTTACAAAATAATTTCAATCATAAATTACTCACAAAAAGTGGGGGATATTCAGTTTTCGGGTGACATTTTAGGATGAACCTAAAATCTCAACATGAGAGACTGGAAGAGTCACAGAAAGGTTAAGAAGTAGATGTCCTTGGAATTTTTGTGGTCAAAGCTTAGGTCAAATGCCACTTGTTAATTTTGCCGTTCAGCTGTACGGTTGCTATTGGAAAAATCATGACCCACTTTCTTAGACATTAACAAGAAAATGTCATGTTCAAAAATAGCCTCATGTATGTCATATTTTAAGCAAAAACAGTACTGTACCCACGCTTACATGTTCTAAGTACCATTTAGAGCACTTCCTTAATAAATTGAGGATGACCAGGACGATCGCATGTTCAAAAATAAATTAGGTAAATAAATAAGGTAAAATGAAATATCAGTTTCATCAAACCTTTGTTTATATAGCACATTTCAATGTGCGTCACAAAACAGGTAATAAACAACATCATAACTTAAGTAGAATTACCAATATGAAAAGTAAAACAAAAAAATACCCTCTGAAATGTACTCTAGTACAAAAGTCTAAATTTACTATCAATTACATGCAGTGCATATTCTGATAATTCGGCAGAAGAAAAAAATAGTTAAAACAATTCTTTTCTCTGTGGTGTGTCAAATTTAGAGGATGCATTTATTTTGACTTCACAGAGACTTAAAAGAGGTCGAAGATGCGATGCACTTTTTGTGAGTAATGTTGGAAAAAAATGTACAATAAATCTGGTTCCCACTTCTTGTACCATAAAAGTAATCGAGTATATATCATCCTATCTGACAATGTAATGCTGCATACAAAAAAGGAATTTCATTTCTAATAGAAAATGCATAGAATTTTAAATAAAAAAAGAAGTGGAAAGTAATAATCAGGTAATGAAAGACTGGCGAGACCTGCTGTTTGTTTTGGTCACTCGAAATAGTCGTGAGCACATGATTCTCTTTTCTGAATTATAAGGGTGTATAAGAACAATGTCAAAAATGACATTGCTCTTATAAATTATGGACAGGTTTGGGATTGTCTTATATATCACATATCTCCAATGAAAAATATTTCATGTTGCAGACAGAAAACTTGTAAACAGTCTCTAAATGCTTTGATTGTGCAGTGCTATGACCTTCTGTAAAATCCATTTCAGTCAGTTTTCTTCTAACAACCACAGTTGACACTTTCCTCTTTCGCAACCTTCTTTCGGTCCCATCCTCGATCCTGGGAGAGTCAGCTGCCCCAAAATGCCTGAGCCAAAGGCATCATTTCCCAGATTGCTCATTTGGTTAAATCTCCTCTTTCGCGTTTGATGTCAGGTGCTTCACATCTTGATCTTCCTGATCTCTTCGCACAACCTGGAGAGGTACTGTGTGAGCTTGACCATCACAATTATGAGGGCCCCTCCCACGAACATGCACGAAGGCCACATCAGCGAGTGGAAGACGACTCTGTGGTCGTAGAGCCGAGTCAGGAGAACCGTCTCCTGCTGCTCGCTGGGATCGAAGTAGCAGGGAACCTGCTGGTTGGCCTTCAGACGCTCGGAGATGTTCATGATGATGGTGTGCATTTGAGCACGGTCCTTCTGGCACCTGGGCACATAGAAACACTGCCACAAAACACCCGGCTGTGAGCAGTTGTCCACCTGTTTCGAGAATGACTCACTCCAAATGCCGTCATGTGAATCCTCGCGTACTACTCACTTCCGAGCTGGCATCCTGCGTCTCTTCATTGTGAGATAATCGACTGATGCGGCCTGTGTTGTTGACGCTGACGTAGACCTGCAGACAGGGGTATTTGGAGACTCGCCAGCAATCGGAGCCACAGTTGTAGGAACAGTTCATGTCTGCCGTGACCGTGGAGTTGAGGACAACGCACACACCTTCCTCCGTCCACGCACTGTTGTGACATTTAAATGGGGGGTGCACATTTAATGCAATTTCAAAAAAAGAAAAAAAAAGCCAAACAATTTGGCTTGGGGTTTAATTTCTTGAATCTTAGTACAGTAAACCCACGCTATTCACTTGACAACAGCCCTCACCACAATGGTTTTGCCTGTGGATGCCACAAGATGGCAGCAAAGCACTGCTTATTTCTAAATGAAATGCCTCAACTGACCTCAACATCTTGTGCTGCTTTGAAATATGAGTTTAACCCCGTCCAACAAAAAATGTTGTGTTTTTAATATAAAAAAAAATGGCACTCTTTAATATTTCACTTACCAGAAAAAAAACATACAGTAATGATATAATCAGATGAACTGTAAGTAACAAAAAATTTTTTTTTGCTTCACTTCTAGTGGACATTCCTTGGTAAACTTGGAGCAGTCATACGGATACATACGAAGCTGGTCAAAACTCTCCGGTAAGATGCAGTAATGACGCAGAAAAATCTGCAAATACGCGGGGGATCACAGTCTCAAGTTTTTATTTCATTATCATTCAGTAAGATGCAGTAATGAGTGAAGTCAAAGCAGAAAAATCTGCAAATACGCAGGGGATCACAGTCTCAAGTTTTTATTTCATTATCATTTAAATTAGCAAGTGAAGAGAACGCGGTCGTAAAGCAACAATTTTTTCAAAGCACAGTTTTTGAAGATGGCAATTTGGAGCGTTACCTTTCAGCATATGAGCGTAAGATGGTGATCCCAAGTACAAAGTACATCATGACGGAGGAAAGGATCATTCCAAGACCCAGGAGAATCGCTCGATCTTCACCCGGCTTGAGAGCAGTCACGGTCTTTTTCTTGTCCAGTAAATCAACCTCCCGGAATTTCTGATAAATTGACCTGACAATTACAGAACGGATGAGAGAAAATTGTATCGTTACACAGAAGCCACATAGAAAATAAAACAAGCTGGAAATCAAAGTGCTTGTTTACAGAGCTTCTCTCGGTACATCCATCCACTTGACACTTCCTCACCTCCTTTCATTTCCGACACCCGATGCTGTATTTTTGGCCCCGGCCACAAAGAACATTTTTCTTGATGATCCTCTTCCTCCTTTACTCAGTGAAGTGGAACAGGGAGATTGCTGGAAAGACCTGAAAATGAAAGATGAAATACTTAGGCAGGGGATTTACAGGACCCCCAAAAAAAAAAACATCAAACTATACCTACCTTTGGTGCATGTCTACCCTTATTCAGTGCAATACTTAAAGTGATTGTATCTACACCTATGAATAATCCTGCGCTGCCTCATTTTTACGATGTTGTCTGAACAGGATCGTTCCAGTTATAGTTGACTTCCTGGTGACGGCTACCAGGTGAACATCCCATTTTGAACACAAAGAAACACTAAAAATGTAAAGTCGATGACAGACGAACGGTGTAATGCCGATGGGGGGGTTGGGAGGCAGTGAAAAACCTACCCGTTGGATCATGAACGCTGTCAACACAAAGTCATTGGGTCCTTGCTTGGCAAAACAACAACACCTTGCATGGGGATCCTTTTTCTCTCTGCAGCTCCTACCAGGGATGTAAAAACAAAAACAGGCGACTGTAGTTACATTAGATTCCCAAACGCCTTCTCAAACGTTGCACAGCCCTGACCGATGCAATAAATAACACGATGAGCTGACTAAACAGTATGAAAGGCGAAAATGAATCTGCACGCAAACATACCTTTGTGGCTGCCCAGTTCCTTCTGCACCAAAGTATGACAGCGATCCATGTTTTTCACACAGCACTCAAATGTATCGAAATTCACTTTTTTCAAATTTTTTTGTCACTGAAGAGGGAAACAAGTAGATGCACTAGAAGCAAAGTAGTACGGAAAAAAAAAGAAATCAAGGTTTTGGACGATTGCAAATTTTTTTCATTGCACTATATTCCCAGCTGCTTCAGGAAAAGTCTTCCGAGAGTGACGCAAGACATCGGAAGGAAACTATTCAACTCATCATGCTTTCCTGGAAAGATTCCGTAACATTTTGCATGCATTCCCACCACACAGACTTCCACTTACATGATTTTGATGCCGTGTCTTGCAACTTTTCTCCGTCGTGGAAGCACACTGGCCATTGCGTCCCGAGTGCCTCAAGTTCCACGCATGCCTGGATTGATTTCAGCTAAACACGGACACATAAATTTTAACAATCACCGTCTGACTGCTTCAGCTAACTTTACAATCAGACTAAAGCTTGTAAACTTATTGAAGAGTGTGTCACTTGTTCGCCAGGCTCCACGTTCCACAAAGGCTGAACTGAAATGTGGCAGGTGACTTTCTGTCAAATAGCTCATAGGCAATGGCTCATGTCACTCTTCTGAGTGAGTGAAAGGAAAGGGCTGGGAGTCTCTTAGACTCTAACCTTGCAGAAGCCTCCAGGGCAGCTCCAACAGAATGGGGTGGGGGGGCTTGAGCTATTCAAGCAAAATTTGAATTTTCCAGAAATGATTTCAAGATGTGATCTGAAATCTAAAAAAATGTATTATATGACTATTGAATGAATTCAGTAAAATTTTCGATTTACAGTACGATTTTTAGCCTAATTGCCCGTGGCATTTTTAAGTTACTATATATATAGTTTTGAGTGTTATACACGGTCAGGGGAAAGAATTAAACAAAATGTAGAGCATGAGTATTGCCCTACGAAATACGAGCCCAACGAGCAAAAATCACGTCATAAATGCTTCACGTTCTTGCAGTGGATAACTTCACCTAGCAGGAACTTATTGTTCGGACTTCAGACCACCTGTTCTAAGTTGAGAAACCACATAGCTCGAGTCTGACGCATACACGATCAACTGACCTTACCGTACAGTAAACGGTCCTGTATGGATGTGACTGATGTGGCTCGGTTCACATTTCTTCCAGTTGCCGCTCTCCGGTCTTGAAAGCGTGTGTGGATGAGTGGTAAATCTTGATGGCATGTGACAGACCACATAACTGTAAAGCAGGTGTTTATTTCTATTTGTAGTATTTTTTGGGGGCTCAGTTGCATGGCTCGTAGAGATGGTAACGTCAAACAAAGGTGAATATAAATTCAACACCCTCCAGATTGACTACTTTAGGTGGATAATGCGTCCTGATTTTTAAATGAAATAAAACAATTTGATTTCGAAGGCGTTTACGCTCACTTTGTTTGCTTTGGTATCCAAAGCACACTTTTGCTATCAACGCGCTCTTTGATGAAGAATGTGTCCGCATGTATTTTTGCCTCGTCCTTCCAGTGATTATTGCTTGACTGTCAGGTGTTCTTGTGTTTGATGACTTTAAATAGCCACAACTGAGCAACACCCCCACCGACTTGAAGGGTGGGAACCCCTACCTGAAGCATATTAACAATGCAAAGTCTGAATTGAAAGCAACTTGTCATTCATTTATGATTGCGACGATTGCTTACTCCACGTGGGATAATTCTAAAATTAAAGAGTATTTAACGGAAGAAAAAAAAATCTTCATTGGCATTGTCAGTATTCATTCCCCTGTCAAGGGGAATGTTGTCATATAATAAGAAACTTTTCATTCTATCCAACATGCACATGGATGCCAATAAGATTAACCAGTATATCCTTTGAATGTGAAACTACTGCATGCGCTATTGGACGACCATCTCCAACCTATTATAGACCACATAGTGCTCATCTGTCAACTTGCTTTTTTTTTTTGTTTGTTTTTCTTTAATAATAGCTGATTGATATTTCGCTTCAAATGAATTGGTCCCAGACTTCCAGCACGGTGAATGAATAGCTGGTTGTGAGTGGCACCTATCTGGGCCTGTTGCTAAAGGGTTTTTTTTTGGCACTTGTGTACCTCCAAAGAGGAATCCAGGATCTCTTATTTCAACCATCTCTGTCTTGCTATGTGTAGTATGTACTGTACTCGAGGCACCTTGAAAGCGATGCCTTTAAAATGTTACCATTTTGTGCCACAGGGTGGCTCTCTAACCTAACAGGAACAAACTCGGTACTGCTCCAAATATGAAGTGTCTTGTCACGTGAAAGACCAATAGTTGCTGAACAGATGACACATTCCTGAGATGATGCTATTATTTGACTAGGTCTGTCTTTTTAGTCATACAAAATGCACAAGACTGTGTACTTCATTCGAGGTATGGGTGGGGGGGGGTCCTCAGAGGGGACTGACCTTTTCTGGTGACCTTCCGTTAACATTACACAAGCCCCTTCTCTGTCCATCTTTAAAATTTGCAACCCCATAGCAAAAAAAAAAACAACAACAACAACAACAAATAAACAAACAAAAACACTTGGTAGACATGAACAAATCTTGCCCAAATGGAAAAACATGAACCAGTGGCAGATAAGGCAGTCAATTGTTTTTCATGTTTTGATCTAAACATAGCACCAATGATTGTAGGCTACCCTTGAATGTAACATTTCGAGGTGAAATTAGACGAAAAAGGAAGAAAGGCAATTCTGTGTCTTTGTTCCCAAGATCTAAAAATAGCTCTTGCTGAGCAGGCACTAAAGCCGCCATGCGGCTCTTTGTACTGCTCCATTTTCCTGTTTGTCTTTAGTTCCACTATCTCACTGCATCTTGGATTGCAAAAAAAATAAAAATATCCGGGAACTGTTCAGGCACCTTTCCATAATGCAAGGATTCATGTTTGTAAGTGCATGCAATCTCACCGCCATTTTGCTCTGGAGACTTTCCTAGGTACTCCCTATTGTATTCATACTAGTCTCACGCGAGACAGGTTTTCCAATTATGACAAACAACAATCTTCACCCCCAATTTGGAACTTAGCCACCTCAATGAAAGCCACCTAAATCGAAGCAAAGCTACTGTTTCTAAGATGATGACGCACACTGCCACGACTGCTGTATCCAAGCAGCACAATGTCAACAGGTCCACCTCATATTTATCAGCATTGCTGCTCTGCTTATATCCTTTCGCAACCTGATGTCATTGACCTGCAGATGTACTCTCCGCCCCCACAGCTGTACTCCTGCTAGAATGAGCACTCGGATCTAATTTTTAGGCAATTTATCCAGATTTATAGGCTGTCGATTTCCGCTATCTTCTACGTAAGTATAGAAGGCAGAATATGGATGTAAGAATGGATGGATGATGTTTAGGGAATTCCATTGCACATCAAAGTAAATCAGCGATTGTGTAACACCTGGCTTGGAAGGAATTTCCCTCACATCATTGGTGGGAAACACCCGCACACAGTAGGAATGCGGCGCATGTATTTTCCCTGCCCCTGGCTCGATGAGAGAGACGCAAAGAGGCAGCATATGGGGAAACCCTCACGTGAACCAAACCGCAATAAATCTGAAATGCAGTCTTGAGCTACTATGCATCCAAATCCATGGCTGCCAAAAAACGACGCTGTAAAGAACGTTCACAGTTGACATCTGCGCGTGAAAATTACGACGTACTGTGATGCCCAATCATCCGTACACATTTCTGAGGATGTGACTGGAGATGTGGGGGAGCGGGAGTTGCAGATAAAAAAATAGATAAATAAATAAATAAAAATAGATGAGTGCTGCAATAATTGAGTGGGAGGAAGGATCAGACGCTTCAGAGGCTGAAACTGCAGTATTCCTGCTTCAACTGAATCCATCACTTGATCACGCATTTATCATCCCCTTTTGGATATAGGCTACAAATACTGTAAATGCGAACCATTTCTAAACTTACTCCGTGACCTGCATATCTCTATACTGTACAGTATAACACATTTATGAGCAATTCTGACGAAGGCGACAGTAGTTTGTCAAAATACCCAAGGTAGATTCAACCTTTCTTTTGTGTTGTAAAGAAAAAAAAAACATGAAACACTCTAACTTGCCTGAAAGATGCTCTGAAAATGTTTGCTGTCGCTGCAACAATGCATTTGAAAGAGCTCCAAATATGGTATTTCATTGTGTGTCATCATCTCACATGGGAGAGGGCAGAAGCAGGGTGGTAACATCCGTCAGCAGAGCTGACATGAATCAATCCTGAAATACTTGCCATGTGCTACAGCTTCAAAATAATGACACTGACTTTTGAAGCTCAGAACTCAAAATTTTAGTTAGCGTCGACAACCCTGGGTTATTCAATTCCCAGGCTCTAGGGAATTGGAATGTCATCTGACTGGCAGAAAAGAAGCTCGAACTGGTGTGCCAGGTCGAGGGGTTCGGGCTAGATATGGTTCGGCTCACCTCAATGGACAATTTTGGCTCTGGAACCGCTAATAGAGGCGTTGAGGACAGTAAAGGGCATCAGGTAGGTACAAGCGTACTTATTGCTCAACGGTGGTGGACACCGATGATGAGCGATGCCGACAAGTCGAAGGAGTCCTATTGGGCTTTTCTGGCCTGAAGGACTCCCGAGGCAGGCGTCAGGTTTTGGCAGGCCAAGATGAAGCTTTGGTGTTCGGCGAGGCAAAGATTATTAACGTGGGAGGACTTCAGCGAGGCTGTGGAGAATGACTTTGGGGCGGCTGAGAGGAATTCTGGCCCACTCGCCGGCGTCCGATAATGTGCTTTGTGGTCATGGAGGAGGTGGGAAGTCATGTCGGTCATCTTTATTGGCTAATTATGTAGAACACGCAAGGAATTTGACTCTGGTACTATAGGCTACACTAGTATTGCAATAACAAGGAAGTACGATAAACAAAGACATGACACATAAATATTGAAAGACTTTCTGTAATGTAAGGGTACCGCTGTGCTGTACAGTAGTACCACCCAATGACAGCTGTGCGACAATGTGCAATGTCATCGGGCAGAGAAAAAGTGATCAGTGGTGCAATCCAATACCATGACGGTTGCGCAGATGGTGCAGAAAATGGTTGCATCATTTTTGAGGGCCCAGTAGCAGTAATTATTGTACAACTTCAGGTGTGCAATGATATAGAAAGTCCTTGAGCGCTTTAAACGGTCTGGTGCTGTGGAATATTGATCAACGACACTTGTTCAAGTATGTAGAGAGCTGGAGGTACAAAGATCACCGCGGTCAGACTGTTCCACAGCGGTTACTGTTTAGGGAGTTACTGGGGAGAAGGAAAAAGCTCTTTGAATGTCTGCTGGCTCTTCGAGATAGGGTGAGAAGGTTGGGTCCTCAGTGAGGGGCTCAGAGTGGAGATACGGATGATGCAGCTGGGTATCTCAGGATACCACCAAATCAACTGGACGAAGTAGCAGGGGGAGGAAAGTCTGGGCTGCCCTGTTTAGGCCACTGCCCCACGAACCCGAACCTGGATAAACCGAAGATAATGGATGGATGATGTGGAAATTTGCTGTAGAAACGAATAGCAATGAATAGTATAAATGTTTATCAGCGAGCATCATAAATATTGACGGGCTATTTTTATCATTTAGGGACATTGGATGAATTAATGTGATTATGGATTTTGTATCAAGCTACAAACAAAATCTGTGTAGAACAGAGATTGCAATGATGATGTAAGCTTGTTGTTGACTTTTCCAGTCTGAATGGCTGACGGAAGGATGGGGGGGTGAGGAGATGGGGTGAGGATAGGGGGTGGGGTGTCATTAATCCTAGCTAGTGGTGACCACACATGCACAAATGAGCTGTGTGGTGGGGGATGGGCGCGCTCTCTGTTGTTATGACTGGTGCTTGGCTGCAGGACAAACTTCCAGGGCCTTGGTATTTTACATTTCCCTCTCATCGCTCGAATCGGCAAGGACATCTGACTCTGTTTTACCGTGAAGCCGTTCAACGTAACCGGAATTTATCTGCAAAACAAGAGAGGACATACACCGGGTGTTTGCTGCTTTTCGGAAAATAGGTTAGTCCCCGATGTGACGATTTTTGCGATCGCTACTACGATCGCCTTGCTTGTGCTTAAAAGTACGTATGTGTGTGATTTATTGTCGTGCTGTTAAAATCGCGTATGAGGTAGCCATAAACACGCTGGGAGAGTACAAGAAGATGAAATGAGCGCGGCGCTTTGAAAATAACAGTAGTTACAGGCAGCCCATTTTCGCCTGCTGGGTCAAGCCACTATGTCGAACGTCTGAAAGCGTTGCAGGCTTCTTACCGCCTGGCTTTAGCTTTAGTATTTTAACCTAACGATTGATATTAACATTTGCAACAATAACAACAACAAAAAAAGACAATCGACAGCACACATGACACGCTCCAAGTTTTACACGAGAACTGTCGGGAGATATCGTCGTATTTGAAAAGGTTTTTACCCAAGTAGGTACCAGATTATAGCGACACTTAGCACGCTAGCGGTTAGCCAGCTTGTTAGCAGCTTTAGCGCACGGGGGCTAGGTTAGCTTGGAGCTACCTAGCCATGCCCTAGTACAGTCCTCATTTCAATCCCCTTAAAAACAAGCTAATTGTAATGTATCTATTGGTGGGCTTGTGATCAAGAGAACCACGAAGCACCAGCAACACTTGCAGTGGTACCACAAGAAGATTAATTCAATTTTGAAAGCGCCTTGTGTGGCGACCGCCTTAAGAAGAGCATTGCCGGCTGGGGCGTCGCTGTAATGGTCGTACACGATATCCAGAAAATAGCCTGGATAATTGTATTGAAATTACATTAAATATGAGATAATTGCCGATGACCGTGTATTTAAATGAGGTGATGTGCCGTTGTCATTAGTCATACATTCGCATATTATGCAGCGATCGCGTTAATATACGGTTGATGGGTAAGTGATGACATGGCTTACTACTCATTTAAATGCATTATTAGTCATTCATGCGTTCAAAGAAGTGTGCTTCAGATGACTAAATGCATCGGTGCAGGTCAACACTGTTATTATGTGGAGCCCATTCACCGCCAATGTGTTGGGGGATGGGCGACGTGTTTCCGCAAATGGCTAGCACGCCACGCTATCCTGCTAATTTAGCCCCCCGACAGATAAGCATGTTGACACGCTTTTGCATACACGTGACTTCGCTGTAGAGGGAAACTAACAATGTAACGAGGGGACAAAGCAAACGTGAAGATACGATGCGAGTTTCCCCCCCCCATTAGAAAACAGCAATTCCAGGGTGACGCAGTTGACTCTCGTTTCATTTGAATCTGGGAGTAAAAGGCCACAATGGTGCATGACACAATGTTGGAATGGATACCGACATCTCAGATTTAACTTTATGGAACATTTTCACGTTACCCTTTCAACAGACGTCTTGTCTAGTCCAGTATAGAATACTGTAATGCTGTCTTTGTTCAGAGCGTACTGTTTCATGCAACTCTGGAAGAAATTAAGAGACGAAAAAACAGCAAATAAATGCTCCGAATGCCAATATTTGTATTTGGGAGCTGTGTTGTCAATAACTTATAAATAAAACCACCAAAATTTGAACTAGCCAACCAAAAATGTTTTAACGCGTAATGATGCTCTGAGATTATTGCTTTTGATAGCCCTCGATCACAGGTGTCAAACTCAAGGCCCAGGGGCCAGCTCTGGCCCATCACATCATTTTATGTGGCCCATGTCAACTCCCACGATGCTTGCATGTAATAAATAAGAGATATAATAAGAGACTTTCTTGTTACCAAACCCTTCTTGAGAGTCACTTAAATAATAGTTGAATAAACTATTATTCTTGACTTCTTTATTTGGTTTGGCAATCATAACGTCCCTCCAATGGAAATGGTAACTACAATTTGTCCTGCGGCAAAAATGAGTTTGACACCCCTGACTTAGATGGACTGTGGTGCAAGAGTCGCTAGTTATAAGAAAATATTAGGGAGGCTGTTCTCAGAAATCGAATGCATAAACATGCTTTGTATAACAATGAAAACATGTCGTGTTTGTTGAACACAATGTTAAATGCTACGTGATAGCAGTCTCACATCTGGAAACATTTTTTTACTGTTGATGCATTTTAGTAAATATATTGGCGTACTGTATCTGTCTTAAGTCTGTAAATAAAGCTAATCGATTGATAATCAATATTCACGTTACACATTGGCCTTATCTACTCCTTTCGCTTTCGGGTTGGTGACCATTTTCTCCTCGTGTGGTGTCGCACCTCCGTGTTTACTTCTTCTCAGCCACGCTGACACAACCTTGCTAAAGTGTTCATTTGGCACAAGTTCATTGTCATAACGCTGTTACCAGTACGGCGTGTTTGGATAGGGTTTGACTGCCTGCACACTTCTCACTTGAAGTAGAGTTTAAATGTGGATCCACGTTGGTTCCATGGCAGCCGGTCTTTTGATAGCCGATAGTTTAGGCAGCTTGACCCCACGACGACTTGTAATGTTTTTCAGTGATGCAATATAAATGCTTCTTCTATGACACATCATTATGATTTGTGTTTTTCAGGGGTTGAGCGTTCTTTTTGAGGACAACAAAGCGATGATGCACGCATAAAGATATCCTGATCACATGGGTAAGATATTTTCCATTATCCGGGTCCCGTTTTGCCCGGTACCCCCGTGAGAGTGCTTTGTATTCAACTGGTGCGACGATGGCGCTCTTGAATTACACGAACTACCGTTAAACCCATTAGTGGAGCAGGCGCACCTATTCCCATTAATATGTATTCTGTTGCCGTCTCAGTTGTTGATAGTCATAACATGACAACGGTTATAAAGTGGAGGGGAGGTTGGCAGCAGCTGTCATGTGCTTGCAATTGTTTGTTGCCGCTACTCGGGCTGATCATGGTTACGTTTGTGTCCTGTCTGCTCAACTGCAGCGTTGGAAAATAGAGCGAAATTCTTGGTTAGTAGTTTCACGTGGAGCAAATTGGATTAAGTAGTCGGAAAAAGAACATGGCAAATTTGTTTAATGACACCACGTTTGCTACTCGGCTACTATTTGCAGTTGGCAAATATCACATGTGTTGAAACGCTAGGGATACTTATCAATAATATTCACCGCATTATGATTGAGTGCCACGTCCAGTCCCTCATCAAGAAGTAGGGGGGCACGGTCTCCCTATCGGTCAATGCCGATAAACCAATTGTAGGATGTGTCACAGTTATCGGAAAGACGAAGAAAAATTCTGACATGCCAGACTTTCGCCGTCGTGCTCGCGAAAGCGTCCCACACGCCTTACGACCAATCATTGAGTATGTCACACTACACAGACTACGATGCCTCAGGGCAACTCAAAATCGGCTACGTGACACGGTTTGTCTGCGACGCGGGTGTCGGCACAAAATCGGGCTACGTTCGTGTCGACTGACGTTGGCGTAAGTATCACAACCAGGCATGTACCACCAGTACCACTATTTCTGAGCATGGGTACAAGAGGACTCGCTGAGTACCCATACGTGATAATCCTGCAGTTGTGATGCTTACTACGAAGCCGCGCTGTTGCAACACGTGCAGAATGTGGTTTGGCATAGTCAACTCAAATTACGCTGACGTTATATAATATGGCATCTGTTGCCAGAGTAGCGGCTAGTAGCTAGCCGCTAAACAATCGTCCAATATGGGCTGGCAAGTCACATCGAATGACTTTTCGAAGTGCATACCAACAACGACATTTGAAATTTTGAAAAAAAAACCCAAAACAATCTTTGCGAGGTTTGTTTAAAAGCATTCAACTTATTCCTGACTTGCAAATTAATTTGCATCAGCCTGGGAAAATCTGGGAAAACATCAGAAGCATAATAACTTGGACCTACGAGCGATGCAGCTGTTATTTCAATTTCTCACATTGTTCGCAATATTCTGTCTTGCCTGAATTGTGGGGGCGGATAAAGACAGGCGTGTGTTTACGGGGGCAACATTTTTTTTTCCGTCTCTGCTTCAACTAGCATCATGAAATAGTTTACCAAAAAGAGACACCACCACAATTATGAAAATGCTTCTCAAAAATATTGACCCCTCGACTTGGCGCCGTTAGCAGCGACCCACCACTTCCTTGTTTGACATGACGTAGCTTAACTAGATGAAAGGAGCACAATCACCACCTGTTGCAGCAGTGGGGATAAGCCCCTTACACACTGGCCATCTGAGACAGATATCTCCCCCCCCCCCCCTACGAGCGATGCAGCTGTTATTTCAATTTCTCACATTGTTCGCAATATTCTGTCTTGCCTGAATTGTGGGGGCGGATAAAGACAGGCGTGTGTTTACGGGGGCAACATTTTTTTTTCCGTCTCTGCTTCAACTAGCATCATGAAATAGTTTACCAAAAAGAGACACCACCACAATTATGAAAATGCTTCTCAAAAATATTGACCCCTCGACTTGGCGCCGTTAGCAGCGACCCACCACTTCCTTGTTTGACATGACGTAGCTTAACTAGATGAAAGGAGCACAATCACCACCTGTTGCAGCAGTGGGGATAAGCCCCTTACACACTGGCCATCTGAGACAGATATCTCCCCCCCCCCCTCCCCCCAGCCTTTCAACTGACTTGATGGTCTTCTGTGTGCGCTATTGATGTGGGTTAGTGGATTGAAGTCAACCTCGGGAATTTGCCCTCTTTAGAGGTAGTCGTATCAAAGATGGAATGCCGCCAGTGTGTATCCAAGTGTGAAGTGGAGTTCCCAAGACTCGCTGTTCTCTCGGCCTGAACGATTCATCGAATTCAAATGGACATCGCAATGTAGTCGACCAGAACGACGTATTAAAATTACAAAGGCTGCAATTTGCTTAAACAAAAGAAAAAAAATCTTGACTCCAATTCGGTCGGCCGGAAGGCTTTGTTTGAGAGATTTGGGATATTTATTTATATTGTGCTTAGGAGTGCAGTCTTCACGAAACTTGACAAGTGGAAAGTGATCAAGCGACTGGCATTTGAACAGCGCTGGTTCTGCGAGAAAGAATCTGCATCGCAGTAAACAAGCTCTGGGATCTGTTATTATGGAAGCCTATCTATTCCAGATTTAGTTCGAAATACCCTGTAATGGCTGCCTCGTGGAGACAACTGCTAATTCTTTCCACTTGTAGGTTAATGAATGGAAACGGTTTCCCTGCCTCGAGCTCGGAGAAACAAACTTGAATTTATTCATCAAATGAAAGATCACTTGTGTTTTTGTTGGTTAAAAAAAAAGAAATAAAAGTTCCTTTTTTTCTCCTCCACCCTGTGGAACGTCCGCGTAATCCCCTGATGAAAGTAATTGTTGCTGGTGCGAAGTGCTATCCTGTGTATTTTTATGGTGCGTTGCTCCTATTTTTCTTGAGCGCGTGCTGTGTTTTGCCACGAAGTGTGAATAACCAAATCTTTTCTTCCCCAGGCTCCTATAGTGTGCTGACCAAATGGTTTAATGACCAGGACTAAAAATGAGCATAAGCAGTGATGAGGTTAATTTCCTGGTTTACAGATACCTGCAGGAGTCAGGTAAATATGCATGCAATTCACTTCATTGAGAGACAAGATAACAAAACTGATCTTTTTCTTGTTTTTGGGGTTTTCTGTTTTGGCCTTTTAGTCGTGTCTTGTTAACTTTTGTTATTCAGGAGTAATTGCACCTGACTATCATTTTGCGTTCATGCTTTCACTTACTTGACACGGACATTGTTTATATGTTGCCTTTTGCAAAAATGGATGAGATTGTCCAAATTGGCAAAATGGTTAATCGGCATTTTCTCTTTTGAGGGCTGAAACAATAATTCGTCTAACTCTGATCATTTGATTCGCCTACCTAATTGAAAACAACAAAAAAAAAAAATTTCATCTATTAGATTAATTAATAGCATAATCGGTAGAATAATGAATTCAAAAAATATTTGATAGTCGCAGCCCTTGTTCTTATTTATTTTCTCTCTCTCTCTTTTCCCGGATTGGGGAAAAACATTTAGAAAAAGAATACCTGTGCAACTGTAAGCATAGTCAAACGTGTTCACACCACTGAATATTTAGTTTTTCTTACCTTGTCCGTATTCAAAAAGCATGCATCAGCAACCTTCCCCGCTGCTCTTCTCCAGGCTTCTCGCACTCAGCATTCACCTTTGGCATAGAGAGCCACATCAGCCAGTCCAACATCAATGGAGCCCTGGTGCCCCCTGCTGCCCTCATCTCCATCATCCAGAAGGGCCTGCAGTATGTGGAGGCTGAAGTCAGCATCAACGAAGTCAGTCGGCAGCTCGACATAGACACCCGGCTTCATTTTGTGACTGCGGTGTTGATCTGTCGTCACCGCGTTTTATGATCATATTTCTCTAATTGTTTCCCTGCATGTTTGTTTTTTTTTTTTTTTTTTTTGCAGGATGGGACTTTATTTGACGGGCGCCCCATCGAGTCACTATCTCTGATCGATGCTGTTATGCCCGATGTGGTCCAAACGAGGCAGCAGGCCTACAGGGACAAGTTGGCTCAGCAGCAACAGCAGGCGGCGGCAGGCAGCGGCGGCGGGAGCGGCACCGGGCCCCCGGGAAGCACCAAGAACGGAGAGGGTGCAGCCAACGGGGAGGAAAACGGATCCCATGCCTTAGCCAGTAAGCAAGCGCATGGTTGTAAACAAGCTACGAAACGGCCTTTTTCTTTTGTCGTCGGTGGGCTTGGAGCCCACTTGCATGAAGCAATTTTTTGACGGAGCTGTTGAAAATATATACTGTATGTATTTTAAACACCCTACCCTCCCCTTTTTCATAGCGACCATATCAAATGTTATTTCTGCTGGAGATGGGCCGAAAATAACATTTTTACCGCTAGCTCAAGGTTTACTATCAAGTATCAGTCATCGTATCGGCGGCTATGTAAATGCGAGCACTTGTGCTCATAGTCTGAAAAAAAAAAATGGTGTTGGTACATCCCGAGCAGAGTTGGGCTGTGTCCACATTTTGACACCGTTTTGCCCTCCCTTCGTTATACTGTAGTATACGGTAATACCGTCACTAAAAGATGCTAAATTGCAGTAGTTGCTTTTTTTGGGGGGGGCACCAACGAGCTTGAGTCGTGAGCCGCACGACTGACTGTCCATCTTGTCCTGTGTTGTAGATCACCACTCAGAGATGATGGAGGTGGATCGGGATGTGGAAATACCCCAGAGTAAAGCCATGGTCCTCAGAGGTCATGAATCAGAAGTTTTTATCTGTGCCTGGAATCCAGTCAATGATCTGCTGGCATCTGGGTCAGTGCCTCCCTGCAAGATACTTATTCATTGTTAGTCTATGTCTCCAAAATGTGATTTTACCACCCATGTTTAACGAACCGATTGATGAGTTCAATTATTGTAATGTATAATAACATTCAACCTATTTTTTTTTTGGGGGGGGGGGGCTTTGAGTCTGATCCTTTAAATTGAAAGCTTCACAGTATTATCGATTAATAAGAAATGTAAGAGATGAGAGTGCATTGTGTTCTGAGCGTTTACAATTTGGTTGAAATTGATATGATCACTGTTTACAATTTTTTAAAACTACGACAGGTCTGGAGATTCGACGGCTCGAATCTGGAACCTGAGTGAGAACAGTTCAGGTGGGTCCACCCAGCTGGTTCTGAGGCACTGCATACGGGAAGGAGGCCAGGACGTGCCGAGCAACAAAGACGTCACCTCACTAGACTGGAATGTGAGTGTGTGTTCAATTCACCCGTAGGGTTGCTCGTCGTAAACTCGGCGCATGTGTCTGTGATCGCCTTTTTTCCGGGTCAGTTTATCTCCTGTTTCATGATGAAAATAAATTGTCTTTCAGAGCGAGGGCACGCTCTTAGCAACAGGCTCCTACGACGGCTTTGCTAGGATATGGACAAAAGATGGTAAATTCGCACGGCTTCTATTTTGTTTTTTAATATCACCCGCATATTTCAACAATGTGGTTTTTACAGGTAACCTGGCCAGTACTTTGGGTCAGCACAAAGGTCCCATATTTGCACTCAAGTGGAATAAGAAAGGAAACTTCATACTTAGTGCTGGGGTCGATAAAGTAAGTCATTCTGGGGGCTGCGAGCACCTAACGGTTATGTGCAGAATATTCTCTAGACTGTATTCTCAGTATTCCAAATGCTTAAAACCGTTTCATGTTCCAAACTAATGTCACGGTGAGCTGGCTGAGCCTCCTCCTTGTTCAACATTGCCACCTAGTGTTCTCCAGTGGAACATATGGCTGTAAAATCATCATCATCATCAAGCCATTATGAAAAATGTCATTCTGTTCATTTTTTGTAGAGTTAAAAATGAAGAATCTCGCCCATGCATGCAAAGTATTCTCACCGCTGACAAAGCATTTTTTTCCAAGCAAAACAAATGAATGAAAGAGGAACTCCCCAAAGAGCTCAGACACGTAAACGCAAAAAATCTGACCGTGAGCTTTCAAAAATATCATATTTGCTGCGCTTTTTGTTCCTAACGTCGGTCGTTAGCTCGGTTCACTGCCAGGCATTTTCAAAGCGGTTCCCCAGATCGCCAGCTGTTTTGTGGGATTTTTGACATCACTTTCAAGAGCGACAAAAGATTGTGTTGCGACAATCTAAACACCAAACATACCAAAAGAGAACGTCGAGTCTCTAATTTTTCTCTCTCGAAAAAATTTGTATTCTTTAGAAATCAGCAGTAGCCCATGAGTTTGTATTCACCAAAATTTTGGAATAACAATTTCATTTTATAGTCTTAGTATTTGCATATTGATGGTTAAATGTTTTTTTTTTTTTTCATTCACCCAGACAACAATTATATGGGACGCTCACACAGGAGAGGCAAAGCAGCAGTTTCCTTTCCACTCAGGTGAGACTCAGGTTGCCATTGATTTTTAAAGCAGAATTGAAAAGTCTAAACTGCCCTGTTCAAATATCAAGTTTTTAGGATGGGGGGGGGGGGGCAAGAAAGATATTTCAAAACAATTGCCACCATTGATGTGACCTATAGAACAGGGTTCCTATGGATCCTTCAAAAGTCTTGAAAGGGATCCGCGAGCCTGAAAAAAACCCTAAAGGCCTTAATTGACATTGGCAGAGAGGTCCTCCCAATTTTGAAATGATTTGTCTTGGTGCAAAAAGATTCTTTGCTTTCCCCTCCCGACATACAATGGCAATTAACGCCGTGCAAATCAATTATTGGGTGGACGTTACATTTTGTCAACCCCGAATTGCAAAAATGTCTTCTTTATTCTTTTCCCCCCCGCAGCGCCTGCTCTGGACGTTGACTGGCAGAGTAACAACACATTTGCCTCCTGCAGTACAGACATGTGCATTCATGTCTGTAAATTGGGTCAGGACCGACCTGTCAAGACCTTCCAGGGACACACGGTAAGTCGCCGTGCTTTTCTCAACGGCACAAAGTTAGTTGGTCGATGCCACTCGAATAAGTTTGTGTGTCAACGTCCCGCTTACTCAATCCTCACGTGACCTTCTGTAGAATGAGGTCAACGCTATCAAGTGGGACCCCACTGGCAGTTTGCTGGCCTCTTGCTCCGACGACATGACTCTAAAGGTCAGTTCATGCATGCGCGGTCTGGTGGCCACCTTCGGACGCAAAAGCGTGCGCTTGGAGCTCACGGCCCGGTCTCTTGTTTGGCAGATCTGGAGTATGAAACAGGACATGTGTGTCCATGACCTTCAAGCCCACAGTAAAGAAATTTACACCATCAAGTGGAGCCCTACGGGGCCTGGGACCAACAACCCCAATGCCAACCTGATGCTGGCCAGGTGAAGTCCGGGACATTTTATGCTCAAATCACTCGCTGATGGCGAATTTACTCTGAGGGCCACCACGCATCAAGCGACGTGTCTTGAACAGAACAATCGCAAACCAGTTACTCGGGATGGAACGAGTCCTCGACTGATTCGGGTACCCAGCAGGAAAAAGAGTTCAAGCTAACCGCGGAAACAATTGTGCGAGGGCGGACTCGGACAGCTTAATTGGTCCTCTGTGACGTGTGGTGTAATTTGATTGGTCAGTTAAGACAAGACGGCGGGTCACTCTGTTGTCATGTATAAAACTATGTCACGTGAAAATGTGATCGCGTTGAATTGTATCGCGTCGAAAAAGCAAGATAATGCTTTGTGTCGAAGTGTTTGGCCTTAATATCAACAACATGCATCGTACTGGTTGAAAAAAAATAGAATCAATTACTACATGCAGTGGAGCAGGTCATATCAAAACTGCCCAATCCGTATTGGGAAGGGAAGCACATCTCACCCTCTGCGCCTCAACCTCTTCTACAGCTAAACCACGTGTTGAATTTACCAACACTTGCGAATTAGTTGACAAACGTTTTCTCACCTAGCGGGGCTCGGTGGGTACTTGCTGTCATGTTTTAGTTGTGCTCTGCCCAAAGTTGACATTTGCCTTCAACGTAACTCTGCCCCGTTGGCGCGCTCCCTCACAGTGCGTCGTTCGACTCAACGGTGCGCCTGTGGGACGTGGAGCGCGGGGTGTGCATCCACACGCTGACTCGCCACCAGGAGCCCGTGTACAGCGTAGCCTTCAGTCCTGACGGCAGACACCTCGCCAGCGGCTCCTTCGACAAGTGTGTCCACATCTGGAACACTCAGGTCCGCACGCTAAAGTTCTCTCTCTCTCTCTCTCTCTCTCTCTCTCTCTCTCTCTCTCTCTCTCTCTCTCTCTCTCTCTCTCTTTCTCTTTCTCTCGCTCTCTGACTAACACGCACATGCATAGGAGGCAGTCGTGGCTCACGTCCGTTTGTGTCTTCAGACCGGTGCTTTAGTCCACAGCTACAGAGGGACAGGAGGGATCTTCGAGGTGTGCTGGAATGCCACTGGGGATAAAGTAGGAGCCAGCGCATCGGATGGATCTGTAAGTACCTCTCTGATTTAAAAAAAAAAAAGGGGGGGGGGCTTCATAATTGTTCTCGATTAATTGTATTTTAATCATAACATTATTTGTCCTCCCCAAAAAATTATTTAGTGGCCAACTGAATCAAATAGACACGTGAATATTTTTCTCTCGGAATAGGTACGCGTGTGTATATGTAGAGATGGATACACACAACTTTAACAACATTTATTAGAATTATAAGAATGCATTGAATCTACTTATTTCATCTCATTGTTATATGTATTTTTTTTCATTCGATACTGTCATTTCTCTGGGTACATTGCGGTAATATATGGCAGTGATTTCTCAGCAGCCGTAGGGCATGTTTTTCCCAATAGCGTGCAGCCTTGGCGCCCCCATCCCTCGCTACTCTGCCCATCTGGATGAGGAAGTGAGAATCTTGTGGCTTCCTGCCTGTAAACTGTCAGTTTTGTTCACCGCCGTCCTCCTCTTCCCATTTACAGGTTTGCGTATTAGACCTGAGGAAATGACACTCGTGCGGGGGAGCCATGGACCGACTACGAATGTGTACATAGCCAAAATGACTGACTGTCCCTGCCTGTCCCGCCACACTGCTGTAGTCCCCACCAGACGCCATGGCCTGTCATGACCGCCGAACGGAGTGCTGCCCCATCCCCCGCCTTCCAACACTCATTCGAGGACCACATTTTCACAACATCCGCTTTTGGCACGTGTGAGAGACTTTCAAGTGAAAGGCGTTGCTTTCTGTTCAACCCAGTTCATAGCCCGCTATATGCACACCAAAATACCAGAATTCCTCTTTTTTTTTTTTGTACCCCCCCTTTGTTCCAGAATTCTAAAGATTTTTTTGTTGTTGGTTGTCGTTCTCTGTTGGTGTGTGCATATTGCATATGTCAGCATTTGGTGTCCTGTGGACATTGTTTTTAAATTGGATTTTACTGTAAGTTTTATATCATGTGCTGGGGCAAAAGGATGGAGAGTTTTTATTTTTTTTAATGGATGCCCACTATTCAGTAGGACATCTCTTCTTGGCACTCTTCAAACATGCAGATGTATAGACTACAAGGTACATTGGTTTACGTGTTGCTTTTTTTTTTCCCCCCCTTCCCCCATTCTAAGCAAAATACGGTATAACGCAAGTCATCCAAACAATCCATATATCCTTTGTTTGCATCTTTTGCCCCGATTTTTTTTTTTTTCAGGTGTTCTCAATTCATCAGGTTCTATGTCAAGCTGTAAAAGAAAGGAAAAAAAAAACTCAAGACTTATCGTCTCTGTTCTTTAAGTTCGTCTCACGTCGTCGTCTTCTGGCATCTGGCCTCTGCCTCTGTCATAGTGAAGGACCGTGGCTGGGATCTGAAGAGAGAGAGTGAAAGGGCGCGGTGGAGCTTTAACTCGCATCCATTCTAATAGTCATTATACTTGCATCCTCAATTCAAGGCAAAGTAATGCTGAGTGATCATCAAACTAATCCTCTCTCAATTGTGCACCGCAAGTTTCAAACTCGATTCCAACTTTTGCCCAAATCGTATGTGAGCGGCTCTCTTGCTTTGATCAAATGCTCTGGAGACGGGCTTCGTTCGAGCCTATGCACAGATAGACGGCGCTTTTGTGTTTTGTTTGTTTTTATCTCCTGTTGCCAGTCTGTTCTTGTTAAAATGCATCCATGTGTGTGCCACTCTAGCACATAGAGTGGATTCAAGTCCATTGTCATGTTTGAAATGCAATGCGTGATGTTCTCGAGCGTGACCAGGGGCCGTGACCATGAAGAATGTTTTTGTTTGTTTTTTTTTTTGTTTAGTTCTTTTTTTTATGATAAAATACCATTTAACAGTCATTGGAAAGATGAACTAGCTGCCCTTTGAAAGGGTTTTCTTTTCCTGCACTTTAGAAAAAATGGAGAAACAGGGAGGTGTGTTTTGTTCAAGTTGAACACATCTAAAGTAAAAAAAAAAAAAAACCAATTAAAAAAGAGGAAAAAAACAGTGCAGTGTTCTAGTGAGATTCAAGGGGTTTTAATTACATTTCGTCTGACTCATAAATGTTGAAACCAATGTCTGCATTCCAGGTGTCATCTTACAGCCATAACATCAGCTCTGTACGAATATACAAATACATTGGAGGTTTGTCAGAGTGTTACCTGTTTGAAACGTTTTGTACTATTTTGAAGTTTGCTTCAGTGGTGTCGATGGTGACTGAGCTGTACTACAAATACGTCATTGCAAAATGAGGTCCATGACAGTGGAATGGTATTTTTTAATGTTTGTTTTAGATACGCTTTTTACACTGCATTCAAGTGGTAGCTTTTTTTTTTGTTTGTTTTTTGTTCCTACCAAGAAAAAAATATATATATACTAACGTTGATTCTTCTATCTTTGCTATGTTTGAGAGCCCTTGAAGGTTTTGTATTCCTCCAAACTTTTGTAATTCAGATTGATTTGTAGCTATGTACTCAAAAATGAACAAAAAGAAAAATCTGGATAACTGTTGGTGTATCACAGAAAATGTAAATAACAGTTTGCTTTTTTTTTTTGTGTGATGTCTTTGCCCCCACTTGCGTTGTACTCTCTCACTCACCACATGGTTGCAGTCTGACTGTTGGAATAGCAGTCAGATCTCAAGGTCTAGAATAAAATATATTTTGATAATAATACTTGGTTTCATTGACCCCCTTCCCCCCTCAAAAATCTGACAGAGCCCCAGAGCGTTTTCCACGAGAGAGGGTTGCTCCCACAACCCCCTAAAAAAAATTATAGATTAAAAGGAAATTATATAAACCATCAACATTTAAAAAAATAACAAAAAAACATCAGAGCCTGCAATTGTACTATGTCAATCATCTGGCTATATTAAATAGTTTGGCCACGAATAAAGTGTAACATGCACCCAAAAGTTGTTTGTGACCACTAAGTAGTATAAATGTGTGCACAAAATATAAATGAATAGCAGTATTTTTCCTGAACGGGTGGGTAAGGTCCAAGTTGTAGGCGCGCTCCATTTATTAACCTAATTCAAAACGTTCACAAGAAAGGTCATTACAAAACACACTCAGCATTCCCTGTGCACGTTATAGCTATATTCATACCACAATTTAAAAGAAAAACCGTCATCTTCTGTCTTCATACAACATTGGTATACTATTGTGGGCTTTGGGTATGTGTATGTTTATCTGGCTTTTCTAAAGAAAAACGCAAAAAAAAACACTTAAATTAAGACACTTTCACTTCGCAAACCATATGACACAAAGCCTCGTTTAAGATAGCAACATTTAAGAAGCGTTTCCGGGTTGGGCCCTTATTGTGACACTGAATTGGTGCCACTTCCGGCAGTTGACTTTGCGACGTAGAGCAGAACTTAACCATCACTCCGCGGTAACGCGGGTACATGGGAAACGTTGCACGAAACACTCTTAACAAAACATTTTGGTGGAACATAATCTCAAACAATGTGCTTAAAAACACGTATTTAAATTAAGGGGCAATTGGTCAACAAGAGTGGGTGATTGAGGACTCGACTGTGCCGTCTCTGGCTCCTTATTAAAAAAAATTAATCTTGAACAAAAAACAAAAAAAACAATGAAATGCAAATGTACTGAACTTCAACGTTAAAGACAACTGTACGGTGCTTCTGAATGGTAATTCTTTGAAAATCGGCAGATGAATGGAACCCTTGTCTTGTAACAATAAGCAAACGCTTATCTACTTCGGGGTTCAAGCGCTATACTGCTCAAGGTTGCCACAGCAATACAAACTGCTCGAGTTCGACTTTGTTGATAAGGACTCAACAGAAGAGATGTGTCACCAGAATGCTGCCTAATGAGATAATAATATGCAGAGTGAGTGAATATTACAGTCAAGATAATAAAATGTCGAGTGGAGTTAATACATTACACTTAAACTGTTTCGCCCATATTTTTTTTCTCTTACTCTCCCTTTCAAGAGTGATGACACACAAGGGACATAAAACACAAGCCAGAATTCAGATGTCAGGCCAAGAGACTAATTGCGCACCAGGTGCGGTTTCACGAATTTTTTTAGAAATCCATAAATCTTAAATCAGGATTTTAAACATTTCTCCAGACTCCCTGCGCAGAAAAACAGGAGACAAAATTGAAAACAAAATGTCTGCCTACCCCATCAGCTCACTGCCAAAAAGAGACGCTGAGGGTTGTGGTTTCCTTTTGAAATGGATGCGTGAGTGGCGTCAACCACGAAAAGTCACTTTTCTACCAATCACAAGTTTAGCCATTTTAATTCTTGATTTGGTGTTTATGGAGTATTTACATTTTTTTTAGCGCAGTGATTGCCAAACGCCATGTCGTTCCAAAGTCAGTTGTGCCACAGAAAATTATCCATTTTCACATCATTGGTCGGCATGGTTTGATTTATTTACTCCAAATACTGGAACGCTGGTCATCTACATCGTTTCCTGAATCAAAGGCACGTTTTGAAAAGAAATTATGTCACACTTTTTTTTTTTAATTCTTAAAAATTGGCCACTTTTTAATTCCTCTGGCCTTCGCCGGTCACAGTAGCGATGTTTAATTGGCTCATGGATCCTGAAGGCATGGCAAAATGTCTCCCGATGAGAGCTTCTTTCACCCAAACAATGTGAGAATCCCTGAATTGGGAGTTAATTGCCTTTTGACTCCATTTACTGAATAGCTCCGCCCCCATCCACACCCATAAGGGGAAGTGAGAGTTGAGAGTGGGAGGCGGGTAAGATTTAGACCGCTCAGGCAACACACTCCAGACAGACAGAGAGCAAACCAGAACCAAATATCCAATGAGCAAACTCGATGTCAAACAGTGGACTTTACGCAAGAAGTGAGGGACGGTTCAAGCCGCTCTTTGGGGTGAGTGTCGAACGCTGGCGCGCCTCCTATTGAGACGAATGGCAACTTTGCAAGTATGCAAGCGGTGCGCCACGCATTCCCTGCTGCGCTGGTTTTAGACACAGCATAAACACTCGGAAGGGTTGTTCTTCAGTCCAGCCACTGTGCTTTCCACACAGCGTTGTCACAGTTGAGCCGCAGCGGTCCCAGCGACACCCTCAGTCAACAGCCGAGCCGACCTGAAACCACAAGTCCGTTTGCTGCGAGGATGAGGTGAGAGCAGTTTCTTTTGTCCCGTCCCATACTCTCTTATCCCTGCTCATTAGGTGTGTTGGCGGATATGGCTCGTTATTATTGGGACGCGCAGTACAGTGCAAACTGGTGGTTGGGTGTGTCATTACCCACAGTCAAAAAAACAAAACAAAAAAAGCCGCTCTGATGGAGTGACCCCACCATTAGACACCACACGTCCACTGGTGGTGTTTAAAAAGCTCTCAGGGTGCGGTGGGACACCCGGGCCGCTCACACCCCATCAGGATTTGTCCCCTTTGCAGGTTTGAGAGCAGGAAGCGGGGCTATTCTCACCCGTTGCATTGTGCAGCACAGCTTTTCTGATGCCGTCCATTGTGCCCCCCCACCCACACACACACAAACGCGCTTTTCCACGGCTCTCAGCGCTTTCACAGGGTCGTCCACTTCCCCCCCTCCCGGCCTCCCTTATATGGCAACATTTGCTGTGTTGGCTTTTTGCATTCAGATAGCAAATGTCCGCCAAGCCCCCACCCCCACCCCCTTCGCCCAAACCCTTGCGGCCTCTGCCAACTCTTGCCGTTTATTTTTAGTTTGTTTGTTTGGGTACCGTTGCCCGCAAGCGTGCTTTCACTTCTCGGCAGACTTCAAGGCCCACTGCATGGCGAGAGATGCGACCGAACGTGACGAAACTGATCGCCCCAATCATCGACTACTATAAGATCGCGCCGCCGAGATCTGATCACCCTTTTTTTTTTTTTTTTGCATTTTATGCACATTTTATGATCGAAATTAAGACGTTACAACTGCAATGTTTCCCACATTTACCTGTGGCGGGGTCGCCACAAATTTAGTAGCCGCTTCTAGATGTTGCCGCAACACATCAATATGGAACTGTCTAATGAGGTTGAATTGCTAGCGCGGAAAGCCGCTCGGCTGCAACGCGTGAGTCACTCAATAGCCGTACCGATTTCCCTTTCCGGAATGTGACTTCAAATGCCTCAAATGACTGAAGTATTGGAGTTTCAGTTTGAGAATCGATTTTAGTGGTATAGATTTTAGTGGGATCGACAAACTCAAACGGTATCAATGGCCCAGGCCACTCCAGTTGGCGCAATGGCCATCCCTTCAATCACTCTCACAGCGCCCCATGTTGGGCAAAGCCTCGAAATAGTTGTCGGGATCTTCTGAGTTTTGGATCAAACTGGGAAAAGGAGTTTGTTTACCTTGACATTTGTTTTTTTCCTCACGCAAATATCAAAGCACGTAACCACATGAACAGCGTTTAACGGTTGGTGATGTTTTGACTGTGACATTGTTTGCCGCTTTGAGTCGTTTACGTTGTCAGATATTTTAGTCTCTCATTTGGTCACACAGCTTGTTGGGCTTGGGCTTGTTGTGAACTTTTACACGCGTTAAAGTCAAACCTGGCAACCCAACCGCATGCTCTGATTCAGAGTGCAGAGGCCACCCCATAAAAGCGCTATCACGGAGTGAGCGCCCGTGATGATTCCATTTGGATTTGACGATTAAGGGTTTTCTTTTTTCCATGAAATTTGTGAAGAAGAGAATAAACGAAACAAAAAGGTTTGTCACATAACAGGCAAGCCGCATCGACGACGACATCAACAGCGGTCACAATAGAGCGAGCGCGCAAAGACATGTGCGATACGTTAACTTGACAGTTCGGCTCCCAGATCGCTGGTGAAACATTAACTAAGTTTTACGTCTGCTATGTGTATAACCGAGCACAGTAACAGATAATACAGAGTCTAGTTTGCGACCATTACAAAAAAAACAAAAAAACAAAATGTGGCACCAAAATGACGACTGTCATCGGTGACCATACTCTTCATCTTGTGGCTGAGCAAGAAGGCACGACATGATTTATGACTTCCTGAACCCAAGCACTGACTTGACGTGCTTGAATTTTGCCACAGTAACTTGGAACATGTTCAAAGGTTAATGCGGTACTTCGGACTTCCCCTTATGTGACAGTCAGTATTGCTGGTCGTGATGATTCAGGAAATGGAGGTGCCGTTCTCTGAGAAGGTGGGGAAAAACATCATCTCTTAAACCTTGCTTGTGGCCTAGCGGTGAAGCTGCGCGCTATAGTGGTTTTGCTCTTCCGGGGCAGAAATGGCAAATCAACTCTGTGGAATCGTGATATATATATATTTTTTTTAACGGACAAGTTGTAAAAGCACTCACACCGTGTACTCCATCAAGATAGCATGTTTGCTAACGTGACATGTGCTAATGACAAAATGCTAAATTAGCTAAAGGTAACAACAGCAGAAAAAAAAACACGGTACCCGTATGTAGTTCTTTTACACGAGACGGAGAATTTTTTTTTTAATGTTAAAAACCGGTGGATTTGAAGCCAGCGCGAGACGCTAATTATTTTTGTTCAACTAATTCTAATATCCATGGTTGTTGTTTTTCTGTGTGTGTCTTGGTGGGGGAGTTGGGCAATCAAAGTTTTAACCAAGGGTCAGTGGGTTAAGGTCAAGGCCAGAAATGCGTAAAAATATGTTTTTGAGGTTTATCAAAGCATTTGATTTTTGTGATTGAATTTTGGTCTTATTTGAGGTGAAAGGGTGGGGGCCCTCGATTGACCAGCCGCCACTACAATGGCGAATATAATGCTTCTCTGAAAATGTTGGGGGCGGCGCGGTGTATGAGTGGTTAGCGCATCGACCTCACAGTGCAGAGGTACCAGGTTTGATTCCAGCTCCGGCCTTTCCTGTGTGGAGTTTGCATGTTCTCCCTGTGCCTGCGTGGGTTTTCTCCGGGTACTCTGGTTTTTCCTCCCACATTCATGGAAACCCACGTTCATGGCAGGCTAATGGAACACTTGAAATTGCCCCTCGATGTGAGTGTGAGCGCAGATGGTTGTCCGTCTCTGTGTGCCCTGCGATTGGCTGGCAACCGGTTCAGGGTGTCCCCCGCCTACTGCCCGAAGACAGCTGGGATAGGCTCCAGCACACCCTTGTGAGGATAAAGCGGATCAGAAAATGGATGGATGGATGGATGAATCTGTTGGACCCCGGTTCACAATCCTCAATGTCGCTGTTTTCTTTTTCCGCCTTGTAAGACCCCAAAAGAGCCACCTCAATTTTCTTCAGGTACTCGGGCTTCCTCCCACATTTGGAAAAACGTGCACATTAGGTTCTTGTCCATGGTTGAGAACGTGAATGTTTGGCCCAATGAGGTTAAATGGCGTGAAGACCCCAAATATCTCAAATCGCGGGAGACCCCAACATCTCAGCTTTTTTTTTTTTTTTGCTTTGCCGTCATCCGCGGCGGCGCCGAAGTGCAATTACCGCTGTTTGTTGGACTTTCATGAACTATCCTATTAACGCTGCAGTTTGTTTGGCCCTAATCTTGTCACCACAGTAAATATGCTCTCCTTCCTCAGATGAAGATGAATGACTGGCTGCTAAGTGGCTTGTAGGGCGTGAGTAATTCTTCAGTGATGGACGATGTTTCCCAGCAGACCCAGTGAATCCCATCATCGCCGCCTAGAATGGAAGACCCGCTTTAAGTGCCGCAAGGAGGGGCCACGGTACCGCAGCTCCGAGCTTTCATAACCCACCTCGCCGCTTCGTTGGCCCGACAGAGTGACAAGATGTTTTGGAGAGTCCGCCGTTCAATGAGGATGCACTGGGTCCGGCTGATGACCACCTGCCTGGTGCTGTCGGTGGTCATGGTTTGGTGGGACAACGGCATGATGAACCATGTCAAGTCCTTCTCGTACCGGCTCCTGGTGAACCGCTTCGGCGATATCAACAGGAGCCTCACCATCACGCGGGAGCAGGCTCGCAGCTTCAGCAACTTCCGCAACCTGCTGGATCACCCGAACAAATGTGACGACCAGGATGTCCTCCTGCTGCTATTTGTGAAATCGTCGCCGGTGAACACCGCCAGGCGCGAGGCCATTCGATCCACTTGGGGTAACGAGACCTTTATACTGGACTCACTGGGGGTGACGGTTAAGGTGGTCTTCGCCTTGGGAGCGCCCTCGGGACCCAACGGCACGGACGCTATTCTTCAGATGCGGCTGTTCCGAGAGGACCGTCACCATGGCGATTTGATCCAGCAGGACTTTCGGGATTCGTTCCACAACTTAACCCTGAAGCTGATCATGCAGTTTCACTGGATGCACAGGTGCTGCGCTCACGCCCGCTTTTTCATGACGGCAGACGACGACGTCTTTATTCACATGCCCAACTTAGTGGCATACCTGCAAGGCCTCCGAGACCAGGGGGTCTCTGACTTCTGGGTGGGCCGGGTTCACCGGGGCGCCCCACCGAAGCGCAGTCAAGACAGTAAGTACTACGTACCTCCGGATATGTACCAGTGGATATCGTACCCGGACTACACGCCCGGGGGGGGCTACGTGCTGTCCGGCGACGTGGCGGACAAGATCTACCACGCCACCCTGACGCTGAATGCCTCGCTTCACATTGACGACGTGTTCATGGGCATCTGCGCCAAAGCCGTTGGCGTGTCGCCGCAAGAGCATTTGTATTTCGCGGGGGAGGGGAAGGCACCTTACCACCTGTGTATCTATAACCAGATGATTACCTCCCACGGACACGTGGAGGACCTCCAAGACCTGTGGAAGGCGGCCACACACCCGAAGGTGAAAGAGAGGACGTCCGGACTTCTAGGCAAGCTCTACTGCACGGCCATGAAGATCTTTCTGCTATGTCGATACCATCTCAACGGCTACCCTTGCCTCGCCGCTTTTCATTGAGATTGTACGAGGAAGGAACATTTAAGAATTCAGCGGTACCCTGATTTACAAAGTGATTGTGGAGTTTTTTTTGTGATAAGATCCCATTTTTTTTTTTGACTTGCGAGCAAAAATTAGACCGAAAAGATATGAGCGTTAAATATTGGCAACGAACTAAGTGCAATTTGGAAGAGAGTGAAAAAGTTGAGTTGACTGCCAAGCCCAGTTGACTGTCAAACTAAACATAAAATAAAGAGCATTGCATGTTATGTTTTTTAAATAAGCATTAAACTGTCTTACAAAACAGACATAATCTTGACCCTCAACAATCACTGCAACTTAATTGAGCTATTTGGGGTGCGTTCACACTGCAAGATGTGATGCCCAATTCAGACTTTTTTATTAAATTTGATCTGATGTATTGGTTCACATTACAAAAACAAATACAACTTCTAATTTGAAATCAATGAGTCTGTGATGTCACACGCATGGGCACAATGCATGACATGAAGTGACGTACACCAGAGCAGTGCTTACGGAGGTAAATGTGTATCAGGGCGCATTTGATCATCTCCTATCGCAATAGTAGCATGGTGGGAAGAAGTAGAAACGTTTTGGGTATTTGAGTCAAAGCTCCTTGATCTCATTTAATGGAGACGGCTACTGAAGATGACGTCACGTCATTGCCGCCTGTAATAAATGAACCGTCTGTATGGCTGGAATACTTCAATAACCACGTCAACTAATTTTTTGGGATTGTGTTGCTTTAAAAAAAAAAAGTTACAAGTGAGCTTCCCATTGGCTGGAAGTCGAGTCAAGAGTGGGGAAAAAAACCCAACTACCTATACCAGGTCAGTGAGTCACTCATTTTGGTGGGCCCTGACAGGACAAGCTGAACAAGTTCTTAACAACATGGATGAATGAATGGAAGAAATCGTCAAAACACACAAATACAAAATACAGTAGGCTCACATCCAGTACCCACATGAAGACAATTGGGCTGTCACTCAGTCGGCCCCCGCGCCCTTTAAGTACACATTTGTGACTACAGGCTTGCCCCACTGTACAGTACAAACTTTTTTTTTTTTACATTCACTTTTGGGTTTTTTTTAATATTCAGTACAGCACTGTGTATTCAATCACATAAACAGGTATTTTTTAACAGTGGGAATCAACACAATTTCAATTTCAATAATATTGATTTGATATATGAGTTCTGAGCTTGGTCACAGACACTCATAAGTCAAGGCGCCACTGTATGACCTCAGTCCTTTGTGTCAAACACTCCTGACTGGACATGACATGACTTAAGTGTTGTAATTGGAGTCTTTCTTACTGTTAGAGAGAGCAAAAAACTCTACTTAAGAAGTACACATCCTCTGCTAGTTAAGTAAAAGTACTCCATTGAGCTGAGTTTTTCCGTAAGTCTCCTAAGACTCTGAAATGTAATTAAGGCAAAAAGTAAAAAATATATTTACTGGCATTTATATACAATATCCGTTTTGACAAAGCAAGCACAAGCTATTAACGCAATCAAAACGTGTTCCCATAGCTTCGCTAACCTAAACTGACCAAAAAAAAAAAAAACCAAAAGATAATTCACTAATCACGACAACTGGAAAAGAAAATACATCTTACCTGGGTGCTTTGTCAAATTAGATGGAGAATTATTGACGACAAGCTGGTGGGTTTTAGGCTCGAACAACACGTTAGCCATGAAACCCTCTTGCTAATAAGGCCACGGATGGTAGGGCTGTAACGAGACACCAAAGTTAAGACTCCATTCCTACGTTCATTTTTGAAACACAGTTCGTTTTTAAAATAAATTAACCTCATAAAAATTGTCAGAGAAGACCGTGCCTGTTTCGTTCCGTGCTCCACTTAGAGTAAATGCTCCGTCTTGTTTCTCAAGTCACTCAGACTGCCTGCTAAAAATATATAAAATAATGTCTTTCATTAAGCTACGGTTGAACTTTAGCTGTGAGTACTTGATTAAATATTTATTTTCTTGAATACAGATGCCGTGTCTTGCCTCAAGTCAAATAAAATGACTTTAAAATTGTCGACTGGTTTACAACACAATGCAAGGCAGAAATGACTGTTTTTTTGTGGTCCTGGTTGTGAATTCAAAGGATGGCCAATCTAATGAGTCCAAAAATATCTGCGTGGCTTAGTGTAAAATTCCACACAGAGAAGAAAAATGTTGAATGTGACTGATAATGCAAGCAGTTTTGTGGACTGAAATAAAACAATGTGTCATAAAAAAAGGCCTATTATGTTTTAATGGTGTCATTTTACTCGAGAATTTACATATGTCCATTAAACACATGAAAGGGATCCCAAACAACCTCAATCTAATATTGCACTGTGTATGATGCATCGCACCACAAAGTACATATAAGACACTTAAGTTTAAATCCAAAATTAGCTTTATGTTGAAGCAAATTGTAGTTGAGTGTTCAGTGTATACACTAAGAGGGCAGCACATAATATCAATAGTACCTGATGGATTGTCAACAAGAGCCCCTGTATTTACCTTTCTGGGGAGATTGGGTCATGTGGCTTTGGCAAGCTGTGCCCTGTCACTGTGATGCCATTTTCACAAAGTGGCATAATGACCAACCCCTAAAAATGAGCGGATTTAATCAGAATGCCTGCATTTCAATTTGTAACTTTGCATGCATGTCCCAAGTTTCTATTTTCATTGACTATGAAGTGAGTGTATAGTGGTGTTACTGTTTCAGCAAACCGAAGCACAAAGATTCCATTGCATGTGTCCCATTCACACCAGTAGCAAAGCGGGATAAAAATATGCAATATCTGCTTGGAAAGAGTAATGATTTAGATGACTCTTCCCTGCAAACAAGTGGCACCAACCGTATCGCTAGCAGGTGGAGACTTAAAACCTCAAAGGACTACAACAGCAGGTTACAGCAACTTTCATTTATTAAGACATTCTTATAATTTGAGAGGATATCTGAAAAGTAGTGCAGGGGGGAGGTGTGCATGTCGCTAAATGCTAATATACCCTATTGTGAGTAAAACACCAGCAAACTATGGCCTAGCCGAGAAATTCTGACGGCGAGTTGGATGAAAACATGATACATTTAAATAAACATTCACAAAAAAGCAAATACAAATCTACTATATTATATAATACCGTGACAAGTGCCTCTAAGTAAGCAGGCCCACAACACATCGCACATGTTAGCATAACAGAATTTGCAGACTTTATACAGCACTTGTACCTTTTAGTCCACAAGAAGGTTACTAAATGGTGGAGCACATCAAATATACGCATTATAATAGAACATGGAAAGAAATGCCTGAAAAGGACCACGATAACAGACCCCATGGCTTTGTAGCTCCAACCAGCCAAAACCGTGCAGGGTACGATGCCTACAATGGCCCGAGTGGGACTACCATAGAAATCACCTCGCAAAAGTATTTAGATCCAAGGTTTAGCATCAACACGGTGGTTTGTTTTATTTATTTTTTTCCTCCCCCACCTCCTGGAATAATAAGCACAATGCAAGTGTACAGTCAACTATCACTGCGTTTTTAGAAAGGAAAACCCAAAACGCTCAAATGAGGTCTGCCACATTCATGGGCATCTCCTCCACCGTTGTATTGTAAAATGTCTCAATGTCGCGCAGAATCCTCTTGTCCTCTTCGGTGACGAAGTTAATGGCGACTCCCTTTCTGCCAAAGCGGCCACCACGGCCAATTCTGGGGGGGAATGGAGGGAGTCAGTCATGTTGGGAGAAAAACTCATTGGCAATTCCAACTTACCTATGAATGTAGTTCTCTCGGTTTGTAGGAAGGTCATAGTTGATGACCAGGGACACTTGCTGTACGTCGATTCCACGAGCCTGGGAGAACAATTGACAAATTAGGCCATGTATTTAAATCAGGACGTTTGATGGTTAACCTCAGCTATACTCGAATGTCGCTCGGGTATAAGTAACAGATTCCTACATTAGAGGAAGCCATTGTGGAGTCTGAGCACTCATCTCCCAAAAGTTCACTCTGCCAAGTCATTGCGGGACTTTCACAGGATTTTTGGAAGCTTTTGGGCTTGATAATTATAACCAACAACCGCTGTTGCAACGACACCGAACCACATTTACATTGTCAACGATACGGTTCACTTAAAATTGGTCCCAAAATGAACCATCAGCGACATAGTGACAAGCGGAAAAACGAAATGGATTTTCCATGGCAGAAGGTACAATCAGCGCGTGTATCCAACTGTAGCCATTCATACAAGAGAATCACTGACCCAGATTTCACAGCAAGTAAACTGAGGTTATTATTTTCTCAATATAGACACTTTGGGGTATGTGATTTGCAGTTTGAATTTTTCCAATGTATAAAAGTTGGCAAAACACCGCTCCGTTTGATACTAACCAGCAGATCAGTAGTGATCAACACTCTGCTTGAGCCAGACCTGAACTCCCTCATAATGACATCACGCTCCTTCTGGTCCATATCACCATGCTGTGGAGAGAGGAAGCACAAAATTAGTATTGTGACTCATCTGAATCACATTCAGACCCCCCGAATAGCAGTTCTTCGTTTTTGTCATCAGTCACCTGCGCTTTCCTGACACGCAGCTGGTGACACAGCCAAGACGAGAATTGGGCCTATGCTCCAACATTTATTAACTTGACTGTAAATGCTCCGTCGGCTGAACTGGCAAACGTAGTGGGCACTATATTGTCCACCTGTGTAATGAATAGTCACTCATCTTACCAGAGCAGAAACAGTGAAGTCTCTAGCGTGCATCTTCTCTGTGAGCCAGTCCACTTTTCTTCGAGTGTTGAGGAAGATCACAGCCTGGGTGATGGTCAGAGTCTCGTAGAGGTCACACAGGGTGTCCAATTTCCACTCCTGAGGTCACACACGCGCACAAAAATTCACGTCCAGCCACTTCAACAAATTCAGTCGCAATTAAGTCCTTGATGAAAAAGCCATGTAGCACAGAATCTCGAGACAATGGACAGCGGACATTAAGAAAGAGGTCCCTCCACGCCTCATTTCCGAAACTGTGGCTTTAATCTCCTTCCCTGGTGTACCCGTGCTTACACACCCACATTGGCCGAGCCCCGGGAGGCTCGGCTTCTGCAGTTTGGGCAGGGTGCTTTAGAGAGAAGGCGCGTTTCAAAGTCAATACGGCTCGTAACAGACCTACCTCCCGCTCAACATTTATGTAGAACTGCTTAATACCCTCGAGGGTAAGCTCTTCTTTCTTCACCAAGATGCGGATGGGGTCCCGCATGAACTTCTTGGTCACCTCCAGCACATCTGTAGGCATGGTGGCCGAGAGCAGGACAACCTGGAGACAACATGGATTGGTTGAAAACGATAAGCGCATGTTCGCAAGGCAAGCTGGCAATTAAAATAAGACACCACCTTCCACACTGAGATAAAATGTTCTGGATCATGCAATTCTAGCAGACTTCTCTTAACGGAGGAGGGGGTGAAAACCATCTCCAACTGCTAATGTCCAATAAAATAGTCTTACCTGAATGTTTGTACTCAATTTCTGGAAGATCTCATAGATTTGATCTTTGAAACCTCGACTCAACATCTCATCAGCTTCATCCAGAACAAACATCTTAATCCATTTTGGTGCTGTAAGGGAATGTATTGGCATGAGTGTGTTTGCCAACAGCTTCGTTTCTTTCATTATTATATTATTATTATTATTCAATCCATCAATAAAACTCCCGTCATTCCACTCACACAGATGTCTCCTGTTGAGCATGTCATACACTCGGCCCGGTGTGCCCACAACTATGTGGGGGGCCTCGGCTTGAAGCTTCTGGATCTCACTGCGGAGATTGGTCCCTCCGATGCAGGCGTGGCAAGTTGCCCCCATGTAGTCACCGAGAGCCAGAATGACTTTCTGAATCTAAAGAGCAGGAAGAAGCAGAAGACAAGCACACCGGGCTCAGAGTAACACCGAAGAACGGCAGCCCGCGCAGACAAACTGGAGAGTGATCAGTGTGTCAAGAGCTCTCAACACGAAGAGTCAGTCCCGAAAGATGGTATGCCATCACGTCACCCAGTTACTCACACCAACAAATTCCCAAAAAAGACAGAGGAAGATAAGCCAGATCACCTTTTAGACCAGTGCAGTCATGGACTGGGACTACACCAAATCTTAGAGGGCTACGGTTTAAATTTGCAGAATTTACACAAGTCTTTAAAGAACGGTACCTTTTGGATCTGAATAGTCTCCTCAATGTGCTGCTTAGGTCTGAGACACTGCTGAGGTATTCATGAGTCATGACCTCAGGAACAGCATACCTGCTGAGCCAGCTCTCTGGTTGGAGCCAACACCAGAGCCTGAGTCTCCTTCTGCTCTATGTCCAGCTGCTGCAAGATAGAGATGGCAAATGTGGCCGTCTTGCCAGTGCCTGACTGGGCTTGGGCAATGACATCATAGCCTGATGACAAAAGGGGCACAGAATTATTCATGGCGAGACTCAACGGTACAGGCAGTCATTTGTTCATACTTTTAAGTCACTGCTTCCCCAACCATCGTGCCACAGCACACATAAAAAATATTAAGTTAAATGGCATATTCCCAATGACAAGAAATTCCCCATGCCTCGCCACAACAGAATACAAACTATACAACCAAAATTTTCCCATAATTAGTAGAAATGTAACAACGGCAATATCGCGTGTCAAGACATTAATAGTGGATAAAGTTTGCTCGATTTATCACGTCTGTTCAACGGGCTCGATTGTTTTCGATTTGTGCAATTCCAGCGCCCTCTGGTGGTCACAACAGAATACAAACTGTACAGCCACACAGGCACGGACAGATTTCACACAGTATGTCGTAGGGATGAAACGATCAACAGCAAGAACAGCAATATCCTTGTCGTCATGTCAGGTTATTAAAAGCATCTCATCTGTTCAAAGGGCGAGATCGTTTTCCATGTGTGCAATTCCAGCACCCTCTGGTGGCAGGTTTAGTTTGAATTGGGCATGCTTTGCCCACCTACGTTCTAAGGCCCTGGCTAATCGCCAGGTGACAGGGAACACAACACGTTTGACTTGATTCACGCGTGCGTGTATTAGCAAGTCAGTGCCTCAATATTAAGCGTTATTAGTTTTACCATCCAAACTACAGATACTTTACACCCTGAGCCAACAAGAGAGACTGCCAATAAAATGACTGGCCAAGTCCAAATTTAGTCAATTTCGGACAGTCAAAAACCGGGATCTACTTCTTGGGTACTGATTAATGCAAAGCGCTACCAATTTGATATAAACTTTTTAACGCCATTTGCTCAAATTACCTTTATGCGGTCAATAATTTATCTTCAATGAGGAGACCCTGATAACGTTGAAGCAGCAGCGCCCAACCAGTCGACTAGTAGAATGCTTCCATGTCATATTAGTTCACATTTTGTGTCGGTGTACAATTTAGCCTGGGAACCTGACCACCATTTAAAAAAGGCCATTCATGCATGGCAAGTTGCTAAGTGTCTCGACCCACAAGTTGACAACATGACGAAAATAGAATTTTTTTTAAAAGTTTCTTTGCGTTGGGGGAAAAAGCCCAGTTATGATTCAAGAGCCTATTGACCAAGAAGAAAGGTGCATTTCACAGACAATACCAGGAGACCTTGGGATACCTGCCACCTGCACGGGTCACTGGCTTGGAAGCAACTACTGAGCCACTCCTGCCCATCAAATCAGCAGCCAGCACCTTATTTTTAGATTTTACTACAATATATGCCAATTTATTACATTGTAACCACAACCAGCGTACCCTAGCAGTAACATTTGTATATCTGTGTGAGCGCACGCAGCAACACTCGATGGGACGTAGTCACAACAATAAAATTCTCTTTTTTGTACCCAACCAAACAATATTCCCTTCTTTGTTTCCACTGCGCTGATAAACATGGTCCTTATGATTCACCTTTCACAAAGTGTTGACTAGCATGGCTCCTTTATTTTCATTTACTGCTACTGGATTGACCATTGATCATGTAGAGGGCGGTACGTGCAGGTTCCAAGTTCAGTGACTTATCAAGAGAAAGGGCGCGTATACGTATTCACATTATTTCATGCTTTTTATGCATACGTACACTTTTGTTAGAATCCGACACACTAAGTGGGGCCCCGGGTGGGATGCTCAGTGGTCCTCTTAACAGATCAAAAACAATGTTGTCCAGTGTGATCTCGTCAGTCAGGAATGGTTTGAGGAACAACGTCATTTGCTGCCGTTCATCGTCTTTTATCAAGTCCACAGTCGACACTGCTGTCTACCAGGAAATGTTTGAGTGCTTCGCACGCCCGACTTTATTTTCCAGCGAGATTTGGCACCTGCCCATAAAACCAAAGCTGCCAATCCCTGTTTTAATAGCCTTGTAATGACAGTACTTGATTGAGCTGCGAACTTGCCTGGCTAGGACCCTATTGAAAATGTACCAGGTATTGTCAAGAGCAAAACATTTTAACTTCCCGAGAACTTGTTTTGGAGATATAATTCAACCAGGCAGTGACAATAATCTTTTTCAAGATGTCTGTCTGGTGGCGCGCGGTTGAGATACCCCTTATGTAAAAATGTGTAACTTGGCTCAATAAAGGTTGGGAAACATTGACTACATGTTGAGTGATCAGGGAGAAGAAGGTATCACCATTATTGGGTAAGTCCCGAAAGATGGTTAAGCATCATATCACTCAAATACACCAGTTAATTAGGGGTTTCATAGACGACTGTACCTTTAATGCAAGGGATTATAGCCCTCTGTTGAATGGCCGAAGGCTTCTCAAAACCGTATGCATAAATTCCCCGGAGAAGCGTCTCCTTCAGGTTCATATCATCAAAGTTGTCCGTAATGTCATTCCAGTTGCTCTGAAAACAAAATTCAAATGAACTAACGTGTCGGCATCTTGCACTATGAATTGGTTGCAAAGTGCTCGTACCTCAATGACACCATCTGGCTCCATTCCATCTGGCCCCACATGGTCGCTGTTGAGACAAAAAAATAAATAAATAAAACAATCAATTATATTCAATTTAATTTATATGGCCCCAATTCATTATACAGGTCATCTCTAAGCACTTTACATAATGGAGCAGGGTCGAAAGAAACACTCCCCACACATCAAGAGGCCAGCTGAACCCAACATAAGCACTACACATGGACAGAAAGGAAAAACTCCCTGCAAGGAAGAACGCTTGAACAGGCCTGAGACTCAATTGGGAAGCCATCTGCCTCAACCAGTTGGGTTGATAGATCAGTAAATTGTATTAATTGAAGCAACACAAAAGTTGACGCGTTTTTTTTTTTTTTGGGCTGCACTTCTGCCCTTACAACTAGTGGAATGTTGGCACGTTTATTCGGTAAAACGAGGCGTGAACGATCACACCATGCTATGTGCAACCGTAGTGGCAGACTTACTATTGGGGGAAACAATTGGCAGTTACTGCCCATTTCCAGGGGCCGCCAAACATTTTTTAAAAACTATTAATTAGATGTAATTGTATATAAATCAATATTTTCAGCCTTAATCTAACTTCTTAATATTTAATGCTTGTTTTAAGTGCTCTGGCCCTCCCTTCTCATGGAACAGGCCATTCTGTTCTTTGCTGCACATGTGCAGATTTGATTCAGTAAAACGGTGACATAAAATTGGACTCATCGTGAGGAAACTTGAGAGGGTTGGGGAATATGGGAGGAAAACAATGACTTTGGATTAAGACTACCAAAAGGGTTGAATCTCTTTCACCGTGACAACCAATGTATATAATTGACAACAGAAAAGAGCTAAACGTTCTTGGCCATAGTAGTATTGCCACCATTGTCAGCAAAAGGCGATAATGTAAAGACCATGTGGGGACAATTCTCATCACATGATATTAATATTGAAGTGGTAAGTAATATTGATATTTTAAACTATATTACATGTTGAGTAACATTGTTATCAATTGCAGGAAAGCGTTGCCATGATCCCCTTGTTCCCTAATCCTCAAGTATTTTTTAGATTTCATACTGATCAGGAAAATGTGCCGAAAGGAGAATGTTTTCCTACCCAAACAGTTTACCTTGTATCATTCAAAATCTGTGCAATGCTTAGATCCGGAGGGCCTCAGGACTGGGTTTTTGCCTCGGCCCCCAAATTACTAACCCGAGCCCCTGCAAGCACGTGGTGCGACCACGTGGTGCGGCGAAGACTCCCCGGTTATGGCGCAATCGTGTCGGATTAACGTTAAAAAAAATTAAGAAATTTAGACAGAAAAATAGCAACTGCTTCGCAAGCAAATATCGGATGACCTTGGCCCTACAGGACTAAAGTAATAACGCAAGCTACTCGTCCACTTTCGCAAATACGGGCCGAGCTAGATCACCTACCTACCGCCCCCCACCCCCCGCAAAAAAATGCTGCTTATGTAACCGAGCGGGTTTCGTACCAATGAGGACGTTCGTGCCAAATTGCGCCGCAAATTATTATCGTACGCATGTACAGACTTTGAGGAAAATCTCAACATGGAGTCCACGGTTCGATCAGAGAGCCAATATGTCGGGCAATTGGGCCTATGCAGTACTGTACAGTCCGCGGACAATTGGGACTACATTTATCTACATTGGAACATGGTCCACCTGGTTCACATTAACAGTATAGCATTGCTGACACGTTGTATGATATATCTATAGGAAAAATATTTTTCATATTTGACAGAGGGAAGGACTCGTCGCGAACGTATACTAGCCAACCGTTAGCTATCCCACCGTTAGCAGCGTTGGCCTCGGGGCCTATGCTGCTTTTCAGTTAGTCGACGGGACATAGGGCGAAAAAATGTACATATGAATAAACTTTTGCTCCACGCGTTGCAACAATGTTTCGCCCGCCGCGTAATTTTAATTACCTGTTGTAATCAGCACAATCGTTAGACATGATACGTATCCAAGCTCGGCATGCGACTGGAAAGATCGCTGATGGCGACGTCAACTCCCTTTATGCGGCCGAACTACTTTCGCCGTTTGAACTCAGTACTCGCTGTCGTCGGGAATATTGTTTATCTTGTGTGGATTTTTTTCTTTACAGCGTATAAAAATATAACACATATCAGTTCGTTGAAATAGTGTCTACGTATAGTTATAGGAAAATGAAATCATTGCTAACTACATTTATTAGCGGAGGGATTTTTCAGTAATGAACAGTACTGCGGCAACTACAGTGCCTGGGAAAGGACAAACGTATGGCGGTAGAGTTGCGCAACAGGGTAGTCATTAAGTCAGAAGGAATGGTGAAATGAAAACAATGTCTTGTATCGTGACAAGAGTCCATACCTCATTTGTTTCAACATTTTCGTGGAGTTAGAATGTTTATACCAATAGGTATTGATTTAATATGATTATTACTGTAGTCTTCAGTGGCATATTACTAGACCGCCTTGTACTGAGAGGGGTTTCTGATATTTTTTTGTGATTTTATGAAGAACAAATCATTCCCCTTTCGTCATTAAAATATGAACTTCTAACCAGATAACATGTTTTTTGTTTCTTTGCTTTTTACGCTCTTCTTGTTCGAGGTTCTCTTTTGAAGTATACCTAATGTGGCCAGTGAATCCACAACATGCACAGACTGGCATGATATTACAGAGACAATCAATGCAGAGTACTATTTATAATTATGCTTTGACTGGTGGTGGGTGACATGGGTCACATTTACCACTGGGGAAGGGACTGCCATACATGGAGAACTTGACACCACACATACCTGAACATGCTGACCCAGCTTCACTTGTGCTTGTGTATATTCTCATTAATCCATGTCAATTCTTTCTCAAGGCATTGAATTGATTGTCTTGGAACACATTTTGCCTCACATCGGAGGTTTCACCAGTTAATGCAACAAGACTTGGTTTCAGACTGACCAGCCTGGGCTTGCATATGATTCTTCAATCAAGCCAGACATATGCTTTCCTTGGCATCTTGCAGTCTGTTCTCGAGTGATTCTTGGTCATTTTAATTAGTGCAATTTTACGGTTTTCCCTCTACTGACCAACTCATGAAATTGTTCAAATGCAACTTGAAATGTGTAATTGGAGTGCAATTTATTTGCATCGTGGAGTGATTTCGACACAAGTCTCATTTGACACCATAGTTTGACCTTATAGTATTCCAGTCATGAGAATGAATAGTTCTTGCTCTAGTCCCTGAAGGGACGATCCAACAGTGTTCATTTCTTGCCAAAACTGTCTGTCTTGCATTTCCCTGTACACACAGTTATTGAAAACAATTTTGAGAACGACAGCTAGGGGATGGATGCTTCCTGGCCAGGATTGTTTTTGCAGCTGCTGGCTGGGGAAAATTGTACAGACACATAAGGAAGGCTGGCTTTGTCATGAAACGTCCCTTGTACTCAGTGCAGGTGGGATGGGAGAGGAAAATGATAACGATCCTGATCATTTCAATCAGTATAAAGGTGTAGGGAATCATTGAAAACGTGTAGAATAGGGGCCCTCGAGGACCAGCGTTGGTGAATCTAACATGCATGTAATCCGTGAAGCTATTTCTGGACCAAACAGTACCATTACAACGCAAGCACAGTTGTACGATTAGATGAGTTCGTGTAACAATCAAACAAAGAGCTGTGGAGGCACATTTTATTTTTGGGAACTTCGCTCTGAGTGGTCCTTAGGTCCATGTCATATTGATGCTTCTAATGCACAATAGTGTAGTAGTTGGAAAATAGCTCCTCTCCTGCTGTAATGTCTCTGAGTGATACAAGGACCACACAGCGAAGAGGTCTCTGCGAATGCGCACTGTAGTTGACGTTGGGAAGATAACACCGAAACTCCATGGGAAGTGTGTCGGGAACATCATACTCCTGGTAGCACACATTGGCGGGCCTCTCATTAGAGCAATTGTTCACATACTGACCCACTGCCAGCGGATTCTGTGGAGTGACTGTCAGCCAGGTGGTATCACTCGTCATCAAAGGGCCCATTCGATCTCTGCCACTGCATGACTTGTACACCATCTTGGAGATCCCTTTGTCATTTCCGTCAACCAAGACGCCGTCGATGCACCGAAAGACAAATGGGTTTCTGATGGATTGGAGGAGAATAGGCTCATATGGTTGGTAGATGGTACCAGGATACATGGCAACTGTTGCTCCTTTGGGAACCAAGCCCCTGGTGACAAACACTCCATTTCCTGCATCGGGAAGTGTGCTGGGCTTCCGGTCGATGCAGAATCCAAGTGATTGGAACATGGCATCGTGTACACGCCGCTCGTAGTCACTTATTACCTGGCTGTGGAAATTACCGAATTCCACACGACGATTCGTCCTGTGGAGAACTCGGAAGAAATGCAGGAGGTTCCGTGAGACCTCTTCGTCCGGGACCAACTTGTCCTCACAGCGCTCTTGAACATGTCGAAGTGTTTTCTCATTTTTAGAAATGTTTAAAACAATCCAAGGCAAAAATCGGTGCCGGTATGACTTCCACTTAAGCCGAAATCGCTCCAGTACTTTTCGAAACATTCAGAGGAACAAGGAACTAACCCTACACTGATAAATACCTAGGTTGAAACAATGACTTAATAACTTCCGACACCAGTACTGAACTATAAAAGTAGAATTGCTCCTGGCTATTCGTGGCCAAACCTTTTGTCGTTCCACCAAATCTTAAATCATAAACGTAAATATTTTCGGCATTAGTCATCGAAATTACAGGTAATTAAATCATCTCTGAAATATTACAGATCAAACAAATATCGCTTTTATTTTGAACAAAAACAACCGGAAACTTATTTGTTTCTGTAACAACTTTACAAGCTTTAGCCAGCTGGATGGGAGGAAAGGGAGCCAAGCAAAGACAAACATGGTAAGAAACGTTACTTCTTACATTAGTGCACTGCTGAAAATATCAATAATCCCGATAACGCGGTCCTTGTAGTCGACAAAAACACTTAATTGCCAGAAACAGCCCTTCTGGGTCCCACCAATCCGCAACTAGGCGCGTTAGCATGCGCTAACTAGCTGAAGGTATTGAGGCCAACTCGTCCATTCAGCTAGCGAAGCTGCTGAAGGGGTTTGAAGCCAAATGATCAGAGTTGTACACTCCTCGCAAATGACATCCCCGTAGTGTTGTCGACTTGCTCTTGGCGAAGTGTTTCCTTCCCCAAACAAATGGGAGCAAGCGGATAATCAGTTGGTCACAGTTGTCAGACAGTGTTTTGGCGTCTGATCACTGAAATGTGTGGGCTCTTTGGATGTTGATGTAGCTATTAAGTCAGTCTTGTAGTGTGCTTCAGATCTAAGATCATTTAGAACAGTTTGCCTTATTTTACATACGCAGTCTGTACTGAAGTAGACGTAAAATCGTGTGTAAAAAAATGGTAGAAATTAAATGACTTTCAATTCCTTCACTTAAGTAAAAGTAAAGGGCAGACTGAACTGTACAAAGCTCGTAACTCAAAATTATTTCCTTCCGTGGCTAAACGGGTGACTAAAATCAATTTTTCCCATTGAAACCAATTGCAATGTCAAATTTCCCCTGCATTAGTAATAAAAGTAGCACAGTTAATGCAAAAGCATCATAAAAGAGCATGTAAAGAAATAAACAGGTTTTATAAAGTGTAATTACTAGAGCTGAACAATTGATCAAATTTAAATCAATCAATCACAAAGTTGTAGAATGTAATTTGGGGGAAAAAAGGCTTCAATTTGGTTGGTTGATACGCATTATTTTTTTTAATATACACGTGTACTTCATGCACTTATTTATATAGTGTTTGGATATGTTCAGCGCTTAAAAAGTACGGTCCACGTATTTCCATATCATTGCTTCGTAAAACATGAAACGCTGAAGTGCAAAAGCCACAGATTCGTTTGCATTATTGGTGTAATCTGATTTATGCCAGTTTAGCCGGGTTTGCATGGAGCCTTGTATTTCGAACAGCATGAAACCAAATGGCCAAATGTAATGACAAAACTCCCATCGGAACAGCTCAGTGGGAATAAAAAGTCAGAATTTAAATGGAATTGTATTCATCATCAAAGGGGTTGTGTAAAGAGTTCAGTCGAAACAGCCAGGCCGTGTCAAGTCTGCACATGCCCTGTCTTGATAGTGGCGGTGTCGTTTGCACGTTTAAAAATGGCAGCGTCCTATTAGAGCTTGTCTCCGATTGGAGAACTTGTTTTGAAATACTCTGAAGGTGTTTTTTCTTCTTTTCTTTTTAATCAAGTTATTGATTAGTAAAAGTGTTAAAACAATCACTACTACTGTGCTAAATGAATTAAGTTGATGTGATTAATGTAGTGGCACATGTAAAATGCATGTCAAGAGAACCTTGAAATTAAAGAATTGCATTATAAATGGTTTTGGTTTTCGCAATATTGAGTGGGGGGGGTAATCACAATTATTCTTCAAAATTGTTCAGCACTAGTAATTACTGTGCATACTGTAGTATTTGTGTGTTGGCTGTGTGCCTTTTCGGGTGTCTCGAAATTTTGTTGTTGGTTTTTCCCCTTTTGCAGAACAAGCTGAAGTCCTCACAGAAGGATAAAATTCGCCAGTTCATGATTTTCACACAATCCAACGAGAAGACTGCACTCGTCTGTCTGTCACAACATGACTGGAAACTAGAGGTGGCCACCGACAAGTTTTTCCAAAACCCAGAGCTCTACGTTTGCAGTTTAAAAGGGGCTTTGGACAAGAAGAAGCTTGAGCAACTATACAACAGATATAGAGGTACGACTTTCAACAAATATACTCTGCATATTATCCTATTGCGGGTTGAGGAGAAAGATTGATCACAGATTACTACGCTAAAATCTTTATTGACGTATTCATTATGGATAATTTTTCCCATCTTTTTCACCCAGATCCTCACGATGACAACAAGATCGGCATCGAAGGGATCCAGCAGTTTTGCGACGACCTCGGTTTGGACCCCGCCAGTATAAGCGTTCTCCTCATCGCTTGGAAGTTCAGGGCTGCGACGCAGTGCGAGTTCTCGAAACAGGAGTTCATGGATGGCATGGCAGAGCAAGGGTGAGATGTAGGGCGATGTCGTGTTAGGGTATCGAAATCGAGTCAAGAAAGTCCAGAAATTGGGAGCCCGAGTCCGATTCTTGCGGGCTTCCCGTTGTGGTCCAAGTATGAGACGTGATCATCGACTGTCTTGTGTTTCCTCAGATGCGACAGTATAGACAAGCTAAAAGCTCAGCTACCCAAGATGGAGCAGGAGTTAAAAGACCAAGGAAGATTTAAGGACTTTTACCAGTTTACATTTAATTTTGCAAAGAATCCTGGCCAGAAAGGTTTAGGTAACGCAACTGTGACACACCAAATGATGTGCGGTAACCCGCTTTTTGTAATCTCTATTTTAAACGTGTTTTTTTTTTCTCTTCTCCCTTTTGCTTTGTTCTTCTAGATTTAGAAATGGCTATTGCATATTGGAATTTAGTATTGGATGGAAGATTCAAGTTCCTCGACCTATGGAAAACATTTTTAGTTGTAAGTACACCGTGTGCGTTCCCAAGATGCACTTTGGCATTGTTCCTTCACAAGAAGTGTTACAGGAAGTCATTCTGAAAAGGAAGTTATCTCTAACTCGCGGTCATCTCAGATTGTCGGTCTGCAGCGGCTCTAAATGACTGCGAATGGCCTTGTTTGTCGATGACAAATATTGGAACTCCAGCCAAAATGTCATCTGAAATATCTCAGTTGTCGTAGAATTTCAAAGCAATCCTACTAAAGCCTCGGGGAAAGTTCTTGCTCACCAATCTCTTTCTTTGGCTTGACTCTGCCATTTTTCTATTGTAGGAGCACCATAAAAGATCGATTCCCAAGGATACATGGAACCTGCTGCTGGACTTCAGCACCATGATCACAGATGACATGTCCAATTATGACGAGGAAGGTTCGTACCGCCTTTCAGTTTGGAATGAAAAGGTGTCTGCTCTCGGCATGGCTACAATCGGGAAAGCTATTAAATGTCGCTGGATTTAGAAGCCTGTTTTGTCATTCGATGGTGCCTTGATTTGCGAGCTCGATGCATTCAGTCACCACATTTGTAACGCAAAACACTTGGATTTCAAATCATCTATCCCCTTTGAAATGAATGGCAATGCCATTAATCCGTTCTGGCGTTCCCCCCACCTCCACCCCCAAAAAATGTCAGTGTATTTAACAACAAAAATAGCACCTTGCAGCATCGCACATAAGACAAAAACAGACCGTAACAGCATCATGACAGTATATGGGGTGAAACAAAATCCACTGCAAGGTTTGTCGTTCAGTTTTCGACTCTTAGGAAATTCAGTTATGGCTTCAGACGGCTCCAGAATCCTTTCATGCACCCTGTAACCTGATAACATGATACGCTGTCCACTGTAGTAACCGCTGTCCCCGAAAGGGTTAAAAGAGACAAAACATATTTCATATTCACCGAGAACCATCGTGGCCTCATGAATGTTTTCCCTCCGTCAGGAGCCTGGCCTGTACTCATCGATGACTTTGTGGAGTTTGCACGACCGCACGTCGGGACCAAAAGTACTGCAGTTTAAGTTCCTCTCCACAGCCCACGCAGACAAGAGAAAAGAACACGTGGCCCTCACTGAGCTGACAACTGCGTTGCCTTTTCAATCCTCAGGACTGAAATATTTTACACAGCAGAGACTTTATAGAAACACGTGCGTGAGTGAGTGTTCGTGTATGTACAAGACGGATATAAAAATAATGCATATCACTTTGTCGGTCAGCTTGTGGTGGTTTGGGGCGCTTTTAACTACAGTATTGGGATTTTTGAGAAGGGGGTGCCCAAGCCAAGCGAGATGAGGCACCGTCTCAGTTTTGGGATGTGTTTGAGCTCCGCTCCAGTGTCAACAAACACACTCTCGAACTGTAATGTCAACATTCTTTCATAATAATAATAATTTTAAATTTGACTTCTGAGTGGCATCCCGATTTTTATTTTATGATACATCTGTGACTATTTCATTTATAGCCTGTTTTTTTTTTTTTTTCAAGATCAATGCTGTTTCCTTCTTTGAACATGAAATAAATGTTTCAATTTGGTATCTTTGAAACTGCCAGCCCCGTGTGCTTCCAATAAGTCAGACCATATTCATGCAGGAATGGTTGATTTATGTGATGACAACATTTTTGGACTTAAGCACATTTCAGAATCTGTTTAACATTTACGCAAGGACAGGAGTTATCTTTACTATAGGTTACTTTTTACACGAAATATCGCTACATTTAAGTACAGAACGTGAGTGCACTACTTTGGCTACCTCTACATCCGACTGCCCAGTCCTCCCCAATCTCCCGGCATCGTTGCTAGGCGACAAGAGACGTAGTTCCAAGGGGCATCTTCTGCCATATTGTGTCATAAAGCGCCCCCTATAAGTGTTGCCTTTCAAATGATGCATTTCTGTGGTGACATCAACAGAGTCACTGTGACTACGACACCAACACGACGATGTCGTACATTCAATCAGGCCAGGGAGACGGGAGGGGGAAGTACGTTCAGCTTTTGATGTGACGAGTCAGTTGTATCCACGTACACTTTTAACTTGACGCTGCGGTCGCATCAGCCAACAAAAGAAATCCTTACCAATATAGAAACCTGACTTGCAATAAGTCAATATGGCCGCATTTGCAGCGAGAGTGTTATCCGAGATGGGCTGGGAGCAGCACTATGCCCTCCCGGTGCTGAACACCGAAAACAAGGCTTTAATAGATGAGGTGAGTATGGCCCTGATTTATTTTCTCACGACCACAGGTCAGTTTTATACCGTACATGCTTGATCTCCACGATGCAATGTGGAACAAGTGTCATTTTTTGGCGAATCATTTCAAAACGTGCCTGCAACTTTACTGAAGATGAGCGGTTTGGAGAATGAATGAATTTCAATCGTTTTTCCATATTTGTGTGGCGGACATATTTTCTGTACAACTCGTTTGAAAAAGGAAATGCTGTTTTTCTGCAACTGGAATTGGGGCCTCGGTCAAGGTGGAGGGAATTATGAGCTGTTCCAATTAGCAGTCGGGGGTGCTGAACAGCAAGTGCAGGAGCAAATTGTTGGGAATGCCATGACGCCATGTTTGTTCTCTGATCCTTCAGATATGTGACATAAAGAGGAAGCTCTTGAAACTGAAACACAAACGTGAGACTAATGACGAAAAAAAGCAATTGGGAAGCGACTGCCTGAAAAATGCCAAAAAGGAGCTGGAAATCACAGAGGTAGGTTTCATTAAAAAAAAAAAAAAAAAGTTTCTTTTGGGAATTGGCTCATCAGTCACTTTTTTTTTTTTTTTTTTTTTGTGCAAAGGCTCTGTGCAGGGCCAAAGACAGAGAAATAGAACTGGAGAAACACCTTACCGCCATTGCCGAGAGAGAAAACGGCCGCCTACGGCAAGACAATACGAAGATGGAAAACGATCTCCAGTATTTGGCGGAAAAGACAAACACTCTCGAGGTGGATTGTTTCCTTTTGATTTGAAACATTACCATAAAATTGCCAAAATGCGATGACTAACCTTTTGCCCCCTCCCCAATCCATGCTCAGAACCATAACTTCAAGGCCAAACAGAAGCTGGAGCAGTTTCGGGTGCAAATGAACTGGGACCAGCAGGCCTTGAATTCCTTTTTGGAGGAATCGACCATAAAAGACGATGACATGATGGCTATCATGAAGTATACACATCAGGATGAGCAGAGGATCAAGGTCATTAACAAATTGGCACCACGCGTTTCTTTTCGTCGTTTCCGAATCGTTCTCAACTGCGTTGGAATTGTCCGCCCCGCAGTCACTGACTTTGGCCATTGAGAGGACGACGGTGGAGGGCAATAAAAAGCACAAAGGACTTGACAAGGAAATGACCGAAACTTTAGCGGCGCAGGTACTGAAACAAAAGAATCATCCGGGGGGAAACGGAAAAGGAACTTGAGGACCGTCCGTACGTGTCGCGTTTTCCTCGCAGATTGCTATGGACAAGACGACAGAGAATTTGCAGCAGGCTCACGTGGAAACTGAGCAGATCATCCACCAGTGGGAAAACACCATCCAGCAGATGAAGCAACGAGATGGTGAAATCCATCAGAGTGCTCTGGTAAACCAATTTTGGATTGAACAATCTCAACAAAACAGAATGTGAACACACACGCTCACGCGTAACCCGCTGGTCTCGCTGTCGATCTAGAAACTGGCTGAGACCAACCAGGTGATCAGGGAAAGGAACGACACCCTGATGGAAATGAGACACCTGCAGGAGTCGCAGATGAACGACAACACAGACAAAGAGAAGAAATTGGCCGCAACCAATCGACAAACTGCAAAACTGCGACTGGACTTCAAGCAGCAGGAGAGCAATTACGTCGAGATGCAGGATGAGGTAAGGTGAAAGTCGGCGGGCGGCCCCGCGCTTTTTAACCTGAGTTCATCGACCTCTTGGCGCATCGCAATCACAGAAATTTTTGACGACATTTCGACAGCATGCGACTGTGCCGCGCGTCATCTGGAATAGTTCAAAAATTGTCTGGGCCCGACATGCTAGGTTATTTATACCCAGCACGTTGAATTGATATGGGCCAGCGCTACTGAGTGCCAAGGCGGATTTGATGGACGTAGCAACACAGGCTCAAATCGGATTGGACAAAAACGTCCACCATTCATGTACGCAAACTGGAAGTCAAGATCAAGCCTTATAAAATGAAGAGCATAGACTTTTGGGAATGTATCATAGGATCCCCCACCCCCCCAAAAAAATTCAGATGACTTTATGAAATTAAGAGAAAAAAAAAAAATAATCATTTTAAAAATAAAAGTTAATTTTTGTTCAAGATAAATTGAATCGATTTTATTGTTTCTAAATGTTTATCCTCATGTATCTGCAGCTGAAAAACTGCAAAGCCGTCATGGATAGAACAACCTCCAACGTGCATTCGATGAAGTGCCACATACGCAGGGTGGAGGAAAACATCCAGAACAACAACGAAAAGTCAGTCCAACTCAACAGGCACACCGTCTCGTGCCGAAACCCCGCAGAACAATGATCCGAGATTTTGTTTCTCGCAGACTGAATCACACCGGGGCTCAAAATGCTGCCCTTCAGGCCAAGCTGATATCTGTCACCCAGAACGCCTTGAGTGAGAAGGAGAGAGCTGCCCAGATGGAAAATTTCCTCAAGGAAGAGCAACAGGCCATCAAGGTGGGGACCTTGTACGCTTTGCTTGTTTCATGCCACCATGGCAGTTGCAAAATCAATGCCATAAAATACAAGTTGGTCATCCTCCGAGGTGGGAGGAAATCACATCACGTACGAGTTGATCCCGTTTCTTAACCTGCAAGTTTTCGGGCAAGTCGGGTCAAGTCATGACAGGTTAAGCAAGTTATAAGTCAAGCCATTCAGTTTTGCTCACTCGCATTTACCCGAGCATAAGATACTTAGCACTCAGTGGTGATACTAATTACGTTGAAATTTTTAATGAAGTTGTTTTAAAAGAATCACATTTTTAAAGAGTTCAATCAAACGTAACTGAACTGTACTTAAAAATCGTACAAAAGTATTGAATATACTGCATGTGTTATCTGTATTTGCTTCAGCGATTCCCTCTAACACCACTAGAGGGAGCGCATGTACCACTTGTGGTACTTATCATCTATTCAATCAAAGGTATGACCGATATGAAGCTTAGTTCACGTTTGACTAGTTATCGATGAAACTGAAGTTAACGCAGCCTACGATCCTTGTGGATGTTATGGTGACGGAAGAAAGTTAGTTTTGCAAAAATCATCCCTTGGGGTTGGAGCTGGTACGGATTTATGGCACGCACACTCATTTCAATGGGGAGCGATGATTTGGGTCATGAATGTTTTGCGCAAATGAATTCAAGTCGTATCTAAAGGCACCACACTGTGCTTTATTTGCTACTCACCATGCCGCTTTGTTTACCAGGAGCTAGACAACCAGCTGTGTGAACGCGGCAAGGAGCTTGTCCGCTGCAAGCAGCATGGGGAGGACTACAAGAAAAGGGAAAAGAATTATATGGCGCATTTGTTACGCAGCAAATGCACCATCAACACGTTGGAATGTCAGCTCAGGAAACAGGAGGAGTACTTACTCAAACAGATGATGATCATGAATGAAAAGGTAGGCATACCTAAAAAAAAAAAAAAACATAAAAAAAGCCATAACTACCTCAGCCCAACTGCTTACTTTCTCTCCTCATTTTTTATCTTATGCATTAGGACTCCCAGTTGATCATTTTAGATAAAAAACTAGCACGGTTGCAAGGTGTCGTCGGCGATTCCGATGAAAAGGTGGCGATGGAATTGAAGATCACGGAGCTGCTCAATTCCCTTGAGGAGAAGAAGAAGACATCCTGTAAGATCCTCGTCAAAATCAAGGAGTCCGAGGTGAGACAGCGCACAGGAGGACGTGCCAATCTTAACAAACGATGACATCATTCTTTGTATTCCTTTTTTTTTTGTCTGTGGCAGGAGGACATTCGCTATTTGAGGAAAGAGCGGGAGGATTCTGCCACTCAGAAGAAGGAGCTGTCCAACAAAGTAGCAGAACTGAAGCTGATCAATAATAATATTGAGAAAGAGCTGAAGAGACTCGGGCTCAAGAAACAGGTTGCTGATGCATGGATGCCGTGTTTGACTGAAAGAGTGCGAGCGATGCAAATTGAACATTGAAGAAAAAAAAAACCCGAATAACTCACATGACACCGCGAAATGGCGAATTGGGCCCAATTTGGACCGTTTCGCTTCGGGGTGTTCTCACTTTTGTTGCTGGCGGTTAAGACGTTAATTCCCCTCTTTTTGTGTGTGTGTGTGTGTGGGGTGGGAGGGGGGGGGGGGGAGAGGCATCTGTACGCTGCCTATTTTACATTGTAGCAAAAAGGCATTTTTCTACTCGCGTTTATGAGATACTGTATATAAAATTTACCACTGTTGATACGTTTGGGGTTTATTCTGTCCTTATTTAAAAAAAAAAAAAAATCAGTTAATGATGGATCAACTGCATTGATCATAATGCCCAGTGGCCTTTCTTCAGGAGCATATCGTGGAGCAGAACATCTCCAAGCTGGAGGTGAGGCGGAAGCGGGATCTCCTGTTCAACAAAGCCAACAGCGTGCTGTCTTTGGAGAAAAGACAATTGAACGTGAAGAAAGCAATTCACGAGAGGCAAGAGGAGATCCGAGTCTACAGCCAAATGCTCAGTCAGCAGCTGAGGACCACCGAGCAGGAGAGACAGAAAATCTGGTAAAAAAAAAAAAAAAAAAAAAAAGATGGCTAAATGTTGAAACAGAACCTTACAAAGTCCAACCCAGGTTTTCTTACGGCTTTCTATTTGGAATTTCGACTTTGTTGACAACATTGCGTTGGGTTCGCACCTGAAGCACAATTTCTTTTCTTAATTGCCATCCTCTCTAGTCTGGAACTGAATGTAAAATTGTCCAAGATTGAAGCCACGAAGAAGCATTACGAGGTTGTGACCTTTACGATGGCAGCCGAAGAGGATGACGAGGACGCCGTCAAGTCTCAAGCTCACTACATTGCCAAGGTAAGAAGATGGGAAACGTCGCCATTTCTTCTGGCACCGTCATGGAGATGCCACTCTCTTCCACTAGGCCGCGCTAGAGAAAGCCGAACTCAAGCAGCGGGGAGAGTGTCTAAATAATAAAATCCGCAAGGCCCAGCAGGAAAATAAAGCTCTGGAGAACACAACTCTGTTATTCCACATCAGCAACACCGGATTTCACACAACAGTCGTCAAAGCGAAAGAAGCCAGTATGTAAACTTGACGGTAACGTTCTTATCGCTGGCAATGATTCGTGAGAATAGTTTGCTTGTAAAACCTTTGATCTTGTGTGATTGTCCCTTTTTGCCCCAATACTGTTTCCCAAGTTTCTCTACTGATAGAAACCGTTCAAACTTAACATATGCAGTGGTGCCAGACAGCCAATATACTTAAAGGCATGTTTTTGTGTCTATCGGTAGAAGTGCATTATGCCGCCCCCTGGTGTCCAACGCTCACACATCCAAAGGAATGGCACAATGTCCATTGAAGTGAAGAAAAAAAGAAGTCGTGAATTCCCATGCATTCCTTACACTCTTTAATTGCCATTTCTGTGTTTTGGGTCAACTGTAATCGTAAAAAATGTGCTTTTTATATTTTAAAATACATTACAAAAATGTTGATATTTCAGAGGGCATTCTGAAACGGATTCATAGCATTGCCATTCATTTCACTACGAGTGTTGAGATCTCTTAATTATAAATGTGAGAGTAAGAAATTGAGAAAAAGATAAATAATAGATGTGTGTTTCCACGTCAGCTCCAGATTATCAGGAAAAGTTCAAGCTTGAAGAGCAGCTGCAGGTAGCCGAGGAAACGCTGGGGTCCAAAAGGCAGATGGCTAAAAAGCTTCGTGAGGACCTACAGGTACTGCAAGCAAGGATTTAACAAACAATCTATTTATGACAACAAACCTTTTTAAGAAGGGTCGGTAACATGACGAAGTTGCATTTCCATTCTTTAGCCTTCAATGTTGAACTTCCAACGTGTTGGCATTTCTCTCCCTCATATTTGACGTGACAAATCGAGATTCATTCGATCATCTATTATCAATTTAACAGCTCGCCAGATCCCAAATCCAAAGTGATGCGATGCTGCTCTCTGCTGGCATCTGTCATGACAGTTACGTCGAAACTTGGATTTCTCAAACAAGCTGGGCGCGACCCTCTTCCTCTTTCTTTAGCATTTTTCTCCTGTTTTGTCTTAGGAAATTAACAGTGCCTTGAAGAATCGACTACAAGCCAAGCAGGCTTTGGAGAAGGAAGTCATGCAAATAATGGAATTTAATGATTCTGTCAATGACATGCTGCTTGCTGCCACCAAGTACAAACCTCAGCTTAAATCGGCACTGGTGCAACACTTTCAGCAGGTTGGGCTCTTCGCGCCGTTTCGTGTGTTTGTCATCAATGAGGTCGTGTGTGTGTGTGTGTGTGTGTGTGTGTGTGTGTGTGTGTGACATTTTGAAGAATCCCAAGTGGTAAATAGATGGAGATCAGTGATGCCCAAACAACTGTGTGGGACCCAGTTGGGCCGAAAAAGATTATTGAGTCCAAATAATATATCCTTGTTCATCAATCTATGCCAGCGATGTACAGTGACAACGTTCTTCCACTAGATGGCAGAGGGGTGCATTTTAAACTGCGGACAACTGAGCCGAATAATAGATTTGCGTTCACGTTTCGCACTAGTTGCTAAACGTGGAAGTGAATCGAGATAAGATCATTATTTTGATCGTGATACGTTTTACTGTCGTTGTTGCCGTGTGATTTTTCGGATGTAAAATATGCACCTCGCGTCAAGATTGGTAAACTTGGATGTTGATATTATCGCGATGCAATAATGCTTACGTATGTGCTTCTTTCAGGCCAGTCTGCCTTTTCCCTCTCGTGCTGTCTCTGGCATGAGTCGAAGGTCCAACCTTGTCAGCAGCTCTCTCTCTGCAAGGTCAAACACACCTTCATTTTTAAAAATGTTTTTTTTTTTTAAAATATACTTAAAACTGTTTCTGGGTGTGTAACTCTAGTCTTCCCTCGCCATCATAGGTGTGCTGCACTCTCAGCCAGCAGCCGCAAGCCTTCTGATGAGCCGGACCCCACTGTGAAGACCGTGATCCTGGGCCAGGATCTTCCCTAACAATTTTGAGCTCGTGACCTTTTGGATGGTCAGCAACTTGGCCATTGACCTCCTCTCATTGAGAGAGAGCGCATTGGATGATTGTTAGTCCTTACACACATGAGTGAAAAAGGCAGAAACATAGACTATTGGAAGCTCTTTTTTTAAAAATACATTTTACCTTTTAAAAAGGGCAATAGTGTGCGATAGTCCTTTTAGATCAGATACTTGAGTGACATGTAAAATGATATATTTGCCCCTCCCAGTAGCTTCTAAAGATTCTGACTGAACCCTAAAATATGTGAGTTTAACTGGAATTTGCAACATTAAATTCGGGGAAAAACAAATTTTGACTTGACAATTGAGTGGAAGAACTTGTTGCTCTTCTTAACATGCTTCAGTCCAAATTTTCCCCTTGATAACAAATAAAGCAACAATTACAGCACAGCCGTTGTCTTGTGAGTCATTGAATAATTTTGACAATGATAAATTTGGAAAAACACATTTTGAAAATTGTTGACCGAAAATGACAACATTTCTGTATTTGTCCTGTGCTAGAGGGCTTTAAACCTAGCTGCCTGCTGCCTCCTCCTGGTGCTCATCTTTGGGGAGGGGGAAAAAAAAAGAAGCCTGAATGGTTGCTAGGAGCGACTAACAACAAACAGCAGTCCTCGCAGCTTACAGCAAGAAGCTACGGATAGTAACGCAGCGAGAAAAAGAAAAAAAATTACAACCTTAGAGCTCAAATTAGATCTTCATCTTGGGGTGACTCGAGATTGATGTGCAATGTTGAGTCCCGCTTTGGCAGTTTTTCCAGAGATGAGCTGGGAGGAATGTTACGCTGTTCCCGGGGCCAATGTTGAAAACAAGGCTTTAATTGAAGAGGTGAGAGATTTTATTTATGAAATATACCACAATTGCTATCTTATTTATTTTGTATTTGCAGGATTAACGGAGTGTCTGAATAATATTACGCTGAAAAAAAAAATTCTGTCAAAAGAAACAAGAAAAAAAATCATGAAATTAGGGATATATTTGAATGTGGGCAAGATTTTTCCCACCATTCAAGTCATCTGATGACGTCTTCACAGATCCTCAGGAAGAGGAAGGAACTATCGCAATTGATAAGCAGGAGAGAAAATCATAAAGACCAAACACAACTGGCAACGGAATTCCTGAAACACGTTGAAGCAGAGCTGCACAATTTGGAGGTATTTGCGCCCTGCCCCCCCCACCCCCACCCCCCAACGATGCAGAGAACGTGTCATTTATATGCAAACGCTCTGATGAGTAGCTACGGTATATCCTGTGTGGTTATTGTGCCAAGGCCCTATGCCAGGCCAAAGACAGAGAAGCAGATCTGGAGACGCACTTCACTGCCATCGCCCAGAGAGAAATTGGCCACCTGGCGCAGGAAACCGCTCAGATGCGAAATGAGCTTCGATCTTTGGCCGAGAGGAAGAACACGCTTGAGGTCTATCAATTGCCAACCGTTTCGGTTTGCGGCGGCGTGACCGCTATATTAATCTTTTGTCTGCGTCGTCAGGATCACATCTTCAAGGCGAAACAGAAGCTGCAGCGCTTTCGCACTCAAATGAACTGGGACCAGCGGGCCATGGATTCTTTTTTGGAGGAGTCGGCACGAAAAGAGGACGACGTGATGGCCATCGTCAAGTATTCGCAGCAGGATGAACAGAGGATCAAGGTCAGGAGAAGAGCTCGTGTTTGAAGGTCTCTGAAAGCCCAATAAAATCTCTTGTTGATCTCACAGGGCCTCACTTTGGCCATCGAGAGGACAACGCTGGAGGCCAATAAGAAGCGCAAAGCTCTTGACATGCAAATGACTGAAAATTTATCTGTACAGGTACGACGCAGCAAGACGCATGTTGAATTTGTGCATCTTTCTTGTGTTTATAGCCGAGGTGGGTCTATTATAACTTTTTGTGGCTTGTGTCGTACCCCCAAAACTTTTTGTCATATAGAATCCCTTCACTCATATGCGTTGACGAGTCACTGAAAGTAGGAAATGTCTTTATTTTTAATTCAAATGAAAAATAAATATTTTGGCTTGAAAATAAGATAAATACAAAATAATAATGATACTGTAATAATAAAGCTTCCTTTGTTAAATATTCTGTAACTCTTATAACATATACTGCACAAAATAAAATAGAGCCCCCTTGACTAAGCTCCTTTTAATCAGTCGTTTAAATGTTAAATATCAAGAACAAAACACTGAAAAGAACACCCCCCCGCCACCCCCTGCACAGACAAACCCAGAAAAAAAAAATCCAAACCCAACAAAACTCATGGAGACAAAGTTTATACCAATGCCCCAAAAGTGGTCTCATTCACCAAAAGTAAAGAAAACAAAAAAAAAACAAACCCCAGAACATTTTTGGTCTATGTGTGTTTGATATTTATTTGTATTTTTTTGCATATGAGGATTTTTATGAGTGAAAGTGACAGTTTTCTTTTATCTGTATAGATGAGTTACATGTCATTTTTAGCCTGTTGGCACCTGATATATCTCATATATACCTCACATATCGAAGAACAGATTGGACAGAGTGGAATCGCAAATTTCCCATTGTTCCTGTCAGATTGCTTTAGACAAGACAACGGAGCATTTGCAGCAGGCTCATCGGGAAACCGAGAAGATCATGCACCAGTGGGAAAACACCATCCAACAGATGAAGCAAAGAGATGCTGATACACAACACTGGGCTCTGGTAACCAACCAAACAACATTTCTAACACAACGTGAACACCGTTTGGGTTTTTCCTGACGATAGATAACATTCAGAGATGGACCATTCCGCCTGATTTCGGTTTGAAAATGAGTTTCCCATTTTTTGAACAAGCAGGATGGTACCATCGCTGCCTTTATTTAACCCAGGAAAAAAGAAGCACAAAACACACCCGCACAACACAGACGAGTCCATCCATCATTCCAGAATCTCGCAGAGACCAACCGGCTCATCAGGGAAAAGAATGGCCAGTTGACAGAAATGAAGCACTTGTACGACTCGCAGATGAACGACAACAAGGAAAACGAGAGGAAATTGACCGCAGCCAATCGTCAGGCTGCAAAACTGCGGCAGGAACTGAAGGAGCAGGAGAAGAATTATTTGGAGTTGAAGGATGAGGTAAACATTTTCGGAGCCGAGATGAAATCGTGTGCTGTGAATCTCTAACGAAAATTCTGCCGAGATCACTGGTCAATAGAAAACTTAATCCAAAGATGGTTTTATGTGTCCCCAAGCATATTTTGACACTGATTTTAAGAATGTCAATCAAGGTTTGGAGGTATTTACATTTTTTTTTTTTTTAAGTTTGACCTGTATAAAAGCTTGCGCAATATAGATTTTACTCTTTGTGATTATTTCTTGGTATGATGTTTCAGGGAAAAAAAATCCACTTGTTGCTGAACCTAACACGTAATTCATAAATCTGATTAAATATGTTGCTATATTTCATATATTATTTCAAAATTATTTTTAGTAGTATGAAAACCTGACATGAAAAAATTAGGGCAGATTGGGAATCAGAAGATATTATTTCAAAATTATTTTTAGTAGTATGACATGAAAAAATTAGGGCAGATTGGGAATCAGAAAAAAAAATCTTGAAATGTTGACTTGCTTTTCTGATCCAAAAAATGGAGAAAAAAATTCTTGGCCAGTGTCATGATTTGAGGTCCACCCCAAAAAAAGTTGTTTATTGCCTTCAGATGCCACAAGATGGTGGCAAAGCACTTTTTCAAATTAGACAAGAGTTAATTAAGCTCCTCCCATCACTTCAAGATGCCACAAAATGGCACCCAACCTATATTGTATACATTTTCATACATTAGACATGGCTTTGGCCTGAGCACAAACTCAACAAATCATAAAGGATAAGTCCCCTCTCACCCCCCAAAAAATCCATGAAAACATGAATATGCAGTATTTTAACTGAGCTGATTGTGTATTTGACTTGTTTGACACGTTTGCAGGAAAAAAGCTGCAAAACCTCGCTGGATAAAACAGCTTCCACCGTGGAGTCAATGAAGTCCCACATCGCCAGGCTCAAAGATCAAATCCAGAAAAACAATGTCAAGTCAGTCACATTTCATCCGTTCTTTGCCACAGCTGTCAATGGAAGACATTGTAGGGACTGGGAAACAAGTTGTTTCTTCATGTCTGATGGTAGACTCAAGCAAACCTTGAGCCAAAATTCGGCCCTTGAGGAGAAGCTGAAAGCTGTGACGCAGAACGCCCTGAGCGAGAAAGAGAAAGCTGCCCAAATGGAACAGTTCCTCACAGACGAGGAGCAGGCCATTAAGGTGAGGAATCATGTGATCACTTATAAATGAAGAAGGACAAACATTGCCGGATATGCGCTGATGTTACCCAAATAGTTCCCAAAAGGCCTTTTAAAAGAAAATAGATATTTTTTTTCTTTTGTACAAGGAGTTGGATGTCCAACTGCGTGACTGCAGGGAGGAGCTCTTCCGTTGTAAGCAGCATGTTGACAACCTCAAGAGAATGGAGAAGGACTCTTTGGCACAAGAGTTGTGGGGCAAATCCACCATCAGCAATTTGGAACGAAAGCTCAGCAAACAGGAGAAGCATTTGAGGAGGCAGCAGATGATCATGAGTGAAAAAGTATGCTGGGCCAAAACTGTGATTTGAAATCAGATGGTAGCACGTCTTTTCTTTTGGCACACTTGCGTTGTAGGACTTCCAGATCGTCTTTCTGGAGAAGAAGCTCGCTCGACTGCAAGGCGTTCACGACTCGGATGAGAAGCAAGTGTTAGAAATGAAGATGGGTGAACTGACCAAAGCCCTCGACGACATGATGAAGACGTCCGGCAAGATCATCAACGCAATCAAAGAATCTGAAGTCAGCCTGCGTACGGGAGAATTCACCAATCTTGACCACATTTTTCCAGTTGTCATTGCATAGTTTGTCGTTGACAGGGTGACATTCGCTATTTGAGGAAAGAGAATGACAAGTCAGCAGCCGAGAAGGAAGAACTCTTCAACAAAGTTGAAGAGTTGAAGCTCATCAACAATAATACTGAAAAAGAGCTGAAGAGACTTGGCCTCAATAAGCAGGTACTGCACTCTGCAAAACAGTTGACTCTGTTTTTATATGACCACCTGAAGGAATTCTCGTGTGACAGTAAAAAAAAAAAAAAAAAAAAATCTTCAAGCTCACTGACACACCCAGACACCTGGAGGTGAAAATCCCGAGAGGCAAACTCAACAATATTGTTAACGCAGCGCAGTGCAACCGAGGAGTTTTTGCATTGAATCCACTTTTGTGGGTTGCGCTTAGAAAGTCGAGATATTGGCATGGCTCAAACACCAGTCGTCAATGTTGCCATTCGACCCACGGTTGAAGAACTTCCAAGTTGTGCCAAATTTACTGAAAAATTGCATCTTTAGGGACGGTCAAGTTAAGCTAACTTGTCACGGTTACTTGTCGCTCCTCATCAGGAACAGCTCGTAGAGCAGAACATCTTCAAGCTGGAGGTGAAGCGCAAGAGGGACCTTCTGTTCAACAAAGCCAACGGCGTGCTCTCGTTGGAGAAAAGACAACTGAATGTGAAGAAAGCCATCCAAGGGAGGCAAGAGGAGATCAAAATCTACAGTCAAATGCTCAGTCAGGAGCTGAAGACCACCGAGCAGGAGAGACAGAAAATCAGGTGAAACTTCGACTGTCATTCTCGTTTATATCGGTGCTCATTTGTTAAGTCCCAAGTCCCGACCTTCAAGTTTCGGGCAAGTTAGCGCGGCAAAAAGCCAATGAATTTAAAAGTGATTTTTTCACAGCGCTGACCTGAACAGAAAGTTGTCCAAAATTGATGGCGTGAAGAAACATTTTGAAGTTGTGACCTTTTCAATGGCAACCTCTGGGGAGGATGAGGAAGATGTGGTGAAGTGTCAAGCTCGCTACATTGCTGAGGTGACAGGACTTTTTTGGGTGCTCAGTTAAGATTGGGAAACCACCTGTGTAACCATATTGCATTTTCCCCCCTTCCCACAAGGCGGCGCTACAGAGAGCAGAACTGATGGAGCAGGCGGAATGTCTGACTGCCAAAATACGCAAAGCCGAGCAAGAAAATAAAGCTCTGCAGAACACAACGCTGCTGTTCAATGTCAGCAATTCAGGATTCCACACGTCGGTCGCCAAAGCAAAAGAATCCAGTCAGTCAATGTTGTTGTCAGTCGCTTTAGGAATAGCTTACAAGCCTCATCCTTTGGATGATTTATTTGGACCACTTCTAATTCTTTTGTCAGGCCCAGAATACCAGGAAAAAATCAGGACTTTAGGAATAGCTTACAGGCCTCTCCTTTGGATGATTTATTTGGACCACTTCTGATTCTTTTGTCAGGCCCAGAATACCAGGAAAAAATCAGGATGGAAGAGCAGCTACGTTTGGTTGAAAGCACACTGAAGTACAAGAGAAGACAAGTTGGAGAGCTTCAGCAAGACCAACTGGTTATTTTATTTTTATCACTGAGCGTTTTCCCTCACTGGATTCCCTACAGTTGGAGTCCTAAATCATCGACTGAATGCACATGCAAAAGCTCAATGTTGTTTCCTGAATTTTAAATGAAGGGGCAGGGGGAGAAGGGCAGCAAAATAGGCCAAAATCCAGATCCTATAGGGTGAGGCAGACAAGATGATTACTAGGTGTGGCTTAACCAAGTAAATGTCGAAATAATTTGTCATTTGACATTTAAACATTTCTACAGAGGTATAGTGTGGCTGCTCTAATTTCCTGAGGTGATCATTATAGTTGATGACTGTAGGGAGAGCCCTGGAGCAGCATCGTTGTGTGGAAGTGTTGCAGGTTGGAGACGACTACCATGAAAATATTATCTTTCGTCATCGATCCATTTGGAGGACATTGATCATAATAGAACTCAGTGGGCAGAATTTTACCTCTTTAGCATTAAAAATAATTTTGTACTTATTCTTACAATTCCATTTTGTCTTCATTTCATGTTATATCACAAAGGCAAATTGGGTGTCTGTTTTTTTTGTGTTTGTTTTCCATTATAGTTGATGACTGTAGGGGGAGCGCTGGAGCAGCATCGTTGTGTGGAAGTGTTGCAGGTTGGAGACTACCATGAAAACATTATCTTTCGACATCGATCCATTTGGAGGACATTGATCATAATAGAACTCAGTGGGCAGAATTTTACCTCTTTAGCATTAAAAATAATTTTGTACTTATTCTTACAATTCCATTTTGTCTTCATTTCATGTTATATCACAAAGGCAAATTGGGTGTCTGTTTTTTTTGTGTTTGTTTTCTGAGTCGACCAAGGAACTGACTTCTGCACTTTTCGCCTTTCTGGTTTTGTTCAGGAACTGAACAACACCTTGGACAGTCTCCTACGGGCGAAACAGGTGGAGAACCAAAAGATCGAACACACACAGTCCGTCATCAGCAAATTGAATCGGGAGGTTGCCTCTCAGCAGGAAAAGATTAACAGAGCCACAAAACAGGTTTGATGTTGTGACCGATTTCTTTTCGTTACTGGACTGTACATTTCGTTGACATGTATCATCATTGCAGAAGTTCTCTTTAACATACCGTAAATGTTTCTCACGTTTCTGTGATTACCCAGTGCTCTAAACTAACACAAAAGATCCGCTGCTCAAGAAACACCAAGTCAGAGACTTTCGAGGAGAAGGACGTCAAGCTGAGACAGTTAAAAGATTTAGACAGGAGTATCAACAAGATGCTTCATGATGCCACAAAGGACAGACCTGACCTCAGATCAGTATTGGAGAAGTACTTTCTACAGGTAAACCGCAGGAAAATGATATGATGCAGCCTTTAGCGTGGGATTTAGTATTTAATTAAAACAAATAAATAAATAGAAATGTTAAAAAAAAATTATGTTGAATTTCCTTTCTCTCTCAGACCAACTTGTCTTTTCCGTCTCCTCCGTCCACACCCGGCAGCCACAGAAGCTCCAAGACCAATTCAGCTCGCATTTCCACCTCTGCCAGGTCTGACACACACATTTGGAGCCCTATTTTTGTGATCAATGCAATTCTGGTGCGAAGTGCAGTCTTAACTTTGCACATGGTTGGAATGTTCCCTTTTTTGCGGGGTATTTTCCTAGACTCACAAATGTGGAAGAGGGCAACAGTTTCAGGATGGGATCAAATTGATACTGGGTGTTGACTTTGAAATAAACATTCAATCAATAAAAAAGTGTCAATGTCTAAATGTACTGTCCTCCAACCTGCAGGTCTTCAGCTTCCTCAGCCAGCAGACGCAGCACCTCTGCCCCTCAGTCTTCTTTAGTGAAGACTGTTGCCCTCAGTCTGGATCTACCTGTTCCATCCCCTCCTTTTTCAGTCAGCGGGGGCTCCAGCTCAGCCAACAGCAACTTGAAGAATCCATAGTATGATACTATGCCAGGTTTTTATGCTATAAAAAAATAGACCAAAATAAATCATTTCAAAACTTTCCCCACCTTTAATGTGGAATACAAACCGTACAACTCATTTGGAAAAAAAAAAAAAAAAGCTTTTTGAGAGGAGGCGCAAGTGAAGCATGCTAGGGGCTTTTTTTTCCTTCTTCAGCTCACTATGGCCCCAGCTTAGTCAAGATGGAGGGAATTATGAACGGTTCCCAAAAAAAAAAAAGGAGTCAATATTCGCACAAAATCTTGATGTACCTGTTACGAAGCAAAACAAAATAAAAGGTCAGGAAAAGCCTGCTACAACATTTGTAAATAATATGGCACTCCAAAGAAAAAATGCTGAATTAACAACCACAAAGATTCAGATAAGCTAACAAATTTGCAAAAAATAACAAGACAGCCTCCCCTCGGTGTCACAGTGTTAAAACCCTTGAAACAACGGAAATATAACCAATAAATCATCTAGAAATTGTCATCATTTTAAACTTCTGAATTCATTCTCAACAGTTTTACATGAAAAATGGCAGGAATGTGCATCGAAAGCATGAACGTGAACTATTACAGCGGCCGCAGCTCACACGGTAAAGTGGTGACATGAAAGAATTCAAACCTGCTCGCACGGCATTTGTCACAGCTACGTTTCTCACGCAAGTGACCCCCTGAGAACAAATCCATTTAGGGGCGGGGGGGGCTTTTAAATGGTGAGTCGAAGCTTGAGGCCCTCCAAAGAGTCAACAGACCATTTACATTGAATCTAAAGAGCCCTGTAGTATTTGAGCCCCGAGCAGCTGTGATGTCATTTTCCGTCAGCAGGTGGCAAAATGGCTGCTCCCAGAGATGGTTAAAAACGGGTAGATTTTGCTGCTTTATTCATTTTCAACAAACGCAATGTGAAACAGAATACTCTGATTAGTGGGTGCACACACAATATATTATTATTAAAGAAAATGCTAAGGTTCACTTCTTAATGTTCTTGAAGTCAGTTTTATGGAGTGCTGTTTTCCTTAATTAAAAACACACCTTTGTCAAAATTGGTGTTGTTTTCTTTGAGGATGCTGAATTATGGCATTTCCAATCATTTAAGTGGGGGATCCGTGCTTGGAACTTAAAATCACTCTAATCGCAACTCGTGTGTGTTTTGAGTTCCAAGCATGGTCGGGAACACATTGGACTTGTATCTCAAGGCACCTTTTTGTTGTACAGATATCAGACATGCTGCTGAGAATTGCCTTCCCATTTTAAACCTCGGTGATACTCTTTATTGTTAGAACGAATGTCACATTTGATTCCATCCGGAAGACTTCATAGAGCTGAAACACACAAATAATTGAATCGTATGTTTAGGTCTCATGCTGGTGCATAAACAAATTACTGTGACTTGTGGTTTCAAGTTAGTTACCTTGTCCAAAAATGCTTGTGTTGGCATGCCATGTAACTCAATTTCAGACAGAACTCTCGTCTCCAAAATGGCCATCACGTCTACAGGCAAACACAAAATGACATAATTTCAGAAGAATTCAAACAAGTGCCTATATGGAAGTTTCAAGCAGAAAAAAAGCGCACTTGCCTAACTTTGTCGGAGACGTTGACTTTGGGGCTGTCTGCAGCCCTACTGCGACTAAAGAGGTCACAGTGATCAAGAATGATTTTGCTTGTTGGATTGTTTTGTTTCTATCCTCTCGCCATCACTGAAAATGCTTTAAATAAGAGGGTTGAGACGAGTTGAATTTACTCACTTATTTGTGTAGCACATGAGGTCAGAGACACAACAAACAGGATCAGCAGAAGCATCAAGAAGATGACAAAGTCCTGCCGGATAAAAACAGCTGTGAAATCAGTTGTGGAAAAATGTTCCTTCTCTTCTCTCCAGGCTCCTCTGACCACTTGCGCTCTGTACCAGGAAATGAAACCTCATCGTCACTCACCAGTTGTGTGAACACTGCGGTATTGTTGTCCTCTACCTTTGTCTTTGTCAACTATGGAAAGTGAGAGGGGTTCGTGCAAAATGAAGTCTCTGCTTTGAAATTGATCATGGGAAAAAAAAAAAGCTAACGACCCTGTCAAGTGAATTCAGAGATATGTTTCTAAATACGAGCGGAGATGATTACCGGCACTGAAAACGTGCAAAGACTGACAACTACTTCTCAGCACAAGCACTAAATTCAATATTTTTGACACAAGTATCTTTTAAGTACAGAGCGTGAATACTGTACTTGTCATTTGTTTCGAAACACGAGCGGAGATGATTACCGGTACTGAAAACGTGCAAAGACTGACAACTACTTGTCAGCACAAGCACTAAATTCAGTATTTTTGACACAAGTATCATCTTTTAAGTACAGAGCGTGAATACTGTACTTGTCTTTGTTGCCCACTGTGTATGATTAACTGAGGAACTTAACTGTCAAGAGAAAGGGGAAAACCCTGCTCTGATTTACGACCGATATAACCCAAGAGGAAAATGCGGCCATTTCCCGGTCAAAAGCAAAACGAGTTGCCTTGTCGATTCAAATGTTTGCTTTAATTGCAATTTTCCTCTCATATTGAGGCTACATTGGTTTCATATTCCCATGTCCCTCTTGCGTTAATTCATTCGGGATGGTCCTCTGCTGCAATATTCCCCATGAACTCTGAGTTGTCCTTTTAAGCCGTCACATTTGTCGGAGTGGACAGAAGGAGCCCGTGCAGTGCAGCATATTCCGGTTCGTGGTGATCTGGTTATGATGGACCTGAGATTCCCGTTTACAAGTTTGGCCATTATTCTTGGAGCAACACTCGCCATCTCGCTGGCGAACGGCACAGCGCAGTGCAAAATCAAGTGGTAGGATGTTTTTTTTTTTTCTTCTGTATTTTAGATTTGCAATGCATTGCATTTAGCTAGCATGTCATCGTATGCTTCTTTATTTGAGCATCATTCTGTAACAAATTATTTTCATTATTTCTGGTACAGCAGGCCTTGACTTTGGAGTTTGAATTTGTGGTGTGACCACGCTCATAACTCAAAGCACTCGTATCCCAAATGACCTGTCCCCAACAAAATGAATGGAAATACCATTAGTCTATGTCAGTAATAATAAAATATTTTGAAAGGCTTTCTAAGTAAGAAAAATAGCACTTTAAAGTATTCAAATTATAAAAACATACAATGATTAAAAAAACCAATACAAAGCGAGGAATTAAGCAGTTTGTGCATCATGATTTCATGTGTTAATTATTCGTGGGGATTATGTTTGGTGTGGGTGCCTGGCCACCAGGAGGCAGTATAGTACACGCAACCATACTGCACGTATATTTGATGATGAAAAAAGAAGAGCGCTTTTTTTTGTACTAAGGTAGAGCAATATAATCTGTTTTTCCACAGAGGATAAAGAATTTGTGCTTGTGGGAATGATTATAGGCTTGGTCTACATGTGTTGCTGCGAATTGTGTTTGAGTACCGGTAGTTTATAGAGCTTGACTCATCGGTACTTAAAATATAGTCTAGAACGTTTGACGTTTATTAAAGGATTGGCGTGTTGGTTGGAATTGATGCATATAAATGAGAATTCTGTTTAAAATTTTGACACTGCATTGATTAGTGAAAAACCAAAATAAATTTAAAAGACATGTACACAATTTTTTTTGTATAAATGATTGAAGATGTGTATGTTCTATAATCATTAATTAAACATTAGAGTTATAAAAAAAAAGTGTCCCTGGTATCTGCTTTGCAGGTTGTTTGGAATCCCGTGTGATGATGTCTACGGAACACTGGTGAACCAGATCAAGGCCTGGCAGATCCAACAAAGCTGCCTAGATGCAGGAGAGATATGCTCATACGAAGTCAGTTTATGAGTACACTCACCAGACATTCCATTAGGCACACAGTTGCATAATCGCTGTCGGAGTGAGTTACTTCCCAGATCAGCAAGTAACGAAGGAATTAAGTGCCTTGCTCATTAGATTCAAGCTTTTCCTAATGTGGCTGGTCAAGAGTTTGGCCTCTGTAAATAGAACCAGAGAAATGGGAAAAAAATCTCAATGACACACTTGAATGAAAGCACAATGTTTTCATTTTGTTTCCTCCTCAGATAACATTTGATTGAACCTGAACTCGATCTTGCTCAATTCCACGCGTCGATTATGTCACCACGATGTTTGCCGAGGATGATCACATTGACTGCAGCCAGTGTTTCCAGGCTGGGGGTAAAAAATTGATTGTGTTATTAAAGTTGTGCGTTCAAAATTCATTGCAGCTCGTGTCAACTGGTCCGCATATGATAACAGCCACGCACACGTCTCCAAAAACCAAGAGAGTCAACGACCTGCAGTTTCTTCTGGAGCAGTCCGCCGTTTGCAAAGTGACCGTATGTTATTCATTCCTGATTTCACCTTAAAGCTCTTGAAAAAAAAGAATGTGACGTGTAAATGTGAAGTCCGTGTCAAAAAAAGGTATTGATTTGATAAGCTGATCAAAGTGTTTGGGTCATACACAGGGAGAAGGAACGTCGGAGTCCTCCAAAGATCCAGCCGAGAACAGCACCAACTTTTGCAGCCTTCAGAACTTGATGGATGGTCAGTTCATGTGCGCAGGAATCCACGTTATTGCTTGGAAATACAGAGTGGCCGATTGCAGACTCGGAAGCAACTCCCTGCATTTCCGGCCGAAATTCTAACAATTGTTCCATCGAATTCAATTCATCTTAACAGATGCAATAAATGTCAGAATTTTTTGCATCCTCTGATTGATTGGCCATAGCAAAACGGGTAAAAGGCAACTTTGACCAGCGAACCACAACCGTAGCAATCTGCACATATTAATATTATAGTTAACGACAATTAACGAAAAGAACCAAAAGGAAAATTGTGAAAACATTTCCGTGAAGAAAATCAAAACAAAAATGCTTTGAAGAAAAACCTCACTGAAATGACATCTTACATTTAGAAAACTATGTACAATGAGAGGGAAACTGTCTTTCATTTTCATTCTTGTCAATTAATGTCATGCGGGAGCTTTCGAGGTTCATTCTAAACGCTTGAGAATTGTAGTTTACTTTATTACACAATACCTTGACGTGACGTGAGCATTAAAAAAAAAAATCTTTCCTCAGACAAATAATCCATTGATTAAAAGAAACTAAAACTAATACTGAAACCAAAACAAAGCATGAAAACAAACAATTGTTTTTTTTTAAAACGAACAAACTTGATCTCAAAACTGGTTAAGACAAACAGAATTTAAAAAAACAAAAGTGCAAACGAAATAGAAAACCAACTGCAATGAAAAATCCCAAAGTATTGTAACCCTGTTCTGAACTAGTTGAGATGATGTGATACGATTAAAAGAAACTAAAACTAACACTGAAAACAAAAACAAAGCATTAAAACCAACTGCAATGGAAAATCCCAAAGTATGGTAACCCTGTTCTGAACTAGTTGAGATGATGTGATATGCGACGTGTTACGTGTTTTCTTTCAGGAAGTGACCTGATTGAAGCTGAGGGATACAAACGCTTCACCAACAAATGGATCTGTGCTGGCTTTGAGAATGCCAACTGCTCCGTGTCCTGAACAAAGCATGAGAATCGACGGCGCTTGGAGCAGATCAGAGAGAGAGAAAGTCTTTTGATTTTCTTTTGTCATTTGTTTTAGATTTTCTTTTGTCATTTGTTTATCGTGCTCACCTTCAATCAGAGAGAGCAACGTCACTTCAAACATGGTGCTGGCCAGCAAAAAAAGAAAAAGGCAACAACCCATTGGAGGTTTTTTTTCTTTAAAAAAAAAAAAGAATGGTGTCAAGTTGGATTGACTGCCCAAAAAACAGTTCAGACAGAAAATATGTGCAGACATTAGAATCAATCATTTTAATGTGATAGATCACTCTGAAACATCTGGTGGAACTATACTTATTTATGAAATATTCTTCATGGTGTAAAATCCCAAAACACATCATAATACAAAGTCTATACAGATAACACAAACGGTCCTACAATTCATCAGTCCATGCATTGCAAAAAGCCCTTCCGGTTTAGTTTTCAGTCAAAAAAAACAAGGTAGCACCATCTCAAATAAGGTTTTCTTAAAATCCTCATGGAAGATACCAAATGATCTCTCGTGAGAAATAAACTATTCCAAAAAAGTTTGGGATATTGAGCTTTTCTAGGAGATGTCAGGATCAACCTAACAAATTTCATTTGACCTTCTTGAAATTTTTGGATGGACATTGATCAAATACCGATTGTGAATTTTTCATTGTGGCTACTTAGCGAACAGAAAATTGTGCAAAAACAAACTGAAACATTGAACTACAGAACATCAAAAGTTTTGAGAAAAGGGTCATTTGGATATTTCCCCTGAAAGTCCAAAACCCCGGTTTGTCATTCATGGATTTTTTTGGGGGGTCTCTAGTGAGAAATAGTCCAAAAAGAGAAAGTCCGAAACCCCGGTTTGTCATTCATGGATTTTTTTGGGGGCGGGAACCCGGACTCCATTGATCACTGTTTTGTGCCAAAGCAACGTCTACTATAAAAATATTGCTTTGCCACCATCTTTTGGCATGTATCGAGAATTACCGTAATTTCCGCACTATAAGGCCCACCTAAAAGCATTCAATTTTCTCGAAAGCCGACAGTGCACCTTATAATCCTATGCGCCTTCTTGATTGATCAATATCCCGATTTCTTGGACATAGTATTTTAAATGTTCTAGAAAGTGCTTTGTGACATCTGCAGCGGTTGTGAAAGCTCGATATCAATAAAGCTGTATTGTGTTGTATTCCCTATAGCGTCGCTCCATCTAGTGGATGCATAATGCAACCGCAGCCACTATTGTCGCTTCTATTCCATATGCCTCATCAAGCAGTGCGCTCAAAATATGAAAACAGTTTTAAAATAGGCCATTAATTGAAGATGCGCCTTAGACTCCATAGCACCTTATCGTGCGAAAAATACCATACTCACCTTAATGGGTGGGCGTCAACTACTTGTGGATTTTTGTAGGGGGGCGGTTGTGCAAGGGGTCTTGTTCCATGTCGGCCAACTTTTTGCGAGTAGTGCATATTGCTTTTCAAGGCCAGCGCCCTCAGCAGTCATTTGATACCGCAGGCCTTTTTTTAAACTTGACCCGCCGTGTGACATGTTCACAGACACGTGCGGGGGTCGTTTCTCACTGCTCGCGGTGAGACGCAACATCAGCTCCTTCCTTTGAGAACGGTGGGCGGCCTCACGCCGATGTTTGTCCACAGCTCACTGTCTTTTACCGTCGGGTTGCGTCAAGCAACAGTAGAGTAGCTTTTGGGTGTTTCTGGTAGCAAACACTGTTGGGAAAAAAAGGAAGGGAATCAGAGTTTCATTCGGCACATGTGTAGAAAAGGAAACATTTTCAAAAGAGAAATTTACTGTTGAGCGGCCGCAAGAATTTTGGCCTCCTCTCCTCGGGCAGGTGGATGGCCACGTAATAAACGGGCACGCCGGAGAGGGCGATGGCAATGCCTATGAGAGAGTTGATGGTGTCTCCATAGAGAGGGACAATGACTAAGAACAGGCTGCACAGGCAGTAGATGAAAGGGAAGAACAAGGTCAGCTGTGGAGAGAAAGTACAGGGGTTGTCAAACATCTTGGCTCCAGAGACTTCTTACAGGGGGGCAATCTCAAATTTGTCCAAGGACCCTCTCATCATACAAACATAACAACCATGTGTACCCCCCGTGATGGAAAATGTTATCGTATCACTTTGTTTCCATGTGATCCTCTTCCTTGTGAATTGCAACACTCTGAACTCATTTGATTTTTCAAGAGAAAATTCCAACAACATTTCAATGACGGCTGAACGTTTATACGTCTCTGAAAGCATTTTTGTTGAATACATTACTGACATTTTACATTTTCAAACACGCAGGCACCTGATAGTTTGAAATTAAAAGGTGGCTGGTTTGGACACGATAGATACTGCGACATCTAGCATCTGAATTTTCTTTCATCAGCCTTTATTTGTCCTGCATAATTGCTTTTATAGAAAAGACCGAAACGATAAGTTCGTCTCCCTGCCTTGGTAACGGATCTGTTTGTAGGCTTAATCACGATAATCTCTTTCTGAGAAACGATGCGGATGATGTTTCAGTGGCGCTGTCCAGCTTGCTGTCAGCCAGTCGTCTACAAATGTGATGGTATTTGCAGCTGCTATTTAAAGCATTTTGTTGTTTTTTTTTTTATTATGTTTCCATCTGTAGAACACATTACATTCCTAATTTTAGCAAAAGCTATTTACATATTAATCCGACTTGACAAAAAGCATAAGCAAACTCAACACCTTCACGGGTCTGGGCCTGTCGGGCTGGGTGAAGCGCAGATGGATGAGGCCGGCCACAGACAAGCCCACATAGAGCCAGTAGCTAAAACTGAAATAGTTGATGAGCTGAAACACATCCTCCACGCATAGAAAAATGAGGCCCATCAAGCCCTGCAATGATACAAAAAAAAAAAGAAATAGTCATTCATTCAAAGTTTTTTTTTTTTTTTTTTATGAATGTATAGAATTTAGATGTTCCATTCTAGTTTGAGTTGGGATGTCCTCACATTAAACAACACTGCAGGGATGGGTGTGTAGCGCTTCAAATGGATCAGGCTAAGGGTGTCAGGGAGGTGACCCTCTCGAGCGCCCACAAAGTACAACCTGCAACATAAGGATATTTTTGAGTTATCCTGGACTAAAGGTGACTTGTGCGTATGTTAGAGCAGTGGCAAAAGTACTCTTCTCTGTCCTCGTCTCAAAAAGACTTTTAGTCTACGATGTGATCAAATTTGAGTCCAAATCGGTCAATCCATGACATACTGCATTCCGACTTGCAAATGTAACTCAGCAAAAGATGAGACGATTAATTGTGGCTGCCGGTTAGTTATTAGCATCTAAACTGCTCATGTTTACGTGGGCAGACAAATTTTCATGCTTTCCACTCGATCACTTGGGTGCAACTTGTTCAAATGATTGAAGAGGTTTCTTGTATGACCTTGATTTTGACGACATATCATGCGCAACAGCTTCCTCCACCGCGTCGCTCTGGAGGGCGGGAGGAACTTGTCAAAATAGTTTCATCTTCGGAAGTCATGGTTGCTCATCAGCACCGCGTTTAGCTGTACGTTAGGTCAATTTCTTACTATTACTTTCTGTTTCCTGTGTCTTCTTTCATTTATTGGCGGATTCTGTTGATTTCAACTTGCAAATCAATGTTAGAAGGGGGACTCCGTTTGGCTAGAGTCGCGCACATTTTTAGCCACGTCTGAGGGAGTAAATAGGATCACAGTTTACGACATGAGGCTCTCATTAGTGTAAAATGTGACAGTGTAACTTACATTCTCATCAAATAAAAGTTGATTTTAATCGTTTGGAGTACGATTAATCCACTGCTTTGAGTACAATGTACTCTGAATATTTTACTCTCTTCCAAGTGTAATTTTTACTCTGTTTAAACTGTGACCAAATAGTCTTTTTAGAGTGAAATTTACTGTGTAGTACCAACACTACTGTTTGAACTCCTTCACCTACTTAGATAGTTAAGTGTTTGTGCGTCATTACTTGCCACTGCTGCTGATTCGAAAATTACCTTGAAGCAGCAATAATGGATGCATTTAGCCCTCCATAGCAGGACATGGCCACGGAAACAGGGATGATCCATTTGAACGGTCCCAAAACTTCATTCCCAAAAGTCTGTGTAATCAGATTTTGCATCCTCAATTCCGAATAATCACAAATCAGTGAAATCACATTTCATGTCGAACGGGGAAAATACGTGTTGAGTCAAAGCATTCCAGGAAGAGCAGAACTAAATTTAGCAGCACGATGACTGTTGATGCCTCACCACAGCGACAGCGTCACTGGCCAGCAAAGAGGGCATGTCCAGAACCACATAGTAGGCCACATTGGTCATCACATAAATGATTGTCACGATGGGCATGGAGATGGCAATGGCCAGGGGGAGATTCCTGCGAGAAGAACGATACATTGTTATCAAAGAAAGACTGTCGAGAAGGAGTATATGGAGTCATTGTATAAAAAATGGTTGAGGAAAGGGCCGTCTCCACTCATACAGAATGTGATGATGTCATCGGACGAAACATATGTGCAGGCAAAGCAGACAGCGTAAAAGAGGAACACAAGAAGAGGATTTTCAGTCTTATTTTACCTCTCTGGATTCTGAATCTCCTCTGTGACAAAGTTGAGTGTGTCCCAGCCAGAGTATGAGAACAACGCTGCGTATAAGGCCAAAGCGATGTCTCCAGGATCCGTGGTGGAACCCTCAAATGGACTTTCAAAGCTTTTTGTCTCACCTAGACAAAGAAATTGAGTAAAGAAAGCCACTTTGTCTTCAGATGATTTGGTTTGTTGATTCATTGCTACTTACCGGTGGACAACTTCAGGATCCCGACCATTATGATGAGGACGAGGGCTGACAATTTAGCGTATGTGAAGATGTCCTGCACCATCGTCCCCCACTTCACGTAGGCGCAATTGATGAAGATGATCATGCCTGGAGAAGCCAGAGGAGACAGAAAACAGGCAAAGTTTTCCCAGGGTCCCAAATGAAGGACAGCAAAATGTATTCTGTCACTGAGTTTGCGACATTGTTAGTGTTAAATCCATCCATCCTTTGCATGCTATTCAATTATGTTGTCAGCAAGATGTACTCTGTCACTGAGTTTGCCACATTGTTAGTGTTAAATCCATCCATCCATCCTTTGCATGCTATTCAATTATGTTATTACAGTATGTTTGTACGAAGTGCAATATTGAAGAGTGGTATTTTCTTCATAAAAAACATGTTACAAAAAATGGTTGATGTTTTTCGGAGGGCCTGGAACGGATTAATAGCATGTCCATTTATTTCAATGTTAAAAGGTAATTTGAGATATGAACATGGTCACGGAATTCATTGAATTTGGACGTCAGGGCTCCACTGTATTTGTCACGGTTTTCATTTGGTGGCCATGATCCAGCCATAACGTGATGAGATGGGCAGTGTGTTGATGACTAAAAAAAAAATCAAATCAAACTCTTACATAGGCAGGCTGCTGCAATGAGCCGTACGGCATTGTATGGAGGACTGCAGGTTGGATAATAAGCCTGCACCAGATAGTTAGCGAAGGTCAGCGAAATGACAGCTTGGCTCGCTGGCTCCATCAGAAAGATGGACGTCCACAGGCGGATGAAGGCCAGAAAGCCACCGAACGACTCCAGGATGTAAGCGTAGCTGGCTCCAGACTTGGTAATGGTGGTGCCCAGCTCGGCGTAGCACAAGGCCCCGAACGCCGAGAAGATCCCCCCGAGAGCCCAGATGACCAAGGAGAGTCCAAACGAGGTGCTGTGCATAAGGACTCCCTTCGGGGAGACGAAGATCCCAGAGCCGATCATGTTGCCCACGATGAGGCAGACCCCGTTCATGAGGGAAATTTCTCTCTTCATCTGCATTTTGCCCTCTTTTGGAGCTTTTATACCCTCGTCGGATGGAACTCGGCCTCTCGGGCAGATCGTCTGGGATATGGCCCTCATCTTCTCTCTTAGTTCACCCATTATTCAGGCGGCGCTGAGGGAAAGTCAAACTCTGTTGAAATTATAGTCCACATTTACAAGTCATATTTGAACAAGTGAATCTCAAAACTTTATCCTCATAAAATTATACGTTGAATCGGATAGTTACTAGGAAGAGCAAGCTGGCAATGCATGACTTTTTGTTGTTCTCTCACACAAAAAAAGGGAGCCGCTTGGGTCAACAACACAAAGTTACAAATGTGAACTTCTGACTTTTCTCACAGGGACATAGAACTCCATGCTACTACCAAGCTTGATGTCTATGAACAGGCTCATACAATTAAAAAGGTCATGCAAGCTATCAAATTCCCCCATCGGATCATCAGCAGGCACGTTTCTCTCTTTGGTCCAGTCCAAGAGTGTGGCCATGAAAGGAACAAAGTGTTCCAGATGAAATATCTCAGAAGACAACAGGAATGACTTACCTTGTTGTTCAGATCAACTGCTGTTTTTACGAATCTTCCTGCGATGGGGCCACTGACACTCCCCAGAACGAGGCCGTGAGACCTTCGCGGGCCCACGTTGAGCAGTCGTACGCGGCGAGACAGCCGGTGAGGCAACCCGACAGCTTAGCTCAACTACATCTCACATGTGTTTTTCCAAGCTCCATGCAAAACTACATTCTCTCGTTCCCGTCTGTGCTATTTTCAGTCTGGGGGCAGATCTTGCCCTCCCCCCTCGACAGAAGACAGAACAGGACACTTCTGGGTCAAAACTGTCAACCTGCATGAGCAGAGAAAGAACATGTAGTCAGCATGTAAAAGAATATCGCAACTGGTATGGACTGTATACTAATGTAGAAATTTGGTTTGGTGTAATTCATTCTCTAAAAAAATGTGAATGAATTAATATAACATTATGACTTTTTGCCTCAAAAGAAACAACATTTCCATTCCAATGGGATTTAGGTTTACACGTTGTCATGAATTCGGATTATGAGGGGGGTTCTTGGAAAAATGCTCCCCCTGTAAGGGGTCTCTGGAAATAAAAAGTCCGAGAACGCCATGACCTAAATATAATGGCTTTGTATTTTTTTTTTAAACTCCATGACTTCAGTGAAAAGGCGAACTAAGACACACAGCTTTGACTTCAGATATCAGTCAGTGCCGCAGCTGCAATACAACCACTGAAGACTCAGTTTGAGGAAGTGAGGGCAGTGATGAGGAAGAGAGCAAAGCCACCAAATGCAGCAGCGTATAATGTGATGCAGAACTAGTAGCAAATAAAAAAAAAATACCAAGCTTTTGCTCACCGCTCTATTCATCTCTTATCTCGTTTCAGAGAATGAACAGGCACTTCTGGAACGCCGTTTTGAGCGATCCAGTTTATGGTTCACATACTAGTCCGAGCTTTGTCCTCATGAGACAACGCACAAGTTGAACGACTGTGTCGAACGAGACTCTTCGCCCCCCCTCGGCCCTTATACACTGTTGGACAACATTTCTACCACGCTAGTCAGACAACTTGGGCATACAGTCAAACCTCGTTATGACCAGAAAGTACAACAATGTCCCGAGACAATCAGTAGAGTTGGTAGCAAAGAGAGGCGTTCGACGAGTACGCTGAATTGTCTTCAGGTTGAGGACAAAGAGAGTATGTGGAGATAACTGTAATATTTTTGAAGCGATGAACCAAGAAAGAAGTCCCTGGACGGGTCAAAGAACACTTTAATCGGACTCCAAGTCAACCCTACTTTTGCAGTTTGTTTCCAGCTTCTTAAGAGCCATCATATACTGTATTCATCTTTGCTCTAGTGCTGAGAAGGTTTGCATTCGTCAAATGAGGCGACATCCAAGTGACTGCAAACAACATACAAACGACATACCGACGCGAGACTTTGTCGAGCAGCCTCTGAATAAAGGCGATACAAACACCGCAAAACACGGAATCTTCGGAAAAATAAAATCACAAGTACATTTCTTTTGATCAGTGGTACTCAAATTGGGGTTCAGAAAATAACGTGCGATAAATTGTCATATGACTGAAAAATATCAATCATATGTCAATGCATCGTGCAAGATTTTTTTTTTGAATGGGTTTTATTACCACTTTTATTTTATTTTATTTTTAAGAAAAAAAGGCATCTATTCCAAAATAGAAGTTTTGATTCCTTTTTATCCTGACAAAACAGCTTATTGTTTTTCTAAAGACGACAATTTGTTTTCTTGAGAAGAAAAAATACAACTTGATTTGCATAAATGACAACTCTTTCCCACGAAAAAACACTTCCAAAAAATAAAAAAATAAAAAATGGGCAACTTTGGGGTTCACATGGTAGTTTATGTTCAATTGGCATAAAGGAGGAAAATGGAGCCAAAAGCAGTGGGAACCACTGACAAAAAAACGACAATTAATTCATTCCATTTCTTTTGTGCAATTACAGAGAATGATGCATCCATTTTCTAATCCGCTCAATCCAAACCTCCATCATTGGGTGTGTGTGGAAGGGATTTTTTCACAAGTGGAGATAAAATATCTGGCTGGGCTCTTTTCAAGTCATTTAGCAAAACATAAAGGCTCGCCTACAAGTAGACTACGGCTTTCAACGTGCAAAGAAAAGTCCATTAATTCGCCGTTCCATCGGCGATTATGTTCACTGCATCTTGGAAGCAATTTACCTCCCATAGCCACATCTTTTCGACTGACACCGGTGGCGCTTCCTGGCATGTGCGACATGTAAGGCCGCAGGCATCCGCATTGCTGCGCGGGTAGCAATGGCTAACATCATGACGTATTTTATATCTTGTTTTTCTAATCAGTTCCTTTGGAGTCTTTGTCACCCAGAAACGGTGAAAAGGCCCATAGAGCAATTATTTGGCACATTCTACAATCTGGACGGTTCCTCATGCGGGCCTACATGTTCCTCGGGATGTTGTAGGACACCGAAAGTGGCGGTGCGCTGGGCACCAAGACCGCGTTGGGCGAAACGATTTCGTTGGGGAACGGCTGGAGGCCCATCTGCTTGTTTTGGTGCAGCTTGTGGACGACGACTCGGCAGAAGTCTTCACCGTGCCTGTGACAGTTGTCCAGGAGCTGGCGCACCTTGGCGGCGCGCGTGGCCTGGTTCACCACCAGTTCGTAATCTTCGCGCATCAGCATGGAGCGCGCGAGCAGGGCGTCCAAGCTCTGATTGAGGCAGGCTTCCGTCATCTGGGCCACGATCTCCTCGCGTCGCGTCGACATCCACTGACCGATAGGACCTTGCGAAGGCGACGAGCTGCGCAATGGAGGCAAATTATCTGATGGGAGGAAGGAGACGAATGATATGGTTGATTGGAAAATGTGGCAAAACAACAAAAACCACAATTATTCAATCAATCTCTGTTCCCTAATCACAAAGAGAACTTTTCGCAATTTCTTCTAACTCGGCTAAGGCCACTCATCGCAAAAAGAAGGGCCGACCTACAGTGGAGCATGGTCGCAACAACATCATGTGTTTTACAGAGCTGGAACTGGAACCTTTGACAAGGTGCGAGGAATTATGAGCAGTTCAGACAAAATGACAGTAAAAGCCTACGAGAATAGCTGAAATGTATTTGGGTAGAACGGGAAGCATTTGAAAGGGTGGCAGGTGCGTGCCAACTCCCATTTGACACGAGTTTGGGAATTTGATCTATTTTTCCATCTTGCAAAGCCATCATTTGAGAAGGGGCCAGTCGACGGGTTCTAGCGACTGTCTCTGGTGGATCGGGAACGATTCCAAACACAATGAAAATTGTGTGTCTGACTGAAATGCGCTATCACCTTGTGGCTTTGCACAGTTGACACGGAGTGTGAGGGCGTCCAACTGTGTTTCGCCCTCGGCTACGGGCAGAGCAGTTTTGAGAGATTTGCTGAGGTCGGTGATGGGCCGGGCGCTCTGGAAGCCATTCAGATTGTTGGCAGCGCAGGGGTCCTTCAGAGATTCGGGGAGCTCCAATGTATCAATGGCGACTGATGATGGAGGTCCCTCTGCGGGGGGCACAAGAGGAAAACGAAAGCACCTCACGTCAGCAAGTATATTTGTAGCATTATTTCAGCAGGTTTCGTTTTCGACTAAAATGGGGTAATCATTCGAATTCATTTTGTCCAATCAAACAATTAAGTGATACTTTTACATACACATCAAAAAGGATTATTGTGTTCATCAGTTCCATCGTCATAATTAAATGAAGTATGAATAGTATTTTCAGAATTGGTTAATTCATTGTGATTAAATTAAGTATGAAGATGGAGAATCTATACATGAGTTATTTTAATTTTTTGATTGATTGGTTTGTTGATTTCATTTAAATAGAAAATATAAAATGAGTAAAATAAAAAAATTTTTTTTTAATTAATATATTAAATAATTGGCCTTCTGAATATTGTAAAATGTGTTGTGAGTAAAATTTTTTTTAATTGTTAAAATTAAAAAATAAATACATTATTTTTGTCATTTCTTTTTCTTTATTTTATCAAACAACTGGTTCGGTCATCATAATTAAATTCAGTACGATAAGTCATTAAAATCAGAGTGAATTTTTGTAATGATCATGACTTGATTTTATGTTCACTTTAAAAATCAACCGTGGTCCTTGAGCACTAACGTTTGGCCCGCCCACATTATAGAAAAACTAAATCCGGTCTCAAAAATGACATAAAACGATTTTTAGGCTCACTCTCTCGATGTGATGAAACTTGACTTTCCAACAAGTGTGTGCAACGATGGCGGCGAAAAAGTTGAGTGTCACCTTTTGAAGGCTCCGTGTTGGTGCTGGTGAGCGCGCCCGGCAGCGACATGTCTGTTTCTTGGGATGAACAAGAGCCTGAGCCTGAGGTGGAGCTCTCCTGTCACACATCAAGGGGGGATGATTCACATTTGCAAGCGCACACAGTGAATTAACTTTTTTTTTCTTTCTAGTCATCGCACATGCCGGCGCATCCCAACTGACCGGCCACGGGCGAGACGTTTCCCTCAGCTTCGTCAGAGTTTCATCCTCAGCCGGTTTCTGGCTCTCGGGCTGCGCTGAGCAGCAGCTGGATCGCTGGGTCAGCTACGGATGGAGAGGGAGACAAAAATAAGTCACGCCGACTAGCGACAAATCAATGTTGCCCATAACCTTTATTGAGCCGTCAGAAACATTTTTCCGCATGCCGCCCAATGAGTTGAAAAGAAAGCGATGACTCTGTTGTATGAGGGTGGATTAACAGAGAGAAACTATTTGGAAGTCAACAATTTTGAGAGAAAGTGAAGATGGGGAATTTCCCCACAGCATATCCGATGCTCTGTCACGACACAGAGTTTGGGAACCACCGGGTTACGTAAGATGTTTTCAAACAACCAGTCTTTTATAAGCGAGAACCTGAACGTTTCTGAAAGCCAAAAGTGTGATATGTTTTTCTCCGTCCGCATTCACGAGACCCACAGCAAGGGAACATTACCATCCCACGTGCGTTGATATGCAATATGGAGAAGTAACCCCCCCCCTCCTCCCCCATAACCACTTAAGAGTTAAGGAGACATTCACACATGCACATAGACACTTGAGAGGAAGGTCACGTTAGGGGAAACGATGTTAAGTCATGACCCATCAGCCTTTATCACTCCCGCTTTGCTGCGCGTCACCTTCCGGGGGGACTTTCTCAAGGATGAACTTTGTGAAACAAACACACGTCACGGCCATACGCCATTCAGATGAGATGGGGGACAGTAAATGTTGTACCGTGTATGTGTCATGCAACCAATACTTGGGACTCAGAGTCAGGCAAGACTTAATCAGTAATGAAGCAAATAACTTCCTGTAAGAGGTGAATTACGGTTTGACTTTAAAAAAAAAAAAAGGGGCTGACCTTTGACTTCTTAATCTCTAGTACAGCCACAAGGAAGTCGATTTCGGTGAACTTCCTCACCATGGGCTCCAGCTCAATGAGACACTCTGAAACGACAGCGAGGATCTCACAATGTGACTCGAAATCCTACAAGCACCGAAAGTCACATTTTAACATTCAAAGCATTCCCACTTGAAGTTGTTTAGCACTTTCAGGCCATACACGGAACTATTTACCACTTTCCCCAAATTCGCACTTTTTCACTCTAAAATTGACCGATCCCGAGAAACCAAATCTATACCGAACCTCGCCGAAGGGCAAACTCGTCGCCGACGGGATCTGTCCACGTCGCCGACACAAAGACCGGAGTTGGGGTTGAAGAGACAAGTGTGCGGTGCGTGTGCGCATGCTCACTGAGGAAAGAAGGTCGTTCGTCGGGGTTCGCGGTCCAGCCGCAGGTCATTAAGCAAACGAGCGTATCTCTGCTGGGGATCTGATCGGACAAACTGGCGTAGCTGGTGTCGGGGCGCATCCCGCGAAGTACGTTGAACATGATCTTCATGGGGTTGGTCACTTCTGACACACACACCAGTCAGACTAAAGTCACATCGACAGCAAGTCAACGAAATCCGAGAGTGAGCAAGCGCAGATGGAGAAGAAGAAAAAAAATAAAAATTACCGTCATATGGAATTTGCCGGGAAAGCACCTCCCACATGATGATGGCGTAGCTTTATACGAAAGACAAAAAACAGGCAGACACGTGAGCAAGACCACATGACTGATTGTTGACTGACATCGTCTCACCTGTACATGTCATGTTTGACGTCAGCACGGCGGCTCTTGGAGGGTTCGTACTCCTCAGGGGGCATGTAGATCACCGTACCCCCAATTTCTGACGGTTTGGACCCCGAGCCTTTACTGACAGACAGCTGGCGCCACTTGGAAAGACCAAAATCTGCAATCTAACCAGAAAGAAGATCATCAGCGTGTCGATGCACTGCAGTGACATTGAGTGTTTAAAAAAAAAAAAAAAAAATCAGTCAGGAGATGAATAAAGGACAAGTACGTTTTTTGAAAGTGGAGTACAATGAATTCAACAACATAGAAAAATCCTCAAATCGAATTTTGGAAAGAAATTAGATAACAGTTGATGATGCTGTCGCCAAGCCAACATGCCAAATAAATTGCAGGCTTGAAAGTTGGTTCATGGCATGTAATCCTGTTTTATCACAAATTTTCAAATGATCATTTTTAGGAGGTTTCGACAACATTCGTCTATAAATAGTATCATTTCTCGATAAAATTGTATAGCTCTGGATAAAATACTACCCCGATGAACATTAACCGAAAAAGAGGAAATCTTCAAATAGTCTTTAATTATCCCAGCCAGAGGCTTCAGCGGTTTGTGATGTCAGGATTGCTCAGTGAAGCATGTCTTCATTATAATTAAAAAAAAAAAAAAAAAAAAAAAAAGCACCCTGCACACACCTTCACATGGAATTCGCTGTCCAACAGAATATTCTGTGTCTTCAGGTCATGGTGTAAGAGTGGCGGGGACATGTTGTGAAGGAAGTTGACTCCCAAGGCGATCTCGTACAGGATCCTCAGTCTCAAAGGCCAGGCGAGCACGGGGTACATGTCCTTCTACATTCACACGACACACAAATTCACAGACAATTTTTACCAAGGTGAGTTGATGATACGAACCTTTGCCTAGTAACTGGCTGAAAGACAGAAAATTCCCCCAATTACATTTGGCTTTTCTTCATACTTAAGAGTATAAATACATGACAGTTTCACTTTTGTTTCCAGGAAGAACCGCAGCATTACCGTATGTGATCAAACTTGCAGTCCTGCGCATTAATCGGTGCCCAAAAAAGAAGCTCTCAGTTTCAAAAAGGTTCGTGACCCCTGCTCTGATATCTCACAGTGTCTAAAACACCAGACAGATCTTGTGACAGTGATGACATGATACAGGAGGCACATATGAATCTACCTCGTGCAGCAGTTGGTCCAGGGAGCCATTGCTCATAAACTCGGTCACAATGCAGAAGAACTCCGGCTCGTTGCAGATGCCGAAGATCTGGATGATGTAATTGAAGCGGGCTTTATGGAGGACCTCTGCCTCCTTCAGCAGACACTTCCTCTCTCTGGAACACGGACAGATACAAATTAGCCTTCACAAACAATTCAATAAATCCTTGATGTGAGGTAAGGGCTCAGGAAATGACCATATATGACTTTTTTTTTTTTTAACCCTGATTGAATTTTCACATCAATCATTATTTACAACAAATCTCACCTTTCTTCTGTTCAAACGACACACAGTGACAGACAGTTCTTTTACTAAATGGCAACAGGTGTAACGACACTAACTGTTGCCATTCATAACCAGTAACTGAATCAGTAACTGAAGCAGTTTCAAAAGGGTTTGTGAGCACAACCTCGATCCGCTCGTGTTGACACCAATTACTACTTTTCTATTAGGGGATTGTGAGCGCGGATGGTTGTTCGTCTCTGTGTGCCCTGCGAAAACAACTGGGATAGGCTCCAGCACGCCCGCGACCCTGAGGATAAGCAGCTTAGTAAATGGATGGATATTAGAGGGGGCTTTTGGCTGCAGGTTCGTTTTTTTGATAGGTTCCTCAGAAAAAAAAAAGATCAATTTGTGACTGTCAAACCACAATACAACTTTTGTTTGGAGCAGGTTGTTGTGTAAATTACGTGCCTTGGTTCATTAAAAGTTGGAAAAACTGAATTTGACCAAAGGTGACCCCGCCCCGCCCACTCAATACTACATCCCGGCTGCTCCATCTTTATACTATACAAAGAGTAACCACAGACATAAACACGTGGTACCTTTCGCCGAACGGGGAGTCCAGTTTGAGACACTTGATGGCCACGGTAGTTCTCCAGTCGGAGTGCTGAGCCTTGAACACGGTGCCGAAGCCCCCTCTGCTTAGGTAGTACAAGTCGGTCAGCTTCTGGTAGGGAATCTCCGGTAAGGTGCTGGTCAGACAACCAACGTTCACGCAGCCCGTAGCCGCGTGTGGCTCCATCGCCCAACGTGAGCCTTCGAATTTCCGAAGGTCTCGGATGCGCTAGACTGCCGTAAAAAGCAGAAGTGGCCTTTTCGAAATACGCAAGGGGGAGGAGCGGCAGCGTGTTCGCACACATCTCATGACATTACGTCGTTGTGCGCTAGCGAGCTAAGCTAATGAAGAAGGGAACGAAGGAATGGTGCATGGGAGCGGCACTTCAGCCTAATTGCTGGAGTAGAGATACACACCCCGACACCAAAGTTCAGGCCGGGATGTTTCGGTTTGTGTACTTCATCTGCTAAATAATACGGCACCGCCCTTCAAGATAACTCGGTCACCACTCACGAGTAGACTGAAGTAGGCGGGTTTGTTATTGTTCATGACGTCACGCTTCGGGGTTTGTGAGGCCGCCTTCAGTGTCATCGGACTCCGCAATTTCAGGCGGTGGCCATATTTCGCGTCTCAGTGGTACACTACAGTGATGTAGGATTTAATTCGTTCCGTCAGTTTACTCGTATATCAAATTAAATATCCCTATGGGAACGTATGAAAAGGAAATGATTACGTTTCAGGCCCCACAGTTCGTTTGTTACATATCGTTGGATTATGTTAACAGAAAAATACTTTATTCTGTCATTTTGAGGTGAGATCAAATGCTCTACCCTCTTGTGTAAAGTGGTGCATAAAAGTCACTTCCTAGTCTTGTCGAGAGGTGGCACTATTTAACATCAGAGTTCCGGTTTTCACCAACGAAGAGAAAAGCTTGCTTCCCGTGTCTCCAACCACGCAACGTGTGGGTGAAAACAGTAAGCACAAAAAGAAATTTTAAATAGTACAAAATGGTCCGGAAATTGAAGTACCATGAGCAGAAGTTACTGAAGAAGGTGGACTTTATTAACTGGGAGGTGGACAACAACATTCACGAGGTCAAAGTGTTGAGGAGATACCATATCGAGAAGAGGGAGGACTACACTAAGTAAGCAACCGATAGCTCCTTTCGCTGTGTATATAAAATGAAAGAGACATACATATGAATTAAAGAGTAAAAGTAGTGTTTCTTTCTTAGGTACAACAAGTTGAGTCGGAACATCAGGGACCTGGCACAGAAAATCCGGGACTTGGACGAGAAAGATGGATTCAGAGCTCAGAGTACACATCGTCTACTAGAAAAACTGTAGGAGTTTAATCAATAAAATAATATAATGGGGGCAAATAAATAATTATTTGTGGATTTAATATCATCCCAATGACCAACGTGGATGTCTGGGTAAGCAATTGGAGAAGGTGCGCTCAATTTGCTTGCCCAATTGTCCATTACGGGATAACGGCTACTTGCAGTTAAATATACAGTATTTGCAACTTCAAGTATCCTTGGAAAAGAGGAATTAATATTCTTGTGTTAGTAAGATTAGAACTGTACTTTCCCAAATCGTGGGGGTGGGGGGGTTACCATTCAACACACATTGTTGAAGTGAAACATGAAAATGAAAGGAAAGAACTAAAATTCATGCTGCATGGATAACAAATCTGGAAATTTTACTAACTGTTGACGACACCCCCCCCGCATTGGTTAATATTAGTTTGAGAAGCAATTAATGGCGGGGGGGGGGGGTACTTGTATGACCAGTGTTTCAAATATATATTGTACTTTGTGCACACATTACATATAATTCATGGCCTAAATAAGCATTTAAATGGTCAATTTGTAAGCAAGTCTATGAGTAAAACTAATGCATTTTTTATTCTTAATAGCTACAGCACCGGACTTATCCCCACCAAACAGAATTTGTCTCTCACGGAGAAAGTTACGGCTTCATCATTTTGCAGGTAAGACTCTTACTACTTACTGTGTGTTGGTGTGTCCATGGCCATACTTTTTCACCGTTTTTAATCCGGTGAAATAGAATGAAACAGCACAAATTACTGGGTACGGTCAAAACCAGGAATCATCTGCTTCCCCTTGATTGTAATACGGTTAAAAGAAATTGATGAGGGTTAGCTAAAATAAGAAGATAAGAAAAACCTAAATTGGTTTCACAATGGAGAAATTTCCAATCACCAGCAGCAAAAATTGAGGGGGGGGGGGTGGAAAAAGAAAGGTATAACATGCACAAAATGTTTAAGAGAAAAAAAATGAACTGTACATGGTATAGAATGCAATACAAAAATACAGATAAAGAACATATATGCAACTGCAGAAATGCTGTGTAAGGTGGATTCGTTTTTAATCACTATTTTGTATCTTGCATTCTTTGCATGTGGAAAGACCCCCTTGCCAATGAGATGCATCGAAAGGGGCTTCCCCTTAAACGCAGTAAATAGGAAAATAGAAAGTGTACTTGAATGTTCAAAAACAAATTGAAGACTAAATGCAAATGTGTTGTACTTAAAATTTTGGTCCCTTTTGATTCCATCTGACCTTCTGTCCTTGTAAAAAAAAACAATTCACTCCCACAGGAGGAGGCTTCCCTGCATTATGCTGACCCTTCGAATGGCCCAGAACCTGAAAACGGCCATCACCTTGATTGAGCAAGGACGTATCCTTCACTATTTATTAATGTCAGCACATTTGTACTGGATGGTTTTGATTGTGTCTCAGGCGAAAACACATTCCAGTGGACCTTCACTTGTTCTCAGATGTGCGTGTGGGCCCGGAAGTTGTCACAGATCCAGCGTTTCTAATCACAAGGTCTGGAAAGTTATCTTCACTGAAATACTTTGAAACAAACTGCTGCAGACTTGGAAATGTAGGAAATCTTTTTTTTTTTTTCATCTTTGCAGAAACATGGAAGATTTTGTGACCTGGGTGGATTCCTCAAAAATCAAACAGCATGTCATGAATTACAATGATGAGGTGAGCGTTGCTGTAAGATTGACTTGCAAAGTACTACTTCATAAGATCACAGCCTTTTCATTAATTGGCCCCTTCTTCTTTTACAGAGAGACGACTTTGACATGTTTGCCTGATTTCTTTTTTTTTTTTTTTTGCCACGTTCATTCTGCAACAAGCCAGATAAAACGGGAGATGTTAAACTGTCATCAATAAGGAGAAAATGACCCGTCGGTATAAATTATTTGCTACCCACAAACTTGTAAAGACAAGCAAAGTCTCACCCACCACTCTCAAACACAAGATCTATCGTCTCCATCCATCATTTCAAAATTGCGATGCAATTTCTGAAACAGTCAAATATTGCACATCTGGTGTGCCATCTAGTTGTTTGAGATGTTACAAAATGTCATTAGAAACTGGGCAAACTTTCAGAGATGTTTGTTTTGTTTGAACCGGAGAAGACTTCTGAGGAATATTGTGAAGACTTATGAGCAAAATTTTTTTTTAATTGGGTAAAGTTCGTGTGAATCACCTTTTTGTAAAACTAGGCTTTTTGGATCATGGATCGGATTGTACAGATACGTAGTAGTTACGTGTCTAACAAAATGGTTCGTATGTGCTGTGTAAACATTGTACACTTTTCTACAGTACTGATATCAATACATTTGACAAGAAAACACTGACATCTGGGTATATTTTTTAATCCCTTTTAAGACTTCCAACTTTGTTAATTGTTAACATTGAACATTTTTAGTCACAGTTTTTAAGGCTTAACTTAAAGATATCTCCCCTAAAACAAACATGTAAACATGACTCATCAGCACAGTTGAACTTTTTGAACGCACCACACACGAGCCTGCTTCCAGAGCAACACTCTCCCAAAGTCACTCGACACTCATTGTCTCTAACACGGCCACTGTTGAAACATTTGCCTTCATCATATGGTCGCTGTTCTGAGCATTTATTCAATATCCCCCCGTAGTTGTCCTGCACGTGAGGACAAAGAGTGCACAAGAGCATTGCCCTGAAGATGGATAGATGGATATTGAATAAATGCTCAAATGGCTTTCCGTAATACAACCAATGAACTCTACCTCACCTGTTAAGGCACAGTGGTAATCAATTTAAACATGCTGCTCTCTGAGAAATCCCTCCAAACGTTGTCAAAATTCCATCAGAGCCACCAGAAGCGTACATAGATGATGAGTGTGATGACGAAGACTGCCACAGCAGCTACTTTGGCGTATGTGGAGCGGGTGTTGAGGTACTTGGCATCGCTGCGGTACTTCTTCGACAAGGTGGACAGATTGCTGGCTTTTGTGTCAAGGGCTGGTAGAAAAACAGATTACTTAGAGCTTTCACTGACACACTTAGGGGTACAAATATAACCATGATATATTCCGATTTATATGATCAGAGAACTATCCATTGAGCTTGTAGTTTGAAGTGCTTACAACAACTGCGTGGTGACGGATCGTCTGCCCCAAGTACAATTGATTGGTCCGAAAATATTTTTTTCACTCCATAATGTACCATGAATTGTGGTCATGTCAAAGCTATGTCTAATAGAAAAGTATTGCTTTGGTGCCATCTTGGGGCCGAAGAACTATGATGATGTGAGGGGGATGAGCTTCACTTAGTCAGGCCATAGCCTTAAATATCCATCCATTTTCAAATCTGCTTATCCTCACAATAGTGTTCTGCGATTAGTTTTTGTAACCTGGCCAGAACTAAAAAGGAAAAAAAAACTTACCAGAAAGTGCTTCTCCACGTTGCAGAACTTCTTCAATGTTGGCCACCATAATTTTTTGAACATCCTGCAGCTCTGTGTTGATACTACCCAAGTTCCTCCTGGCCCTACTGTCAATGTATGACTTTTTGGTTTTCTGTATGTATGTGTCTAGATGAAGAAAGATATGACATTTAGAGTTGAGGAGACATCATAATGTGCAACAAAAGGAAGACTTACCAAACTCGATGAAGGAGTATGGCCTTGTGACTGTGGAAATCTTCCTCCCATACTGGTCAGAAAATTCACGATGAAGGTCCTCCAGGTAGGCAAAGACAATTTTCTTGGGGAAAGATGGCTCGCAAAGGGACAGGTAGCAAACATCTTCTGCTATTAAATAACTGAAATTAAGATACACCATTTCAGGCATACAGCTACCAGGCAAACTGGACACCAACGTGAACAAGGACTTTACAAATATGTACCCTCCAAAAAATAAATACAGTGAACCCCGGCTATTGTGTGGTTCAGATATAATGTGTACAGCTTGAAGCAAGCATACTTGACCTCTTATTTGTAAAATTGCAAATGTGAACAGCGCAAAGCAATACTTTAAAATTGGTGTTATACCATAATAATTCAACTAAATCTATTTTTGATATGGTCTCCCGATATCGCAGATATCCACCTATCTGGAATGTATTTGTGCAACAAATGAGGGTTCACTGTAGTGTGCATTTCTCATGATGCCACCGACATATCTATTCAACTCGCTTCCTGTCTTGACTTACTGAAAGCTGATGTCTTTTGCTTCCAGCGTGCAGCGGTCTGGACTTTGAGCATTAAGTTTGCGGCACAGCTGCTTGGCTTGACTCTGGTACTGCTGGAGGTCTCTTCCTGACTGGCAATAAGAACAACATTACATTTAAAATTTCAGAGAAAGTCAACTTAAGTTCACCTGTGCAGCTTTACATTATAGTGCAGTTTCGGTCCATTTTCAAATTTTACCTGGCTGAAAACCCCAAAACTTTTTATGAGGATTGAATGCCTGTCTACAGCATTTGGCCAGTATGACTGTCAGGAATGAAATCCAGATGATTGGCAATTTCATGTTAGGTTAATAAAAGTTGATTACACGAAAGTGAACTGCCAGTGAGCTGAAGCTTATCCAAGCAGATACACAGTTTGGTTTGGTTCCATATGGTTGACAAATAATTCAATTCCACCCCATGGCACAAGGCACCTTTTGCCATTCATACAACAAAACTGTAACTTTGTGTTCAACTAAACAGGCCCACGTGTGAGAATAACTTGTCATTTAAGCATATATACTTTGTGTGTTTTATGCCTCGTCGTGAGATTGTTCTATAGGAGAATATCACTGAAAACATTTATGTATTTTTAAATTTCAATGAAAAAGAATAACTCCAAATACACACGCCGAATTTTCATATACAGAATAAAAACCCGAGGTAGCGCGTTATCATCGTTATATTATCTCGGATAGGCAAGCGACTGTCAAACATTTGAAAACATGAAAGGGGTTTGGTGAGAGGAGTTAGCTTTCCATTCAAACCTGATCATTCTCTTGCATGGAAGCGGCGAGCGGCAATCCGTCCGCCACACGAGCGATCATTGTCAGGAAAATCATCCTCCTGGAGGTTGAAAAACTCGCACGCGTTAACTTTTGTAACCCCGAGACGCCAAACTTCACGAAGTTTTTTTTTTTTTTGGGGGGGGGGGGGTCAAGTTGCCGACGCGGAAGAGAGGAGTTGGACGGAAATCAGCGGTGCGCCGGTGAAATACGTCCGTGTTACACCTGAAGCCAATGCAACTCCGTGGTGGGTTTCTCGGTCGAGTCGAGGAGATCGTCGCCCACAGTCGATTTCAAAACAGCATCATTTTTGTTTTTAATACCATAGATTCGTTAAAGTCATTGTTTCCATTGTGTGGCTTGGATGTGTATTTGTATCGAGTTCAGGGTATAATCGGCATCATCCAGCGACCGGCCAGACAGCTGGCAGACGGACTTACTGCATCTCGACTTCGGATGCTGCCTCCAACCAAGAGGCGCAGATGCGGTCTGTCTGGCTCCAAAAACCCTCTCTAATCTGAAACCTGAGGACTGACCCCTTAATAATGGATACCCCTGAGAGGTAATTTTTCGCTTATCATATTTGACAGTTGAAAATCGTTGCGTATGTAGTCATGCGCGATGGCAGTTTTCCCCCCATTTTTCCCCTCATTACTTATATGTGGCATAACCCTAGCCCGCCTCGGTGTTATTTTGGAAATTGAATCAAAGCCTTCATACTTTACAATCTCTCACTCATCATGACTGATGAGTGATTGTGGGCTGCAGTCAACCCGACAGTTAAAAAATAGTTGTGTTGTGTCTGGCTCAGATAACTGCATCTGGACTTTCAGTTTGTTCACCAAGAGAGATCAATCCCTGGCCCACAGCCTGATGCAGCTCACTTTTATAGATCAGGTCTGTGGTGGATGGAGCAGCCGCCAGTTTAATCCTTGAGAGTGTAACAGAACCCCACCCCCACCTCTGGATGCACTAATCAATGACCCCACTGAAAGGCCTGGAGAGAGAGGGTGAAAAAAAGGATCCATTGTTTCGGTGCAGCTGGCACCACCGTGCACCCTCTTTGGCAAGATCAGCGCTGGTGTGAGTGGACCGAGCCCGGCTAGTCATTGTCACTCCAATAAGGGCTGGGAATGAGACGTGCTTTAACCTGCACGAGGGCGGTGCTGCTGCTGCTGCTTCATGACTAATTGATTATGAGAAATGAGTGGTTTCAAGCTGCGGGTCGAGGGAATTGTGCCAGCACAGTTCGGAAAATGAACAACTTAAAGAGGTTTATTCTCCTGGCTATGGAGGTTATGTTGTGCTTGATGTATGCTGGAGTATTCAAATGGTCTCCCTTGGCCTGTGTGCAGTGATGGGAAGTGGGTTGAGTCACCACAAATTGTACTCAGTTAAAAGTACTGCTATTTTTGAATAATGTGGCTCAAGGAAAAGTAACAAGTACGATTAATACCAAAAATTGCTTTTGTAAATGTAGCATATTACTCCAACCTCTGCACTTACAAAAGTAATAGTCATTAAAAAAAAATCACACTAAAGTTAAAAACAACACAAACAAATGAGTCACTGCAAATGTAAACCTGGGTACATTTCAGATTCTGTATTTAAAAAAAAAAACTTTTACTTACGAACAGGAGTTGAACCAATATATCTGCTTTAACCAGTCTTTTTTTTGTACTCAAATATCTCTATTTTTACACAAGTACAGCACTCTTCACTCTCTCTCTTCCCTCCAGACTTGACCGTGATGCTCGCGGGTGAGGAGGAGCGAGGCTGAGGAGGAGGAGGAGATGGGCTGCACCTCCACCAAGCAGGTGTCTGCAGTACCCAACAGTGAAGAGGACCAGAGCAAAGCCCACAGCAATGGAGACCTCTTCTCTGGTCAGTTGATTGTGCGCCCATTACACTGCTGTCTTCAGGTTTCCCCCAATATATTTTTGATGCAGATTAAACTAAACAATCTATTTCTATATTCCATATTATATTATTAAGAGTATTATAATTATGCAAATCTGATGTGGTAGAGAAAAAAATGGATTGGATTTAAAAAAAAATCTTAAACAATTGTTGATAAGTGTTATTAGATAGCCACACTGGACACAACATACAATAACATAATAATGCCCTGAAAGATCAAATTAAAAAAAAAAATTACATTCACTATTCACCCATTATTTTTTTTTCCAGTGAAACTTATCCTCAGGTAATTGCTGTAAAACGTGCCTTTTTTGTGTGTGTACAATGCTCTAAGATGTCACAAGATAGTGTCAAAGAATTGGCTAATAGGAAAGTAGTAATTGGTGCCAAGGGAATATGTCTTGAAAAATTATCCTGGTTGTACAAGTAGTTTGCATTGCACTGAATCACAAGGGGATGATTTTCATTTCTTACAATAGTTGGATGTTTGCATGCAGCGAGTATTTTAGCTCCTCGCTCTCTGAGCGCGTGGGAGCCAGAGGAGGAAGGGGTGGCCACGCAATTGTGAGAGAAAACGCGGGGAGAGGAGAATCAGGCTGACACCTCGTGTGTTTGCCGCTCGCCAAGCTTTGTGTGGAGAGGATTTGAGTCGCAGCGTGAGAAATCAAGCACATAATTACTTAGCCGAGAACTGAAGTGTGAGAACTGCATGTGAACCGAGGGGAGAGGGAGGATTGGAGCCACCGGGCGTTGGTGTCATGGATTAATACAAGGAGATGTGCTCCTCTCTGCCTCTTTTGTCTCTGCCCATTCGTTCGCAGATGAGTACAAGATGAAAGGAGAGGAGAAAGTCAAGTACATCAGTGGACAAGAGGCAGGAGGGGATGGCCAGGACAGCATGGTTTGTTTTTTATTTATTATTTATTTATTTTATTTATTTCACTGGGACGGTACACATTAATCAACATAAGAATAAACAGTGTAAATGCGACGGATTTAGCATAGCATTATTATACTTACTTGTATACGTTACATTTATTATTATACTGTATGTTGTTTACATATCAAATGGAATGTGTATACTGTATTTGTTTTCTAAGGGATGAATGAAAATAGCCTGACATTTCACCCAAAAGCCAAATATCCCTAACTTTTTGTGAGTAGTCTATATACTAGTGTATATTTGAGTATACGCAGTAGTAGAAGGTCTGTATTTTTATGTCCTGCAGGAGAAAAGTGCTTTGCTTGGAAAAAGTCAAAACATGGATGAGATGGGATCAAATGAAGATGGAAAAATACTGTAAGAGTCACTGGCCTATGATGTTGTATTTCCATATCAACATCACATTTGTCTAGGTATTTTGTTTTGGGGCTGTCGTGTTACCCTGCGCACCCCTGACTTGTTTTCTCCTTACAGGAGCATTCATTCCTCAGAGAGCCAGCAAGAGTTCTTCAGAATGCTTGATGAGAAAATTGAAAAGGTATGATGAGAGGACACATTATATCTTTGTATAATGAGGGAATGATGTGGTCGAGGTTAATCCCGACTGAGGCAAATCTACAGCAAGTGACAACGCGACTACACTGACCATAAAGGGACAACAATCAGTCAACTTGGTTTGTGATCGTGGCTTCATTGGAAATAAAGTGGTGCCTTGAGATCCGAGTTTAATTCATTGGTGACCACGCAAGTAACTATAAATCATCCCATTAAAATTAAAGGAAATTAATCCATTCCAGCCTTCCCCTAAACACGGGGGAAAAAATCAAGATGTTTTTTTTGGAGGGGGGGGGAATGTAAAGTACATTTCTTGAGTCTTCTCCTGGTGTGTGCAACTTGGCCACCGGGCGGCAGTATAATGCAGTCATTAAGTCACCGTTGCTCTTTGTGACTCATAAAATGCATTTAATATTTCGTCGTCTTACGCAGATTATAAGCATGTGAGTATTGTGATAGCCTGTCTTCATGTTTTGCTTCAGCATGTGTTAAAATATCCGTTTGGCTAAAGGGTTATAACATTGCCACTCTCGATGCTAATCATTAGCATTTTCAATTATTTGTTCGCATTAAGCTAGTGGAGGCAAAGTTGTTCAGTTTATTGTTATACCACAAGTCGAAATTGTCCTTGTTTGATGTTTAAGGTGACTGTAAACTTCAAATGGGAGTGGCATTAAACATCTTGAAGTTTCTTTTTTGAAGAATTGTTCACCGTTTGCCAGTTTGTAAAATCATGAAAAACGTTGGGTCACTTGTATCTCAAGGCACCAATGTATGATTATTCTTTATTGCTTGACTTTAGGAATCTGTTTCTTCAAGATTTATTGTCATCTTTTTCATTTGAGAAAGTATTTCTACTTTGTGTATTTCTCTTTTTCACTGCAGTTACCTTTTGTCTTTTTCAAAGATACGGGTCTGCCTAAAAAGTTAACTCAGTTCAAATGGAAGTCAAGTCAAACAATTTATTTGTAACATGTTCTATGTGCCCCTCGCATTTAAACACTGTACCGGTATCTCGGGGCGCAACCATTTTGACATTGTTGCCCTCTGCTGTCGACTGGAATTGAAGTCAAAGTGCCCTTGGGCTCACATTGCAAATGTTACATGATGAAAATGGGTGGATTATTCTACTTCCTTCTCATCCCACCAACGCATTAAATCAAAATACCGCATATTATTGAAAAAAAAATTGACTTGACCTCCACTTAAAGATGATAAAAATCTGTGTTTAATTCTGATTATACTATTTTGTATTACTTTCAGGGCAGGGATTACTGCTCCGAGGAGGAGGAGGACATGACATAGCACTATGACCATGCATCTTTCAGCCATCAGATGGAGAGGATGTCAGTGTTGCAATGGGCAAGTATCATTCCACCTACGTAAAGGGCGGAAGGACAAAACTCCACTGAGCAACTTCTTGCCCGTATGCTCAATACGAAGCTCCTTCTTGTTTAATCCAGCGACCAAAAATCAAAGACGGTTCAGGAGTTGAGGAGAATACTTCGGTTCAGTTTACTTTATTGAAAAAGCCATCACAGGATGTCAGGGATTTCGGGATCAAGAGGAACTCTTCCCTGCTTGGATTTCGCCTCAAAGTCAGTATACACGGCTGGAAGTTTACGACAAGTCAGAAAATAGGGCTTCATGCATGAATGGTTCTGATTTTTCACTTCAATATATTTATGGGGAAAAATAAGATCCGTATCTTATACCTAAATTGGATGCCCCAATACATGAAGGGTGTCCGAGTTGTGTTCCTCTCAATGAAGTCATCGGAAAAATGAAAGTTAAAAAAAAAAAGAAGAAACATGTATTCAGCAAATCGAACCTCTTTGCCTTGAGTCATGTTTTCATGATTTTTGGTTTTTCATTGATGTTTCAAATCAGCTTCCATGCAGCTTATGGAGACTTTAAGCCTGGTGATTTAAAAAAATAATAATACATTTACAACAGAGTTAGTCGAGCGTACAATTATAGAGTAAAACTGCGCATACAGATGTTTCATGCATGAGGCCCACTGTGCCCATATGCCTCCCTGAAAGGTCACCAGGTTGACTTCTGCATTCCAGGAAACAATATGAATCTCTTTTCTACAATTTCTGGGCCAAAACTAAATGTCTGTGTGTCTACCCACATTTTTTTTCTAATATATTTATGAGAAACAAGGCTCAGGGTTGCTTCCTGTCATCACTGCACATTTAAAACACTCACACGGTCGGCTTACTATGTACTGACCTGCTTCAATACCGCGTCCAGATGAACCCCGCTTGGGTGAAGTCACATGTTGTTCGGAGTCTGTATTTCACTCACCAGTGTTACTGTGTAAGTCAATGTTGGTCTTTTGTTTTTCTAGAGAAAAAAAATGTTGTTTTTTTTCTTTTTTTAATAACTGATCTCCACTGCTGTTGATCCAAATGTGTTAAGTAAAACTGGCATCTAAAGTAAAAGTTCAACCTGCACTAAATAATTTCTCCACTTTTGGTACATTGCAATAGAAAGCCGATGGATCACTTATTCCATAACCTTGATATCCTGCTTCAAGTCCATATAGTGCCACTATTGTATGACATTTCTGCACACGAAGAGGATAATTACATGCTCCAGCACAAGTGGACATCTGCACGCAACTAGAACTACTTGTGAAGCGCATGGACCTTCAGCTGAATATGAAGGATATCGAATAAATGCTCAAATGGTTTTCCATAAAATTGTTGAGCATTTTTTTCTCTATTCTTCTTATCCATCCTTAGGCCGTACCAGCAGGCCAAAAGTGGCACTAGTAAGTAGAAAATGATAACTAGTAAGACACAGTCACTCTACTAGTTGTCTAAGGGGCAAAGAGTGTAATTGTACATGAACCTGAAGCTGGATATCAAGGCGACGGAATAAATGCTCAAACAACTTTGCATGCCTGGACTTCTTGCTTTGGAATGGCCCAACCAGAGCCCAGACCTAAATCCAGATGAACTCTATGAAGTGACCTGCAGAAGACTGATTGCCACGCAATCGCACATGTAAAGGTCTAATCTGAATATTTTTGTATTGCCAGAAACATTTTGGATCACGGGACCTCTGATCAAGTAGACTTAGCATTACCAGCTAACGGAGTCAAAATCTGAGGCTCCTTCAGCATCCTAGTAGGCCAACGCAGAAAATTGCAATGTGGCTAAACGTCCAAACAGATGCGCCATCATTTGTGCTTCCCGCCGGACGTCAACTGCTGCTGTCGTCTCTTCCTGTGCTGCCGGCGTCCCACATCCTGGAAGGGGCCTGCTGGTGGGTCAGGGGTCACCAAACCGTCAGTCAACCTCTGGTAGACCAGCGTGGAGTCCGAGGCCACAGCACACAGCAGCATAGGAAAACCTCTGTCCAAAACCTGTCGTATACTGTTAGGGAAGACGGTAAATATATTGCATTTATGGATCACACTTTAATGACTTCACAACCCTGCAAGTTAATTTGCTCCCAAAGAATCAACGTTTGTCATACTTTTTACAGTTATCCTACCACTTACCAACATCATCCTGAAAATGTACTTGATAATCACGGCAATGTCTGCCAGTAGGGGACAGTAACATTTGTCTTTTTGTTGATGATACGTGACTTGCTGATTTACGTATAGAAACATGTAGAATTACTCAAAACATAAACAAGTGCTTTCCAGTCTTTGAAAAAGAAGAAAATGTTTCTCCCTCACTCGTTGTGGCTCAGAGACCGGTGCACAGGCAGTGGCAGAACTGAGTGGATGGCCGATCCTTCCTTCTCTTTCGCCTCCAACAAAACCAGCTTGAGTTCGTCACTTTTAACACAGGACACTTCTTTCCAGTGACGCACTGCAAACATTAAGGCCATCCAACTGTATTTGTACAGCACCATTCATACATAAGGCACATCCATAGTGTTTTATAGGGAAAAAAATTGAAGAAAAGATGCAAATCAATCATCCTTGACATCCACCTAAAGATCCATGTCCTAGTATGTGCTTTGTACTCACAAGTAGGACAACTAAATGTTGCTAGAAAGGTACAATTGAATTAGTTCACAACTGCATGTACTTGGATTTGGGTGATATAGGCACAAATTATAAATATCTTGATTTTAAAAAAGTGGCCTGCGACTCTCGTGAGGATAAGCGGCTCAGATAACTACTGAATAAGACTGTGTGAATGTTTCACTCTACATGTATTTTGTGACAAAGGTTGCTTTGACTTCTTTCGTCCACTAGATGTCCCTAGTGTTGCTTTCACGGAAGCACCAGAGGTCTGAATCTGTTTCAGTACAATTGGAAGGAAAGCCCCATCACTTTATGAAGCTTCACCCGCCCATGTCTAATGATAAGATTGAGGACGATACATCGCACACCCCTGCGATTGGCTGACAACTGGTTCAGGGTGTCCCCCGCCTACTGCCCGAAGACGGCTGGGATAGGCTCCAGCGCCCCC